CGTGGTTGATCCACCGCGTCGCACGAACCCCCGCCCCACTGCTCTTCACCTCCAACGCCTTCCTCAGTCTTACGAAGCTCATACTAAAAGTTACAAAACAGCTTTTTACTGATCGTGCAGATATGATCGCGATAAGAAAAGCCTCCTGCAGATACGCAGCGGAAAACTTTGCCAGACTTGCTGATGCGCATCCCAACAACATTTTCTCAGCCATGGCCAACCACGAACTGCTTCTAGAAGTCGATGTTGGCGGCACATAAACACCAACTCGGGGCTGATCGGCCCGCTAGCACTCGAAGTGCAAAACCGCGGAGTCCTCGCGTGGAACAAGTCTGCCGCCACCACGGACGTGTCCGACGACATCCAGGACACCGCAAAGATTGACAAAGTCGCCATTCTCCACCTCAACACCGATTACTATAAGTATGCTCCTCTATTATGATAGAATCGTATTACGGACCAAGATATTCTACGTTCTGACAGAAAAATCTCGGTGATAATCTGTTGCATCAGGTTTGGGAGCGTCTCCAATAAAAAAAAAAAAAAGAAAAAAAAAGTATGTAACACCCCGTACTACGATATGTCGTCATCCAATGTACTGCCAATTCCAAAAACACTTCTAACAAGAGCTGTTGCATGCAAGTGAGTTGACAAGGCAGCTGAATGCGCATTTCATGACTCAGGAAACCCTCTCATCACACGGTAGGCTCGATCGAATGCTTAATTGTGAAAATATCGCTTTCCAGCTCCAATATCTATATAGTATATCCATTATTGATATTCTCTCAACCAAATGAAACATGGAAAGCTACTCCGAAATCGACCCTGAAAAATATAAGGTCCTCATATCTTTGCTGATGCGACGGAGTAAGTAATTGGATGTGTCCTTTTCAATGGAAACTAGGATGGGGCGCTCAGATACGCAAAGCAAAAGAAAAGACAAGCTTAAGATGATTACAGGGTCGATGTAGAAGAAGTGATGGCAGGTACCTTACCAGCGTGTCCATATAATAGAAACATGATAGCTCAATAGTATTCAAAGGTATTGGAATCATTTGCTTATAGATTCCTTTCTCGATAAGTTCGAATAATTTTTTGGACTTTGTGCAAAGAGTGAAGCTCGTCCAAGTCTAATTTGAACACTTTGGGTTAGTCAGACTACGGCTTTGCTAGGAGGTGTGAAACCAATATTGAGCATCATCTTAGTTTTATATCTCAATAACAATAGCCTAACTGATTGGCACAAACAGTTCCTAACCTAAGTGGGATTGGGATGGGAATATTTAAAATTCCTGAAAAATAAAAATTTAGAGACTGAGGCTGCATTTGAGAGTCTCTCAAGAACATAACCTTAACGTGAACTATCAAGAGACAGAAGTTTTGATTTTCTTATTAGTGCTAATGGGCATTCTAAACGTATACATCTGCTCCTAACATAGTATCAAAGTAGCTTGCGAACTCAAAAAAGGGTTGAGCAACAAGCACTTCGAGCCACCGAACAAGATATATTGTACGTGACCTCTGCAATTTTGTTGTTCTACTTCAGATTTTATTCATACTCCAGTTAAGAAAAGTCAATCTCTTCGAGAGAAATCTCCTTGAAGTCTCGGTTCCATAGTCTATATCCAAGCCGGAAGACAATATAAAAATCAAAGAAAATGTATAAGCAGCAAAGAAGGTTTGGGTATCTCATTTGTATGAAACCAATCAACCCCTGAATAATGGCAACAAAAGGGACCATGAAGCATGTAAATACAACCGAGTAACGCTGGAAAGGGACTGGTATAATAAAAGTTGATACCCATCAAATTCTTGTTCTTTTGAGGTCGTAATAATGTCTTGCCGGCAGCAGTTAGGATCACACAGCTATGATGTCAATTCTTCGGAGCGACAAGTTCACATTGCTCGCAATGCTGGTGCTTGCGATATCCATGTTCTCACCTGCATTGCCACGTTGGGATGGAATACTACTGCTGTCAGTGGCATTACCAAACCTCGAGTCACACATTTGATGCTTATGGTGACGTTCCGGGTCTCGAGTATTATGTCGCCCGATTTTAGAAGGAAAACAGTGATTAGCTGATCATGGTACGCAACCAGGATGCTATGCTGCTTGGACTACCAAACAATTTTCTCTTGATTTGAAATAGTCGTGGCTAGATTCGTAATTCACTACATCCTCAAAGCTAGAAAGAAGAAGGGCTGGCGGCAAGAGGTGAGGCGAGCGTGAAGGGAGTTATTTTAGTGGAAGACCTGGAAACGGGAAAGCCCACTCGAGAGGCAGTTGACAATACTAGTCTCCGTCTCACCGATTCTCAAAACAGAAACTATTACATATATATCATATCCTCTTTGGTCAGAGATACCCGAAGTTATACCCTATACGTGAGCCAGGTTCGTTTCCGGTAATAATATGCAAGTTGTAGTGGGCACGAGGGCTTTCGAGGTAGAGAGAGAATTGGTATGTTGTATAACAGTTTTTTCGGCCAGAATGGGCCTAATTCCTCACACGTGCTAAAAATCTCGAGGACTACAATACTGCATGCAATATATTCACCCGGAATAGTAATTGTAAAATAAAAAACCTAACCGTTGATACTTCACTATAAATGTGGTGAATATACCTCACTCTTGAGCACAATGTTCTCCTTTGCAAAGACTCTTGCTCTGTGTGCTGTTGTCGTCAATGGCCTTATTTTGCACCCTGGCTACGATCAGGTTGCCACAGATCAGTACAACTTACTAAAGTTCATGACTGGTGCTGGTCCATTTGTTGAGCATAGCGGGTTTGGTATCCCCCTGGAAACTCCTCCACACTGTGAAATTGAACAGGCTCAACTATTTATGAGACATGGGGAAAGATTTCCGACTGAAAGCGCTGGAAAGCAATATAAGACATTTTACAAGAAACTCAAGGACGCTAACGTCACCAACCACCAAGGACCTCTGGCCTTTGTGGAGAATCTGGAGTACTTTGTTCCGGACAGTGGTAACTATGAACTTGAAACGACAAAGGGCCTTTATTCGGGTCTACTCAATGCTTTCAAGTTTGGTACCTATCTTAGAGAAAGATATGACTCGCTAGTGAATACAAGCGAAGTTCTGCCTATTTTTGCAGCAAGCGAAGACAGGGTTGTTGAAACCGCAAGATCTTTTGGCCGTGGCTTTTTTGGGCCCGATTATGAAAACAGATGCTCGATCCAGGTCATCAACGAGACAGATACCAGCAAGGGAGCGAACGCTCTGAACACCAAGGACAATTGTCCGACATATAACTCTTCTTATTACGATTACTCGTTTGGTGATGAGATTTTCCAAAGGGAAGCAGAGAGATTAAATGAATTGTCTCCTGGTTTCAACATCACCGCCGACGACATCACCACCATGGGAACCTACTGCGCTTATGAAACGAACGTCAAAGGACATTCGAGCTTCTGTGATGCCCTTTCGAGAGAGGCATTTATTGCCCTTCAATACAGTAACGATGTTACCAAGTTCTACCAATTCGGGCCTGGCTATAACATGAGCGCCGTGGCTGGTGGCGTCTATGCCAAAGCTACCGCCAAGTTGCTGCAAGAAGACGGCAAGCTGTGGTTATCCTTTTCCCACGACAACGATTTATTGAACTATATCACTGCTCTTGGACTCATCACAGATACCGAGCTGGGAACGGAAGACGTGGATTTCCACAGAAATTTCAAAACTTCTGAGCTAGTTCCTCAAGGAGCCAGACTTATTGTCGAGAAGCTTAACTGTTCTGATACCCAGTTCGTGAGAATTATTCTGAACGACAAAGTGTATCCTGTTCCAGGATGCTCCTCAGGGCCTGGCTACACTTGTCCACTAGATGATTACCTGGACATTATTACTCCAGAGGTTGACTATGCATCCGCCTGTGAACTTCCAGACGACGCCCCTAAGGAGATCAGTTTCTACTGGGACTGGAAGCCAACCTTTGAAGACAACTAGAGACCTGCTGCTGGGCGGCCTAGTTCTGCGTGCTACCGTTTGTAAAATTCTAGGTGAAACCCTAGTGTAGTTCTTAAATGAAAGCTAAAGTCTAATATTTAGAAGTGGGGTTCCATCGGTCGATTTAGAGCTTTGAACCTCTCTGGTTATAGCTGGCCACACACTCAAGTTCGACTTTCACTTGCTTGTTAGGGAATCCCACAACAACACAAGATCTGGAAGGCATGTGAGGGAAATAGTCTTTGTACACAGAGTTGACGGTGGCAGCATCCTTTGGATCAGCAATGAACAAAAGAACCTTCAGAACTTGCGAAAGAGAGGAATCTGATGCATGAAGGACTCTTTCCAGCTTTTGGATGGCTAATTTCGTCTGCTCAGCTACATCCGATGGAAACGTACCGTCTGGTCTACTGCCGACGTTTCCGGATGTGAATACGTGGCCATTACTTTTGTAAGCTGGTGAAAGTAATGGATTGCCTTCAGCTTGAAGCTTTTCCCAAGAAACCTGCTGCATTGATATTAAGTAATTTGGATATCGAGTAAAATGGAAAAGTTTTCAAATGTCGGATGAAGCCGATTACCTAAATTAGCTTATCTGAGAAGATATCTGATAAATAAAAAAATACTTATATCTGGATTAAATTAGGCAGCGCTCTGCAGCCTCTCGAAGTTTTTCCTCATGGCCTCTTCAATAAACTCTTTTCCGGTCACTGGAGGATACTTCTTCAGAGGGCCTTGAATCACAACATCCGTATTAGCCTGGTTGAAGTATGCAATGGTGTAGCGGTCTCCTTGGTTTTCGTCTGGAGTCGGAAGTCGAACTCTGTGAAAGTTAGATTTCAAGATGTCGTCCGACCAGGACATCAACATGTCGCCAATGTTGATCACAATATCGCCCGTTTTTGATGGAACAGGTGTCCATTTGTCTGAGTAGCCATAATCTGTGTGAGCTTCGCGGCCAGGACATACTTCCAGACCATGGTCGCCAGTTCGTTGAAACAAAAGAGTCAAACAATCAAAGTCCGTGTGAGGCCCCGCTCTCCAGAGATTGCCGTCATATTTCTTACCGTTGGTATCAAAGTAATGTAGAAGTCTCAAAGTCGTTTGGGCTGTATCAGAACTGATGATATGGGCCTTCGTGAAAAAGTCCGTAGGATATCCTAAAGCTTCTGCAAACAATTCCATCACGAAATTACTCAGATTCTGACATTTCTCCATGAAGGCTTTTGTCTGCTCTCGCCATTCTTTACCGACGTCTTCTTCAGCTGGCCAGTTCTGATTGATTCTGTGATATTGCAACTGCAAAGATTCCTTTTGATCTGCAGTGCCGGTGGAAGGTCTTATTTGAGAGCAAGACTCAAAGCCCGAGTTCAGTAGCTTGATGTGAGGGGTTTTCATTTTGACATCATAGGGAAGACCAAAAAACTTCTGAGACAGCTGGAACATCTCTTCAATGTCCTCTCGTGATGGACAATCTTGTTCACACAGCGTGAAAAAGCCAATATTTTTAGCTGCATAAAAAAGTTGCTCTTTGATCTCCTCTCTTCGGTTGTCTTTATCCTTGAGACTGATCTTGGGTATGGTCCGCTCAATGTAAGTCATACTTTCGAATGCCAGAAATTATTGTTGAAGCAAGAATTTTGTCTTCTTTTTATAAGATCAGCTATCAGCGACTGATTGTTTTGACCGACTCGGGCCGACTCCTCGGGCCGCATGATGATGCATGGCTGAGAAAAAAAAATTAAGATTTGATCCAGAAAGTAAAACTTCAATTAATGGGTCCAATCAGATCGAAAACGGCATGTCAAAAATGCCGTTCACTAAAACACAAATGCGATTTTAACTATCCTAGTTGCTCAAGGTGCGACAGACTTGGCGTGGAGTGTATGGTGCTTGATTCTTCTACCAGGCAGCTAAGACCAAGAGCTGATTATCCAGATCTTTTTCGCCCCCTTCCAAAGGAAGAGCCGTCCATAAGAATGCTTGAAAAAAGAATAGAGCTCCTAGAGGACAGATTAGCAAAATACGAAAGCATGTTTGAAAGCCCTGGTACTGTAAATAGTCCTTCTGAAGCGTCTATGGGCCACTTAACTGTTTTGTCCATGATCCCGTTCAGAAATAACTCTCCAACTGTGGATAACGAATTCACTAAAATTTCCATCTATGGCAAAATTGACTCAAATCAGCCCGTGGACAAATCAGAGCCACTTCCATCCTCAGAGGCTGAATGCACACAGCTCATCTCCAACTACTACCAAATAGCCTGGATACAGCATCCAATAGTGGAAGACGAAACTATTTTGTACACATTAAGCTCCAAGCATTATCAATCTCCTGATAGTCTATCTCACTGGGAGCATTTTCTGCTTTATATATCGCTTGCCATTGGAACGGCAATCACAGGCGACATGAGCGATAAATCTCAGAGTTATTACCTGAGCTCCATCGTGCATCTAAAGATTTTCCTTGCTAAAACCACCTCTCCAGGACCAGACAATCGCGATATCAGCTTTCAAATGCAAATCCTACAGTCCCTTTTACTAATATGCTGCTTTGGTCTGCTGAAACCAGTTTCTCCCGGAATATGGTATGTGATTGCAAACGCAATGAGGCTATGTATTGACATGGACTTGCACGAGGAGTACGTGGTGAAAAAGATAGGGAGAAGCTATTATAGGAGACTATTCTGGTGCTGCTATGCCCTCGATCGACAAATATGCTGCTATGTCAATAAACCATTTAGTCTAAATGACACAGACATTACAACCAACTTCGATGAGGTGTCGGTGGGCGATGACAGGCTTGCCATTTCGTCACTATTCTTCAAGATTCGAAAGTTACAGTCAATGATTCAACAGTTTAGCAGTAAAAAAGCTGTTTCAAACATGAACAAATCCGTTGTCAATTGGAGACATGAGATGCATGTCGAACTCAACTCATGGCTTGTTCAAGCTCTAGAATTTGAAAACAATACACATTCAACAGTAAAGCAGGCATTTTTATCTTCCAAGAATTACCTAATTCTAACCTACTTCCAGCAATTGCAGAGACTTTACAAGCCAGACAACATGTCTCCCGAATGTCTCACATTCAAAGAGTTCATGGCCTTGTTTGAGAGCAGTACTAAGATAATAGCTACTTACGAGGTTCTGAGCCAGACTCGAAGAATTAATTATCGATACTTATCTGTCTACTCTATTTACCAGTCAGGACTGACAGTGCTATATTGTTTTATAAATTGTGCACACCTCCGACTATTTGCAGACACAGTCGAAAAGCTTGAACATACCATGACAATAACTAAAGACCTACTTCAAAAACTGGAGATCCATTGTCCGCCAGCGCGGAGCGCCATGCAAACTCTAGAGACAGTACATCGCGACACAGTCGAAGAAGTCATCCAGAAAGGAGCTCTAGAAAATAAATATATTTTTGATTGTGGGTCACATTATGGACCATTCAACTCGAATTCTATCTCGCTTCTTTCTCATAACGGAGCAGTTCCATTGATAGAGAACAAAACAGTTACAAAGGAGGTGCCGGACACTCCTACATACGGTTTGAGCGCAACCAGTAATGTCTCCGCCTTGAGGAGTACTCGTCCCCCAAGGTTATTTCATGATTCTCCGAAGGAGTCATGGGAGTCGCTGTTTGAGGAGCCCTTTAATTTGAAGGAGCTCATGTTTGACTGAGTGCTCTCTAAGATATGCAAGAAAAAGTTAGCACTTTCTCGATATTTGTAAACTAAACGGAACGTTGATTCGATGGCTCAAATGGAAGTAGAGCCGAGATTAATCCCAAAGATCCAATGATTCCTCCACAAACCCAAATTGGAATAGAAGAACCTGACTTCTCACCATACCAATATGTGACTGGCGAGAAAGCACCAGAGACTCTCGCAGCCACCAAAGCAAGTCCCACACCCGTGCCTCGGGCTTGTGCTGGGAGCACCTCTGGAGTGTATGCATACAAGCATCCATAGTAAATGTTGATGAAGAAGTACGTAGCGGAGCTGAATCCTGCATCTCCCGCTGGTGTCCGCACAGTTGTGTAACCAAACAAAATCGCCATGGTAGCAAGAGCTCCAAAAGTCATGGTATATCTTCGACCGACCTTCGGAATAAGTATGATATACCCTGCAAATATAGGACCAAAAATGCCCACAAAATTTGCAATAGACGAGTTTCTGTAGACGATATAAGTGGAAGTTCCCGTATTTCCTCCATGTGATGCAATATAAATATAGAGGAAGTTGTAGAAAACACTGTAGGAAATACCAATGAACAGCCATGAAAGCAAAACCAAGCTTGTGGACCATGCGTTAATCTTATCTTGGTAGAGAATTTTGAGGTGGTGAGTGACGATCGAGACGATTTTCTTAGGATCCCACCCGTCTTCGGAGGCCGTGTAGTATTCAGATGAAATCTCTCCACATTCTTGAAGCTGCTCCAATGTCAACGAACATTTGCGATTGTACTTCTTGGCAAGTTTCTGCAAATTTTCGACCGCTTCGGCATCCCTTCCAACAGAGACCAAAAATTTAGGTGTTTCGTCAAGTTTAAACCAGAAGAGACGAAGCAAACCAGAAAGCAGAACAATTGCACTATTGACATACCACGTGTATCTCCATCCTCTGTTAATACTTGAAGGACAATGATCTGCACCACTGCAAGAGAAGTTCGGCAGGAATGCCCAGGCCAAAAGGTTTGTGGTTGTCTGACCGACTCCCCACCATGCTGCCATCACAGTGTTGAGGTACTGGTACTTAAATGGAAGATACTCCAAAAACACAGCAACATCCATTGCCAAATTTCCACCCGCACTGAAGTTAGCGAGAGCCACAAATATGCAGTAGGTAGACATAGAACTCATACCACCGGCCAAAAATCCAAACATGGAAGTCAGAAGCAAAGACGTGTTAAAACACAATTTTCTTCCAATAAGGTCGCCACCGAAACCCCAAAAAATCGATCCAACGATCAATCCAACGTAAGAAATCTCAGTGTCAATAGGGTATCCAGTTCCAAACTGATACGCGACATATTTGTGAACAGAAGACTGAATCATTTCCATTTGCGAATCAACAGAATACCCGTATCCTGCGATGCAGAACAGTTTCACGTGGTACCAAGTAAATCCAATCTCATCGATCGCGTTGTTGATGAGATACATTTTCTTGGACAAAACCGTATCTTTCTTTTCAACGGCTATATTATCCATTTTGCTGATCTCTGGTTGAAGTCCACTCTCCAGAGAAGTCGCAACATCTTGGCTGACATGAGCAGGTGCCTTTTCCTCAATCATTATTTTCTGAAATTCTAAAAATTGGACACTGAAAAAAACACCTCGACGTTTTTTGGCGCACGTTGATGACATTATATTATATTCACGTTTATCGCTTATCGGACAATTCTCTTATCATGCATATTGTTGAAAAGTGCATTTTTTTTTTTACTTACAATTACCTGATTTGGCGTCAATACCCGGTTCCTTTCTATTTTTATTGTTCTGATATCAAACTACCCCTGCTATAATACCGCCGAGCTTCCCCGTTGCGCTTTGATAAGCAATCTGACCGCATCATGCGCCATGCCCCATCCTCCCTGGTACCCATACCCAGAAGCTCCATAATTATGGATTACGAGTTTTCCATCTTCGACTTCCTCGACCTCAATTCGAGGCCCTCCATGACGCGAAGGTCTAAGTCCTGCAGCCACTCTCACCACGTCCAGAGGTCTATCTAGAATTTGGGGTGCCATACTAGTTGCCCTCTTGATGATATCCTCAGTCTCATGCTTGAAAGTATCGCCGGTGCTGATACCCTTTTGCAAAAATCCTCCCATCACGAGCTCTCCGTTAGAGTTCGGCCGAGGAATTATGTAGGTTGCAGATTCGTTGGTCCACAAACACATGTTAAATTGTATATGTGGAGCTTTGATGACCACGACTTGCCCACGCGTAGGATACACATTTGTATCCTTCACACCGCCCAAAGTTATTGCACCAATTCCGGTGCAGTTAAAAACCACCTTAGTGTTTGGTGATAGAAAGGCTTGTGACAAATGCTCGAGTTTTTTCTTGATGATAGTCACACCAAGGTTTTCTAGGTAACTGGCCAAATTTTGCAGGAACAGGGGACAGTTAAAGTTCCAGGTGGTGTAGCTAATTCCAAAAGCAATTCCCTTAGGCAGCTCACTTTCGTCGAGAACGCGGAAGTCTTTCACGTACTCCTTCAGCGACTCCATTTTCTTGGCCGGAGGATATTTGTGGAAGTAGTCTGTAGCTGGCCTCATGTCCAGACCACATGACCGACCTCCCAGTTTTTTCTGGATCTCAGCCAGATGGGTGTAGGTATAGCGATCGTAGGAAAGAGATTTTTTATCCCCGGGACTAATGCATGAAAAATTACCACCGGCCCAAGGAGAGGTGTAGTTAATGCTCTGATCGCCTGGAATATAAGCTGCAGTTATGCTTATGTTTTTTGGACTGACGCCAGCTTCATATACCAGCGAGTACGCTGTGTACAATCCAACTATACCAGCTCCCACAACAACGTATGTATCACTCATGATCTAGTGAAATAAGATTTTTAGGCTCACTTTTATATGCCGTGAATGCGGTGATAAAAACTAAATTTCTCGGCCGCAGAATTTGATGGTGATCATCCAATTTTTTTACGACCGCACACTCGCTACGGAATGATTACCAGGAAACGGCTGATTACTTCTTGCAAGCCGTGCTATCTCGCTAAGAGGAAGTGTGGGAAGGAGAAACCAGCGTGTCGACGATGTTCACGTTTGGGAAAAAACTGCGATTATTTTACGGAGGAGCAGATTATCGAGCGAACTTACAATAGAAAATATACTAGCCAGCCTAGAACTAAAAAGCATTATGATTTGGGGGTTGAAAGGCTTGACTCTAACACGCAGCTTGTTCCCGAAACCAGGAATCTGGAGAAAAAGAATTTCAACTTAATCATCAGCTCTACAGGCGAGTACTCGAAGTATTTTTCGCTTTTCTTTTTTCCGTTCGCAGAAAAGGAATCAAATCTCAGTACGATCATCGGGTTCGGTCATGATGACCATGGTCGGTGTGTTGTCTTTGATTTCACAAAGCCTGTGAAACCTTTATCTGGTGTCCGCGACCTGGTTGAGCGACTACCGTCTCGAGGGGACTGCAATTTTCTTGTGATGTATTTTTTCGAAAATATCCATCCATATATACCCATTATAGATCAAGAGGAATTTTCTATCCACTATGGGCAGTTGTGGAATACGCAAGAAAAATACAGAGATCTCAATGGACTTCTTGAAATACTAGCAGTGCTGTTTAGTAGCTCACTGGTGAATCAGCTGTCCAATATGTATCATTACGGAAGCATGCAACATATTAGTGACAAAGTGGACTTTGAAAATGTCAAGCTCAATAGCTTCCGTGCAATCGAAAACATCAAGCATTGGATAAGCATAATGAACTCTCCCTCCATGTCATCTCTTGTCGCGGCCACCCTTATTTATTATGTTGGGTCGCTGAACTGTATTGGGAAGAGCAGTGAGATAGCATCTCTCAGCCGTCTGTGTCAGATAGCGGGCCTACACAGGAACTTCTCGGCTCAGTCATCTGGAAGCTCCCTAAGATACATTCTTTACAGTTTCATTTCCTACATGGACTCGCTGTCATCGTACTACAGTGGACTGCCTCCTACTATGCATCGGGATTTCTGCGAGACCTACAAAAATCTTCCAACCGATCTAGATCACCACTCACTGGTCTATTTGTCTATACAGTTCTACAATGGGATCCTCTGGGGAGACATCATCGCAGAAATGAACAAAATTCGAGTTACCACTCAGAGTGAATATGACTCTATATTTGAGCGCTTTATTGATACACAACGGCTGGTCAATAGTTTGAATCACAGGCTATTGACAGAATTCGATCTTGATCCTATCTATGCAAAATGGCTACTCACCGAGGGAAGGCTTGGGATTCGCAAATCAGCTTTACTCATTAACATATTGAGGGATTCCATCGTGTCTTCAGAAGATTCTTTGGATGATCCTAGCTACAGTCTCCTTCTTCAGTCGCTGCTACTGGTCAATGAGTCTATGATGAAAATTGAACTGGAACTTCGATGTAAGCCTGCATGTCTGTGGGTGATCAGGAACTCATACCCATTCCAAGCTTTGACTATAGTACTGAAGCATATCCAGCAGCACCCTAATGATGAAGTTAATTTTAGCATGCTTCCAGTCGACGAAGAGTATACCGCCGATGAATTGTTTGACTACGTAAATGGTGATATCAGGGCACCACTAGTGAGGAAATGCATCCATTCGCTAGAAAAGATCAAGGTACTATGGCCAGCTGTGTTACTCACAAGATTTGATGGGGTGATCAAGGTTAAAAATGAAGTGCTATGAATTTAATAATAAGGTAACTGAACTCTATGATTGTTCATCGGAATCGCGAATGTTGTTCGGATTGCACTCATGGAGAGTTTAATGCTGGACTGTAGACCGACTAAGGTTCTGATTATACTTGCAAGGCTGAATTATTTCTATATTGATTATGATGATTAATTTAATCTATGTTGGGCACTTGATCTGTTTATCATAAACTGCAGTTGCAACTTTCACTCCCCAATCCCAGTCTGGATCCTCGACGTACTCTGCCTGACCGTCTCTTTTGAGAAGTCTGATTTTCCTGGCATCAGAGGACGGCCACTGCGTGATGTTCTGTTCAAAGTTCACAAATTGAAGATACGGTTGCAGCCATCTATTGATCACTAGCCTTTCAGGTTCTGTGTACCCTTCTCTGAGACAGTAGAACCACAAATGTGCGTCACATGCATGAGGAACATTCAAGTCCGGACTAATGTGCTGGTCAAGCCATTTAGCACGGAAGCTAATTCTGTATCTGTAAATGTCTTTTTCTGGATATCCATTCTGAACCAGAGAATTTATGTATCCTCTGGCAGACGCATAAACTTGACCGTCAGAGATGATAGCACCATAAACTTTCCTCAGGTCCTCCTTGAAATCTGGGGAATTTTCATCAAGCTTTTCAGCGCCGTATAAGTCCATCAGAGTAGGAACCACAACTTTAGGATAATAGTTTTCAACTTGAAGAGGAAGTTCTGAAACAGTCTGGGGAGTGTTGAGGTAGGAGTACTTAACAAGTTCATTGTCAACCTCACCAATCAGAATTCTCACTCCTTTTTCATGAAGCATCTTAGCGTGTTTTCCTGAACGAATGTCCTTAATGAGGTCTGGTGATATAAAATGGCCATCGGTGACAGCTCTGAAGGTATGCAATGAGAGAGTAGGAATGAAATCTTCAATAAAGCCCGTATCTAAAGATCTCAGCTTGTGCAGCTTTTCTGCCGAGGAGGCATTCGGGTTAATGCCCAGCTTTTCGATTATTTCGTCAAACTGATTCTGCACTTCAGCAATTGTCTTTGGCTGAATGTAGACCATGTTAGAGAAGAACATGGCCTGCTTGATAATCTGCTCGGCTTCTGGATGGTACAGCTCATAAGCAAGCTGGAAAAAAGCAGAGTATGCCCCAGCAGAAATACCTCCAACTGTGATCTTTTGTGGGTTTCCACCAAAATGCTCGATGTTCTTATATGTCCATTCAATGGCCAGTCTTTGGTCCCAGAATCCTTGATTAGAGCACTTCTCATCCTCTTCTAGTAGCTCTTTGGACGACAGGAAACCAAACATGTTGAGTCTGTACCCAGGGGCCACTAAGATGAATTTCTGAGAAAAGTCTTCGTCATCGAACATCTCGTGGACGTTGAACATTTCATTGTTTGGAGTAGAGTACTGAAGGAATCCGCCATGAATGTAAATTACAACTGGCCACCCATCTTTTGGTTTGTATTTGTCCGAAGCAGGAACCCAGATATTGGAGTACAAGATGTTTTCCTCGGTAGGCGACTTGGTATATCTAAACTGGGGGTGAGGGACAGACGGCTGAGGACATTTGAGACCAAAATCTTTGTACTCCCCAGTATAATCATAGTCTGAGGGAAGGGGCTCAGGGAGCTTAAATCTGTTTTCGGGAGTGCTAGGCTTAGCAAATGGAACCTTTGCAAATCGATGGACGGAAGAATTACCTGTTCTTGGCGACTTGAAAGTGTATCCGGTCAGAGTTCCATGACCTGGAATAGCGACGCTGTAAGGTGTGGTACCCTCTGTTGAAACTTGTTGACCCATGCTTAACAGATGGGAAAAGATCCGCTGTATTTATAATGTATAAAATACCAAATAGGAAATTGTGACGTTATCTTTGGAGGATGCGGTCGAGAAATCTCAGCCGCTTCGACGTAGAATTTCAATTATTGATAACAACTTATCAAATGCAAAGAATAAGCCTGTGCCAACAATATATAACGCTCTTTATTCTCCAGATAAGATCAAATAATGACTGACGACCATTCTAAGAAATCAGATTCTGTTGGGGTGATGGAAGTCGAAAATGGCCAGCCATTAACGACGATCATCTCCCCAAGAGGAAAGATCGTCCAAATCACTGACGATGTTGACCAAGCTATGGATTTGGCCCAGGAGGCCGACCACCAAGTATTTTCTGAGCAGGAAGACAGGAAATTACTATTCAAGCTTGATTGTATTGTTCTTCCTCTTTTCTCGTTCCTGTACATGATTCAGTTCATGGATAAGACGTCTATCGGATTCGCAGCAGTCATGGGAATCCGGGCCGATTACAACATGAAGGGACAGATGTACTCATGGACAAACTCGTGTTTCTATCTTGGGTACTTGTGTGCGGCACCATTTTCTGCCATCATTTTACAAAAGTTTCCAATTATCAAGGCAGTTAGCACGTTCATTGTTATTTGGGGAATTATACAGTGCTTACATGTTACGGCAAAGTCATACGCAACATTTGTTCTTCTAAGGACATTGCTCGGAGCTCTTGAGTCTTTCGTGTCTCCTGTCTTCGTTGTCATACTTAACCAATACTACAGACATACAGAACATTTTGGCCGGACTGCAATTTTCTATGGATTCAACGGTCTCGGCACCGTTGTTCTCTCTGGCATTTCCTATGGTCTTTATGAGAGATCTGGAGAGTACACCATGAAAGCTTACAAGGTGCTGTTTATGATCATTGGTATGGGCACCATTGTGAACGGACTGCTGATCAGGCTAATCATGCCAGACACTCCAGCACAGGCCAGATTCTTGACTCACAGAGAGAAGCTCAACGTGGTGGAGAGAATCAGAGGAAACAATCAAGGATTCGGAAACAGGCATTTCAAGAAGTACCAGCTGATCGAATGTGTCACGGACGTGAGAACCTGGATTTATTTCGCTATTGGCATTTTGGTGGCCATCCCCAACGGAGGTATCAGTGGATTCGGAACTATTTTGCTCAAGTCCATGGGATATTCTTCTATCAGATCCTTACTGATGAAGGCTCCTCTAGGAGGTGTGGAGTGCGTGGGTCTTATTGCTCTGAGATACCTATCCATCTTCATCAAGAAAAGAATGGTTTTGGGTATTTCGTACATGGTGCTTGTCGTGATTGCATCTTGTCTGCTCGCTTTTGCACACCAGGAGAAAGCACAGCTTGCTGGTTACTATCTGCTAGGAGTGGCTCCTGTTGGTATCATTTTAGTCACGTCATGTGTCACCTCTAACACAGCAGGACACACCAAAAAGTTGGTTGCGAACGCCATTTCGCTTGTTGGCTATTCCTGCGGAAATATCGTTGGACCTCAGACCTTCCAATCCTCAGACGCACCACACTATCCAAAGGCCAAGGCAACCGTTGTCGGATGCTACTGCGGAGCAATCGCGCTGATGATCATTCTCATGGTGATAAACATCGTGGAGAATCGTCGCAGAGATAAGCAAAGAGAACAAATGGGTGACAGCTACAAGCCGGTTGACAACATGGAGTTCGCCGATTTGACAGACGGTCAAAACCCAGAGTTCCGTTATCGTATATAATCTTTTTCGCGCCCCATTAATTACTGTGGTATGAGTTTCTCGGTACCAGCTAAAACATGACCAGTCCAGGAAACTCGTAATATCTGACAGCTGCCCAGTTCACAAAATTGCCGTCCAGGGAGTCCCGCTCCCAGATTCTCATCAGTAGCGACTCAAATCGCTGGATGTAAGGAAACTTCAGCGTTCCTCTGATATTTCTCATCCTTTTCAAAATCATTCTACGGTCATCCTCTCGACTAGCCACAGACCCAGCAAGAATGAGAGGAACCATTAGTCCACTTTCCAGCTGTGACCCTTCAGGAATAGAGTCTATAGCCTGCAGAATGTTCACCAGACACCCCTTGGGCCTTGAGTCATCCCTGTTGTATCCATAGCGTATCTGATGCAGCCGCAAGAAGCAAGCCCACTGCAACGCCAACGCATACTGCGTCCTCTGAAAATCTGAGATATTTTCAAAATTGATCTCCTCAGGCACATCCCAATTTTGCAACTTCATCTCTATCTCGCTCGCAAACCGATCGAACTCAATATCGTGCTTACTGTCTTTTCCGCGCAGCTTGCGAAGACTTGCTAGAGCAGATATCTTGCCCATTATTTTAAAGATATCACCTGCGATGCCAAACTTAAACCCGAGCTCAATTTTGAGTATATTTGAAGTGTCTCTGTCACTCAGTAGCGAAGAAACAAAGCGAGAATCTATTTCTGCATTAAACAATGAATTCTCATCCACGAGACATGCAACATCAAACTCTTCTAGCGATTCAGATATGTTGTAGCTTGTCTTAAACTGGCTCATTTGCTGCATTTCGATATACGGTGGGTTGCATGTGCTCAAACTTGATACAAAATCCAGATAACAAAAAAGCTGGACGCTAATCAGTTTTAGCTGGTCCTCTTTGTCATTTGTTAGAGACAGAATACCACCACATCTCTCAAGTATTCTGTAAGCTCGTTTCAGCAACTGAGACCAGTCAAGACTATCTCCAACAAGGATTTCCATCATCACAGACAGCAGCACAGAGAGAAGTTCTATCTCATCTGAGCACTGGGGATATTCAGAGAGTTTCGAGCGAGCGCGATAACTGATCGAATCTCTATAGGCCGGACTAAGCTCGCGAACGGAGCACAGCTCATGGTCTAACTTGCAAGAGCGATGAGTCGCAGCGATCCCCAAAATAGGGTCTCTGATCTGTTGGTAGAGTAATGCAAGATTAACTACCTGCTTGAGGAACACATGAGCGTGGCTTTTAGCAAACAATATTGGTGCTACGTCATTGACAAAGTACTTCATGTACATTTTTTCTGTTTCCTTGAGCTCGTCGAAAGCATTGATTTCCTTCATTAGCAGATTTTCAGCAGAGGTCGCGGTACCAACGCCTCCACTGCATTTGATGCCAAGCCGTGAGCACAACTTACATGGCCAGGTTTCGTTCTCGCACTTGCGCTTTCGTCGCTTGCAAGTGAGACACCCGTTCTTGTTGTATTTTCGCGGCTTCTCTGGCTTATCGTCCATCGGCTTTGGCGGTCTTCCTATTTTCTTAACTGGCCGCTGATTGGTGCAATTCCAACCGTTTCGAAAGCATCGGTCACACGGATTTCCTCCTAAGCAGACCTGCTTTAAAGCATGACACCAATCGCAGGCTCGTTTCTTTGGAGCTATAGTCATGATGTATTTTCAGGCTTGAATTATTTTACTGATAAGCGAATCTGATAACTTTGCACAGCCTCAAATGGCAATAGTCTTAATATAAGTATTTAAAAGAACGATTCTCGAAGTCGGTTTTGTTGAGATAAGCGGCCGCAACATCCTCGTCAATGGCTTTTTCTGCCTCCTTACTTCTTTTCTTGTTTCTCATAAAATAAACAAGATTGATTAGAGCGGCGATCCCTATGGTAGCAGCTTGGGTTGCAAGCATGCTGACTTTTGCCGGAATGTAGTCCGGATAGTCGTCTGCTCTGTATGATTGTGGACCAAGGATATTAGCTAAACCAAACCCAAACATGACCGCAACGTTGAAGCAAATTTTCTTTGTGTGTCCAGCAACACAATTACCGACCCACGCGTATACAATAGCCAATGGAGCAACAATAGTGTTGATCATGTATATTCCAACAAGAAGTCCAGCTTGGTTGGATTTTGGCAAGAAAGAGAGGAGCGCGCCTCCGCAAACTGCAGGGAGACATAGAATCATGATCGACAGTCCTCTAGGGAAACCTTTCATAATGAAGAAAGTCGAAAGGAGCGTGGAGATAATTGAGACGGCTCCGGACGGCATATTCAATAGCGCAGCTTGTTTTGACGTAAAGCCAAACGAAAGGATGTCAACAGAAGAGAATGTTGTAATAGTGTTGGAAGAGAACGAAATTGTGCAAGCGATAATAAAAAAAAGGTACAACGTGATGTCGGTCAGAGCTTCCCAGACTTGCGATTTCACAAATTTCTTGCTCTGTACACCAATTTTCGCTTCGCTGAGTTTAGTGAGCAGAGCATATTTCTCGTCGTCAGTCAAAAACCTGCAGTCGACTGGGTTGACAGGTAGGTAGAAATAGGCGGCTACTCCCACCAGAAGATTGCCGAAACCAACGACAAGAAACATGATTTTCCACCCTTGAAAAGGTGCCGAAGGAGATATCTGCTGGAATATAAAAGAAATGAGTCCTCCGATTATTTGTCCACCGCCCAAACCACAGTACCAGATTCCCGTTCTGAAAGCAGCCTGGCCTCTGGTGTACCAAGAAGCCGTGATAAGAACCAAACAAGGTGCAATGGCGGCCTCTGAGCAGCCCAAAAGAACTCTCACGCTGAGCATACCGGCAAAATTAGATGTAGCACTGCTGCACATGCAAAGCACACCCCATATCATGACGTTGACAGCCAAGACTCGTGTAGGCGAGTTTTTCTGGATGAAGAAGCCTTGAATGGGTTCAAAAACAAGGAAACCAACAAAGAAATATGTCGCGAGATCAGAGAACTGGTTACCGACCAGACCCAGGTCTTTTTTCAAACCCATGATATTTGCATAATTCAAAGCGACTTTGTCGATAAATTGGCAGGTGTAGCATAAAAACATGATCAGCATCATCTGTTTGTCAATTTTCTTTGTGACGGCATTCAAATCCACAACGGTCATTGACGTGGGTCCGTTTTTCTCGTACTCCCTTATAAACGTGAGAGTGATATCGTGATCCTCGTCTGCAAAAATGTTACTCTGAGCACTCAACACCGAGGTTATTGGGTTTGGCTTGTGAGCCAGGTCTTCGGAGACAATCTCAACAGTGTTTTTGTCTGAACTCATACTTAGACTGTCAGCAACACAGGCCGACATGTGTGTCATATATACAACTCAAGCACATCTATTATTTGACTTTAGCGAAAAAAAAATAAAAAATTCATGTGATAAGATAAAGATAAGCGCAAATTGCGAAAAAATCTCCGAGCGGAACAAATAGGAAAGTCTCCGGCTCGAATCTTGTAATGGATATTTAAGCTGAGCGCCAATAGTGGTGTTTGCAAGAATGCCCGAAAGAAAACAGAATCTGAACGTTGGAGTCATTGGTGGTGGAATTGCTGGTCTCACGGCAGCGATCAGCCTCCGCAAATTTGGCCATGAGGTGACAATATATGAGAGATATCACTACGCAGGAGAAGTTGGTGCAAGTTTATCCTGTGCTTCCAACGGAGGGAGGCTGCTTAAGGAGCTTGGTATTCCTTTGCTGGAGACTAAACCAGTCATTTTGCGCAAGCTGATCAAACGTCGGTTTCACAACGGCGAGATAAGTGGGGTCTACGATCTTGGCGACTACGAAGAGTCTTTTGGAGTGCCGTACTACAATCTTCATAGAATTGACATCCACGATTTGCTTCTCAAGTATGCTTTGGATGATGACGGAGAAGGCATTCCTTGCAAACTTCTAGTCGATCACAAGGCACTGACTGTCGACGCAGAGTCTGGAACGGTTACTTTCGAGAACGGACATAAGGCAACACACGATCTGATCGTTGCTGCTGATGGAATCCGATCACTCACACGGGAGCAGATTGGAAACCCACCAGATTTTGAACCATCAACATCCTGTTGCTTTAGATGCTTGTTTGACACGAAAGAAGTGGTGGCCAAAGGTCTCACCGACTTTTCTAAAAACGAGGCCATTGAATATTGGTGGAGAGGAATTCCAGGGTCCTCTGGAATTGACAAAATTGTCATGTCTCCTTGTAAAAGTGGCGAAGTGGTTTCCTGCTATTGCTTTTATCCAGCCGTGAAAAACGACCTTCGTATGGGTGGCTGGAACGACGAAGCTTCTGTGGAAGAGCTCTGTGGCACGTTCCCTGATCTTGATCCAAAAGTTCTGGATCTGTTCAAGATTGCTTACGATATCAAGCAATGGAGACTGTATGTTCATCAGCCTTATGAGCACTGGCAAAAGGGAAAGGTTGTGATGATGGGAGATGCCATCCACCCAATGATGCCCGATCAGTCTCTTGGTGCTGTCACGGCCATTGAGGACGCCTTTGCCATTGGCTACATTTTCAGCGATCGTTTCAGGTTTTCCGTCCAAGACGGTCTCAAGCTGTATGAGAACGTCCGCAAACCACGTGCTACCAGAATCCAGGCCGCTTCCTTGAGAGCACGAGAAAATTTGAACGAGCGTATTGGATGGTCCAGCAAGGATAGCGACCGGCCTGACAAGCTGACAATTACTGAGATTTGCGGCTACGATATCAAAGCCGATATTGAAGAACAGGCAACAAAAATGGGAATTTTATAGTTACTCCATACGGTTATACAATTGGTTAACTAGATCCAGCACCGAATCCTTTATCGGTCTAAATGTAACACCCAAAATCTGAATTGCCTTGGACGAGTCGGTAGTGAAATGATCCGGCTCGGCGTATTGGTAGGGTGTCCCGATAGGAACGTTTTTTGTTCTTGCAGTGCTGAGGTTGTCTCTCAAGCTATCGCAAATTTCTTGGTTGCTGAAAACCCCAGCAGATATCATGAATCTCTGGTTGGCTGCTTCCGGCACGATTAGCGCACGGTAATGAGCAAACGCAAGATCCCGCACATCCACATACACAGGGCCTTTCGTCGGCGGGACTGGTGCGGTTGATCCAGAAGTTGCCATTTTCCAGATGGTCAAGTTACTGAAATTCAAATTGTCCAAAGACGGGAGCAGCTCTGTAGTTGCAAGCGGGCCGTAGACCATAGGTGGACAGAGAACAGCAATGTCGAAAGATGGTTTTTTCTCCTTGATAAAGTCCCAGGCCGCTCTTTCTGCAACGATTTTCGATGCTCTGTATGCAACAGCTGGATCTTTGGTGTTGACTCCATCTTCGTATGTCAGTGGGGAGAAATCATTTTCGGTCAAAACAACGTTTGGTTGCAAACCCTTGGTGGCATCAAAAACTGCTGCAAAGGAAGAGGTGATAACCACTCTTTTGATTGACTTGTGAGCAGACGCAGCTTCCATTACCGTCCGTGTACCATTTAGGGCTGGGTCCAACAGTTCCTTTGCAAAGTCCTTAACAGCATAGGTGTATGGGCTTGCTAGGTGTAATATTCCCGAACAGCCCTCAGCTAGCCGCATCAGCGAGCCGAAGTCGCTCACATCCTCTATGACTCCAAAGGTTAGCGCAGGATTATACTGCTCAAACGACTTGACTAGCTGCTCTCCTTTAGTTTTGGACCGGACAGCAGCCTTGACTTTAAAGCCGTTTTCGAGAAGAACCCGGATACAGTGTGCGCCTATAAAGCCAGTACCTCCTGTTACAAGCACAACAGAACCCTTAGGAACTATCCAATCCAGAGTCATGATGTGGAAAGATATGGGATGCAGATATCTTTTAAACCTTGGGGAGCACCTGGCGGAATTCGAGAAAGCTGCCGGTGGAATTTACAAAATAGTCGCTGTCGGCCTGATAAGGGCTGATTCCGCGTATCTAAAAAGTTAAAGTCCTGTGGGCCAGAGCCAGCTCCAGAGACGTTCTGTAGATAAAGTCACGTGCCTGCCAAAGGTTCTTATTCATATGCTGGAAAGGATGTGGCACGCCCTCGTAGCATTTGTACACAACCTCTATTCCGTGGTCCATCAGCTTTTTGGCGTACTCAAGGCCTTCACTACGTAGAGGATCCAATCCAGCAGTGAAAACGAGAGTTTTGGTCAATCCCTCGAAATTGGAAGCCAGCATCAAATCTTTCAGCCACCCAATTTCGGTCAATTCCCTCTGCTTTTGCTCCTCGGTCAGATCGTTGAGCCACTTCCACTTGATGTCATCAAACCATTTCAAACGTGCCCAATTCAAAGTAGGCGCGAACTCACACTCTTTGATCGAAGGATATGGAGAGTCTGCTGCGGTTTTGACGTTCGAGATATCCGCAATTTGGGGAGTACCGGCACAAACCAGCACCAGCTTGAGCCCAATGTCGCGGCAGAGATGGTCTACAGCCAAACAAATGTGGCCGCCAGCGGAAACTCCCCCGACCGATATGGAACTTTTATCAAATCCAAGCTCATCAGCGTTCTCGTAGACGTATTTGGTGGCTTCAAAGCAGTCCTTGACGCCGGTGGGAAATTTGTATTCCGGAACTAGTCTATAATCGACGTCCACAACGGCAATTCTTGCTCTTGCAACGTACTCTTTCAGAATGTGAGCTTCAGTGTCGAGATCACCAACTGCCGCACCGCCTCCATGGAAATCCAAGTGAACAGGCAATTTCTCAGAATCTGAGTAGTCGTTTGGCCTGTAGATTCTCAAAGCCACTTGCTCGCCATCAAAACTTGGAAATTTTATGTTTTCAATGTTCTTGATTTCTGGGGCAGGAGCAGTTCCATAGGAGTAGATTTTATTGTAATTTTTTCTAAGCAAAGGAAGATCGATAGGACGGTTGGGGGTATTGGCAACGTGCTCATTATACATCTTCTCAAACTCTGGATCGAGTTTGCCGACCATGGAAGGGTGGATGGGGTTAATTGCCTCGTGTCCGCTCATATTATCGCAGGAGATTTGATTTCGAGGAGTATAAATATTACCATCCCTCGCGAATTCCGCCGGCTACTTTATGTATCAATTCCGCAGCGATAAGATTTATTTTATCTTAAATGGAGCTACGGGCTTGAAAATAAAAAGACCGACTTTCCAACACGAGGAAATTAATGTCTTGGGATCAACTGCCAATCCTCATCTCGGGAGCTGGAATTGCTGGGTTGCTGACCGCGCAAGCTCTCAAACGGCTGGAGATTCCATTTATCATCTTCGACAGGGATGAGTCTGTTTCGTCTCGCGGCCAAGGATGGGGCATCACTCTGCATTGGGCTTTGAATGATTTCCTCTCACTTTTGCCGGAAAACATACAACACAAGGTGTTTGAATGCCAAGTGCTGGAGGATTTCCATTTAAATGACAGCGGGAACTTCGTGTACATCAATGCGGGAACTGCAAATTCGTTGGTTCACATTCCTCCGTCCAAAAGACTTCGAGTCAGACGGGAGCAGATCAGAAAGACGTTGCTAGAGGGAATTGATGTTAACTGGAGTTGCAAGACTATGGAGGTCAGAGCTACAGATGCCGAAGTGACAGTTCTATGCGAAAATGGTAGAACGTTCACTGGCAAACTCTTGATTGGGGCAGAAGGAAGCAATTCCGCCACTAGGCGATTCACCAATCCAGACAATTACCAGCTATATGACCTTCCAGTGAGATTTTTGGGCTCCACTGTAATTCTCACCCATGAGGAGTACGAAGAGGTCTCAAAACACTTTGACAGTCTGCTATTTCAAGGAACAATACCATCCAACGATACGTTCTTCTGGTTTTCTCTGCTTTCCTCTCCAGCACACAACGGAACCAATTTCTATGAATGCCAGGTGAATTTTTCGTGGAACTGTCCCAACAAGACCGCCGAGAAGTTTGGCACCGTGGAAGACAAAATCAACGTTATCAAAAGAGTATCTTCGGGTTTGAACGAAAATCTCATGTTTCTGCGAGATAAAATGGTAGCAGCGTCCGATCGATTTATGGAGATACGGCTTTCTGATTGGCCATATGCCGACTTTGACGATAAACAGGGCAAGATTATTCTGATTGGAGATGCTTGCCATGCCATGGTCATGTACAGAGGAGAGGCCGGAAACCATGCTATTGCAGACGTGAAGCTTTTTATTGATCTGCTGGAGAAATGTCGGAAACAGGAGAACTCGTGGCCGGAGATGATCCGTGCATACAAAGACGACGTCAAAGCACGCGCTGGTCCTGCTGTGCTACTGTCACGCCAGGCCTGTTTGGACGCACACAATTGGGAAAAGCTTAAGGATTTCCAATTGAACAAAAGCCCGCTACTCGCTCTGAGAAAAAAATAATAGCTTATTTCTGAACAACAGCCTGTAGAGACTCAAGAACGCCGTTCTCTGTTTGCTCCATTCTTTCACGAGTAACCAAAAATGGACGAGGAACCTCAAATTCGCTGGATTCGCCTTTAATATATTTGGCAACCGCTTTTGCACAGAGGAGAATCCGGGGCATTCCATGGCCACCAAATCCGGCCAGGATATACTTCTTCTCATCAAGCTCGCCCACATACGGCAGCCCGTCGTCGGCGTAGCCCATTATACCACTCCAGACTTTGGCAACGGCTGACTTGGAGTCCTGCCAGCTATAGAAGTTCTTCTCCATGTACCCTTCAAAGTAGCTTTCAGCATCTGGGACCAAAGTGCTATCGTCCACCACGTTGTAGAAACGCTCCTTGTACGGAAAGAGGTGCTCTTTGGCGCCGCCTAGAATGATAGACCCGTCCGGCCTGTTTATGAGGTAGTCGCTGTTCTGTGCAAGAAGTAGTCCGTAGGAGTTGGTCAGATGCGCCGGAGCTTTATTCCCAGAGGGGGTGATGTGGCTGCAAATGCCCTTGATGGGGACAATCTTGTTCTCAAAACGAGGCTCGACAGAGGCAGTATACGCGTTAGTAGCTATTACGAGAGCCTTGGCAATAACGTCGCCTCTTTCCGTGTGGACTAGGTATTTTCCGTCCTTTTGCTTCTCAGTTCTCAACACGGGAGTGTTGGCTTGTATGTTGAGTCCCTTCGTGGCACATATTTCCAGTAAGGCAACCATCAGCTTATACGGCCACATCTGGCCCGCGGGTCCCGTAATACAAGCAAGCGCGTCGGGCATCTTCGAAAGGATTTTTGCTCGGTCGCCAACATGCAGCTGGAACTCGTGTTTATTTTCAACGTACGGATTTTCCATCATATGATGGAAATTCGCAATTGCCTTTTGAGCACCCTTTTCGGACGTGTACACGTCACAGCCTCTGGTGACAATGTACTCGCACTCAAGTTTTTCCTTTTCGAGCACCTCTCTCAATTCTTTTAAATGTGCCATTTCGAAATTCGTGATATCTGCACAAGCTTTCTGGCCGTATTTCTCGGTGTGCGAGATTGAGGAGCTGTAGAAGCTGGGCTTGAAGTGGCCCCCGTTCCTGCCGGTGGCTCCCGAACACAAAGTTCTGGCTTCAAGCAGGAGAACAGACTCTGGCGGATTTTTTCCATTCAGCAAATAGTACGCCGTAGTGGCTCCAGCGTAACCACCACCGATGATCAGCACGTCGACTTCCGAGGGAAGGTCCTCCGTCGTCCTTGTAGAGCCAAACTCGGTCTCTGCGGTTAGCCAGAACGACCTCGTGCCATTTCCAACAGGGAGATAATTTGCCATGGGAGATATTAAGCGAATGAACTTATCTGAGCAGATCTTAATTTCTCTGCTATCGCATAAACCCGATCTGGTGGGCCGATAAAAAATTATTAAAATTAAAATAGAAATATGTCATAGTACAAACCGGAACTCTTTGTTTTCCGTATCGGTGAGATCCTTCATACCATTGATGATGGCCTGCTGTCTCTCGTCTTCCGTAAGCTCGGCAACAGGGCCATATTTAGCGTCTCTTCTGCGGTTCTCCCATATCAGATAAACTCTCAGGAGCACTGCAAGGACGAAACAGGCACAGAAACAGCCCAGATTTGTAGCCAAAGCCTTGGTGTATTTTGGAGCATCCTTACTCTTAAAGCAGAACGGACCAATGATATTTCCCACTGCAAAGAAAATCAGCAGCAACATGCTCATCGTGGCACGTTTGGTGTGTCCAGCGTAATTTGAACCGATGATCGAGAGAGCAAAAGGCCACGTGACTGCATACGAGTTGATCATCCAGTACGCAAACACACGGCCCCACTTGGCGCCGTGATCTTCCGTGGCGTAGACTGCAGACAGACCGGCAATGGCCAGCAGCAAAGGCGCACTCATTCCAATAGTTCTCAAATTGTTGAACTTCATCGACAAAACGGAGTAGATAAGCATTTGGCCAGATGAGAAAAACGAGCTGCCCACACCAATCGCAATTGATTGCACCCTGTTGTGGACGATGCTCTTGAGCACCAGAGAGCCAAAGTTGGTAAGACCACCGTTTGGAATCATAGACAACGTTATGAACGCAACCATAAGCCACGTCTTTGGGTCAATAAGACAGTCCCAAACCTGGCTGTATTTCCAGTCGTTGGTCTTGACACCCATCATGTTCTTGGAGACTCTCTTGACAGCGATGATTTTTTCCTCCTTGGTCAGGAATCTTGCTTTATCCGGCGAGTCTGGGATCAAGGCCAGCCACACAAAGGCAATAAGCACCGAACAGAGTCCTAAAACCAAGTAAACCAGCTGCCATTCCTTCAAGGAAGAGCCGTGAGCATGGCCCAGACCGTAGGTGACAAATCCAAAAATCACGTAGAAAATACCCTGCATGGAACCCCAGTACATCGTCCGCGAGACCTGTTCTTTTCTGGTGTAGAAAAGCGACGTAAACAACACAAATCCTCCGGACACAGGAGCCTCAAAGACTCCCAGAAGGAATCTGCAGACAAGAATACCTGCGTAGTTTTTGCAACCCATGTGGGCAAGCATGATGATCCCCCACGCAAAAGTGGAGAAGCAGATCACTTTACCAACCGGGTAGCGTTGCAGAAGGTAGGAGGCTGGGAATTGGGCGCCCAGATAGCCAAAATAGAAGATCGACGAGACCCACGAATAGTCGCTTCCCGTGAGTCCAAGGTCTTGCTCGAAGGTGAACAGAACGGCCCATGCCAGTGCGGCCTTATCAACGTAGTTGATACCGTACAGTGTGCAGAGCACCCACATCATGTGGAGGTCCAGTTTTCTGGCTATACGGGAAGACTCCTTAGGGTCCACTTCATCGTTCGCTCCGCCTTCTTGGAACAAGTCATAGGCGACGTCCTTGATAGCTTCTCTTGGCACTTGCAGCTCTGTGATAGAGACCGATTTGGACTTCTCAATAGTTGACATCCTCGATGTTGGGGTCATTCTGGGCGCCGGTATATTTATATATGGTCAGACCGTCGGCTCTGCCTGAATCTGCGGTACTAGATTTGCGAAAAAAAAAATACTGATAGCATGCATGCCAGGCTCTGAAAACAGGACGGGTCCAACCGACGGAAAAGTAGTGCCGCCCGCCGTTGTATTGTCAAACGTACAATAATATTTTAAAGCATAACTTAAAGTCTCTCCATTCTGCGCTATTAGCGAGCATGTCTGAACTTCCGCAATTGAACGAAAAGGAGTGTCTGGACTTCTTGTCCAACTTCATCAAAATCCATTCGCAATCCAGAACGCCAGGCGAGATCGATGCCATCCATTACATGACCCGCGCGATGCAAGACATCGGCTTGAAAGCGGAAAGTTTGGAGTTTACCGACCAGACCGACGGCATGAAGAGATATAACTCTGTTGGTGTCTGGGAGGGCACGAACAAGTATGAGGGGAAGAAACTGCTTTTCAACGGCCATGTGGACGTGAACCCTGTTACTGAGGGCTGGACGGTCGATCCGTATGAGGGCAAAGTGGACGATAACTTTATTTATGGCATTGGTGTCAGTAACATGAAATCCGGCTGTTGCGCCTACTACATGGCTGTGAAGACACTCAAGGAAGCAGGATTCCAGATATCGAAGGACCTGACGCTGACCTTCGTCGTCGGCGAGCTCCAGGGTGGTGCCGGAACCATGGCGTTGCTGGCGCAGAAAGTGATAACAAAAGAGTCTGCAGATTTTTTCATCAACTGCGAGCCGACCGATGTCTATGCTTTAGTGATGCATGCTGGTTCGGCGATTTTCAAGGTCAACGTTGTGGGGGACACTCGCCACATGTCCAAACGTGAAGAGGCCACAGACTCGATCTTGGCGTCGATGGACGCGATCCACCGACTCACGGACCTAAAGTTCTCCAAGGCACGTTCCGCCATGCACGAAAGCGTCAATAGATGCCACGTCGGCACCATCAGGGGCGGTCTCGGAAGAAACTACGAGACATGGCGGCCTCCGCAGGTGGCAGACTTTGTTACATTCACCGGTGCGGCCAGGTATGCACCAGGGCAAAGCGAAGAAATCGTGCTTGAGGACCTTGAGACAGAGCTCAAGAAGACGCAGGAGAAGTATCCCAAGATGAAGTATGAGCTGAGTCTGGAGAAACGCGACTTTATGCCACCATTCGAGGTCGACCCCAAGGCGGAGATTGTGCAACTTCTCAACCAGTGCTACAGGAAGGTGCGTGGCGTGGACCAGCCTACGGGCGCGCTCAAGCCGCCCTGTTTCTACGGGAGCGATGCAGGCCATCTTTACGAGAAGTTGGGCATGCAGGGAATTGTGTGTGGGCCAGGTGGCAAGTACAACACCATGCCAGACGAAAGAGTCGACATTCCAGATTATCTGGACTGTATTCGCGTCTTTATGGAGGTTATAGTTTCTGCATGCGGCGGGTATAAATAAGAAAGTTTGTCGCACACACGACCTAAATGCATGATAAGAGTAAAAAATCAGGCAAGCCTCTGACTTCCGGAAAAGAGCCTTCGGCATATGCGAGCCAAAAAAACTTAGCTCAACATGACCTGGGAGGAAGTTAGAGAGAGAAAGCTAAGCGAGCAGCAGCGGCTGCTCGCCCCATACCAGATCGCCAATCTGCCGTTGCCGGAGCAAGTCAACGACGTGACAGAGTACATCGACACTTTATTTACAGACGAGGAGAACAGGATTGCGAGTCTGACTATTGAGCAGCTGCAGAAGGAATATCTTGCTCACTCCCTAACAGCCCACCAGGTGGCATCTCTGTACTGTCGTCGGGCGGCCGTTGGCCACGGACTTGCCAACTTTATCACGGAGGTGAGGTTTGAGGAGGCCTTGAAGGAGGCAGCCGAGCAGGACAATTTCCTCGAGCAGAAAAATGAACTGGTTGGTCCCTTCCACGGGATCGTTGTTTCTCTCAAAGACAACATTAACGTAAAGGGCCTTGCTACGTCGATGGGGTTTGTGGGTCTGGCCGAGGAAGTGGCGGCCGAGGATTCCGCTATTGTGAAACTGCTAAGACGGCTGGGTGCAATCATTATCTGCAAAACCAACACGTCCTCCGGAATGATGTACTCTGAGACGGTGAACACTTTGTGGGGCCGGACCTTGAACCCCCACAACCGCCAGTTTCTCAACAACGGCGGCTCCTCCGGTGGCGAAGCTGCCATAGGGGCTCTCAGAGGCTCTTCCTTTGGTATTGGGTCGGATATCGGAGGCTCCGTAAGACATCCTGCCGCATTGAACGGCATCTACTCGGTCAAGCCGTCGTTTGGAAGGATACCGACCTACGGCACGGCGTCCGGCCAGCCGGGACAGGAGTCCATCAAGTCTATTTACGGCGTGATGTCGTACTACCTGGAAAACGTGGAGTACGTTCTAAAAACCATCATTGACTCGAAGCCGCACCTGGACATTGATGCAGGCTGCTTACCCCTTGAATACCGCACCGTTGCGTTGCCACAAAGGCTGAAGATCGCCATTCTCGATAACGATGGCACGTCGACGGCCACGGCGCCGCTCGTGAATGCTCTGTCCAAGGTCCGCAGCGCCTTGGAGGCTGCAGGACACGAAGTGGTTGAGTGGCCAAACCATTACCTGACTGAGATAAAAGATGCTATTTATCCCTTCTTTGGCGCAAACGGCTACCGCAGCATCCTGGAATTAATTGAAAAATCCGGCGAGCCAGTGGACCCGCTGCTGTCGAAATGGTTTCCGACGGCACGCGACATGCCTGTGTCTGAGCTGTGGGAGTTGCAACGTAAGCGGACCGCTCTTACCCAAAAATACATGGAGCTGTGGAACAAACACGGCCTGGACGCCATCATCACGCCAGCGTCGCCGTTCCCGGCATGTTTGAAGAACGGCGTGGTCACGCTCCCGTTCACAGCCATCTGGAACGGGCTTGACTACTCGGGTACTACTCTCCCGGTCGGAAAGTGCAATGTTACCAAGGACACGCCGTATCCGAAGACAGAGTTCATCTCGGAGGTCGACAGACACGTCCACGAGACCTATGCTGCCAACCTGGCCAAGTTTGACGGAGCTGCTGTGTCGCTGCAGGTGATTTGCCGCCGGCTCGAGGACGAAAAGGTGATGGAAATTACTAAGTATCTAGCGTCTCTGCTTTAGACCAACGTAAGCCAGTAATTGGCAGCGCAGATCATGTCGCGCCAATCAACGCCGTCGTGCTCCAATCTCAATGCGCCCGCCAGGTTCTCCGGCTCCTCGATACTTGTGTCGTAGAGCACCCAGATCGACTGCACGGCGTCCTTGAGCTCGGCAACGGTGCTCAGTGGCCATTTTAGTTCCAGCGTCTCGAAGATGCTCATGATCTGCTGCCGGACTTCCTCGCCCGTAGGGGTGCAGCTCTGACAGGCCGCGAGGACCAGCAGCGTCCAACCGGGGAAAAACACTTTCATGTTGATCTTGCTGAGGTCGACCAGCAGGTCCGTAAGGTTTTTGGTCAGCAGAAGAAACTTCTTCTTGAAGTTCCTGTTGAACGAGAGATTACCGATCAAGAGCAGCATGCAGAAGTAGACTTTGGCTGCAACAAGGTACGCCGAGGCACACATGTCCAGCTCAGCGATGTCCTGAGCCGTTGTCTGTTTCATCTCCGAAAGCGTGGTCCATATCGCCAGGTACTGCTCTACGAGAATAGACTCCTCGATGGCATTTGTTTCCCAGGCATGGTTTAGCATAGCCATCTGATGGATGGTGCGGAGCAGTTTTGGGGAGCACCCGAACAGATGGTCCACTGTCTCGCTCTCAAAAAAGGACTCGATGACCGGCCAGCGGCAGGAGTCGAGCAGTTGCGCCAGAACGTCTCCTTTAAGCGTGCACACGAGCAGAACGTAGCGCAGAGAAAAATAGCGGTACACGAACGTGAGCACCTTGGAGTTGAGCACTTGTGCCGGCTGCAGCGATGAGAACACCAGAAACCCCTCCTTCATCAGGTTGACCCAGTTTTTGCTGGTGTTGTTGGCAATTTCCGCCGCGCACAAAATCATGATGGTAATGATCAGCTCCTCCAGGATCTCTAGGTTCGACAGGTCGCACGTGTCGAGAATCAGGTGCAGCCCGTTGATGGCGTCGTCCTTGAACTGGACGTACAGAGAGTAGTAGCTTCGCAGAACGTCTCTATCTGGGGCGGCGCTTGTGAGCTCCTGTTTGAGCAGGTCGATGGCCGCGTAGCACAGCACCGACTGGTTCAGCGCGGTGAAGTTTTTGCAGAGCGGCACGATGATGGACAGGAACTCGTTGGCCGTGTCTGTGCTCTCGCAGAACGAGCGCGACTTGGACATGTTGTTGACATAGTGGTTGAAAAGGTACTCTGGCGACGTTTTGCGCGGGTCGATGCACGGCTCGGCAACGGTGGCAGTCCAGAGCTCGTTGTGGACGCGGACGGGGCAGTTAGGAGACATCTGCAAAAGATGATACGCCAGGCCCATGTTGGTGAAGTTGGCATTGAGCAGATGGTAGGCTGTAGGCTGTGCACAACTGGCGTGGAACTGATCACGCATCTGTATTTTCACCCAGTTGAGGACGACGCGGTACTTGCACTCCAGGCCAAGCCGCTGACAGTGTCCGCACCTCGGTTTGGCCTCGTCGCATTTTTTCTTGCGTCGTTTGCACACCAGACACCCGGATTTGCTCTTCTTGATACCTTTCATGACAAATCCAACGAAATTAGCTGTTATCATTTTTTTCAGAAAATGGCTTATCAGACCGCGCGGATCGGGTTTCCTGAAAGCGCGAAAAAAGAATCAATTTCTATCAAGCCGGTGTGATAAAAAAAAGTTTTGGATAAAATGGCGAGCGTGCTAGTTGTAGGATGCGGTGTGTTTGGGCTTTCCGCCGCAAGAGAGCTGGCCCTGAAGGGCTACTGTGTGCGGGCAATTGACCTCTACGAGCCGCCATCGCCGTGGTCCGCTGCCAATGATTTTAATAAAATCATCAGAGCAGAGTACACAGACATGATCTACTCCAAGATGGCCGTGGAGGCAATTAACTTGTGGAGGACTGACCCAGACCTTCTGGGGCTGTACAACGAGTGCGGGCGTGTCCTGATCACTCCCAGGGAGCACGCTGGACGCAAGAAGTTTGAAGAGCAGGGGATCCAGAATCTGCGCGCGCTGGGCGAGGGGCAGAGGGTGGAGTATTTGAGAGGAAGCCGGGCTCTAGCCGAAATACACCCGCAGTTCCTGCACAACCGGCTGGGCGACGAGCATGAGTTCAAGTTCAACCCGGACTCCGGGCTCGGCCACGCCAGCAACTCGCTCAGGGCCCTATATCGCCGGTGTCGGGAGCTGGGCGTGGAGTTCACGTTTGGAGAGGAGGGATACTTTGCCGGGCTACAAGAGCAGCACGATAAGACGTATGTGAAAACAGCTGCTGGAACTTCGTACACGGCGGACCAGATCTTGATCTGTTGCGGAGCCAACACAGACTCGGCCGTCGACTTGAACGGCCAGCAGTCGGCCACAGGGCTGTACGTTGCGCACATCCGGCTGACGCCCGAGGAATTCGCGAGATACAGGGACATTCCGATCATTTTCGACTCCGACATGGGATACTTCTTCCCTCCAGACCCGGAGACGCGGATCATCAAGGTGGCGCTGCCGGGAACCGGGGCGTCGCGTCTGGTGGCCAGTCCGCACGAGAAGGACAAGAAATTGTCTCTGCCGCGGTACAAGACGGAAAACCCAAGAGACACCATGCCGAAGCACTGCTACGGCGAGCTCAAGGCTCTGCTCAGTAAGTACTGCCCGGAGTTGGCGTACCACGAACCATTCAACGCGAAGACGTGCTGGGTGGGGGACACGGGAGACTCGCACTTTATTATTGACCGCGTCCCGGGCCACAAGAACGTGTTTGTGGCTACAGGCGACTCGGGCCACGGATACAAGTTTTTGCCGAATATTGGGAAGTATATTGTTGCGCGGATGGAGGACACGCTGGACCCAGAGTACGCGGAGAGCTGGAAATGGCGGGCCAGGTCGTCGTTCGACCCGCTTGCGATGGACTGGCGTGTCGCGAAGGAGTTTCCGGACTTTGGAGACATCGACTGGTGGGTGGAGCCTAAGATGAAGCTATAGCGTAATTGATTATTTATGGAGACTGCGGTTCGAATCTAGTATTTCCCAGAACTCGTCCTCGTCGCTGATGTCCCAGTGGTTTTCTGTGTTGGAGCTGAAAATGTCCATGAGATTGCGCAGCTCGAGGTTGCCGGACTCGAACGTCTGCGAGAAGAAACTGGCCGGCGTGGCCGGCATTACTGGCGAGCCGGCCGCGGTGCGGAAGATGCCCTCCTCGAGCAGTCTGTCGAACAGGATGCGGAAGCTGGCGGCCTTTTTCGTGCGCTCGGCAAACAGCGAGAGCAGCACCGAGCAGTGCCGCAGGTAGTTGTGGAATTTCCACATTTGCGCGGTGACAAGCAGCTCGTGGTCGAGGTTGAGGATCGAGTACGCGAGAATTATGCCCACCAGGAACACAGAGTGCAGACTGAACATGCCGTAGCCAAACGCCGGGTCCTTCGTGATGGCCATGTACGCCTTACACACGCCGCCTGCTGCCTCGGAAATCTCGACCAGGAGCGCATGGAAGCTCTCGTGGTCCTTGTCCACGTTGTGCATGAGTCTGGTGAGACAGAGGAACATCTTCGACCGATGGTAGCAGAGCGTCAGGTACTCGAACGGGATTTCGCGGCGCAGGCCGTTCAGAAACTCCGACTCTGTCGGAAGCTGGGCGCGCCAGCTCTCGAGCTCTGTCTCGATTTTTTGGTAGCGGGCGCTGAACTGGGACTCGATGTGCGGCGCGGTGTCGATCATCGACGCGGCGAGCGGCACGGCGATCGACTGCTCCAGGTTCCCGATGCGCAGTTCGAGCTCGCGGACGCGGCACATCTGGATGAGATAGTACGTGCGGGAGATTTTTTGCGGGTACGTGATGCGGTGATCGTGCTGGTGGTACTGCAGCCGCTGCTGCTCGATCTGCAGCTTGTACAGGTCCTTGGCGTCGATTTCAGCGAGCGAGTCGATGTTGAGCGGGTACGGCACGTCGATCTCGTCCTCGGAGATCGACGCGGGCCGGCCCAGCGTCATGCACAGCACCTTTTCGAACGTGTACACGGACCAGAAAATGCGTTTTTTCGTTTCGTATTCCTTGGCGGTCTCGACCGCCGGGATGTTGAAGCGGTGGAGGCCTGTTTGGGTGATCTTACGGATCGCGAGCCCCGACAGCTCCCAGATGTTCATCGTGAACTTGACGTTGTGGTCGTACGAGACCAGCAAGTACAGCGAAATGTGCATGATGAGGCGGATCTGGTCGAGCGAATTGAGCGCGCATTCTATGCTGGAGAGCAGGTCCATGGCGCGGTCGAAATAGAGCTTAGGGTCGAGGAAATTCATCTGCTTTGACATCATCACTAGACGGCAGCCTGTGCCGAGAATGAGGCTTGCGATGGCGTCCTGGTGCGCTCGGCTGGTGAACTTGGGACAGAGAGATTCGGAGTCGCCGAAATGCGCCGCAAATAGCTGCTCCAGCTCCTCCGGCTCGTAGAAAAAGTACCGCTGGCCCATGAGCCGGTTGAAGTACTGCACAAACATCGCCTCGAGCTCTTCTGTGGGGGTTACCGGCACGGCTCCGCTGGCGCGGCTGTCCAGGATGCGCATCATCTTGGCGTGGTCGGGCGGCGGTTTGGTGAACGAGTGCGAGTCCTTCACCTCCCTGTATAGTTTCGAGAGAATCCAGTTCTTGATCGAGTTCACCTTCGACACGATGGCCGTGCTGCCGGCGTACGTCTCGTCCTGGGTGTCGTGCAGAAGCAACCGGATCGACTTGTAGAAGTCGCTCGAGCACTTTTCGGAGCGCGCGGTGTGTGGCCGCAAGGCTGCGAGCTCCTCCTGCAGCAGGGAAAATTGTTTTTTCAGCAGTTGGATCCGGTTTTGGAGGGCTTCTGCGAGCACCTCGTTTTCGTCCGAGTGCGCGGATTCTGCGTTCGGGCTGTGTTTTGTTGAGTTAGGTGGGGAGGTGGGTTGTCGTTCGCACGTGATACCGGAGTCTTCCACGAGTCCCTTCTCTGGCGTCTGCTCATCAACCTCACTCTCCTTCGCCCTTGTGCCTCTCACGTGCGTCCTGAGCGCGCGCGAGTACGAGCACCGGGCGTCGGCGAGTTTGCAGTTTTCGCACGGGTCCAGTCCCTCACACCGCTTCTTCCTTCTCTTGCACCGGTCGCACGCCACAGAAACCCGTGTCCGCTTGGTCCGTGTGAGCATCTGTGTGCTGTCGCAGCCTGCTCTCTTCTCCGGCGCCTCCCCTTTGTCAAACAACGTTTGCACGAACACAAACTTGTTCCCCCGAGATACCATGATAAAAAATAGATTTCATAATTTGGCAATTTTCTTACTTGGCTATATATTTACTGCGACGTGTTGCCCAGCTCCGTTCTGAGAGCGAGCGAGCCGCCTGCAATGGGCAAAAACGCCGTGTGCTGGTCGGGGCGTTTGTAGCGGCCCGTTTCGGGTGTTTTGGCAGGCGCCCCGTAGCCACCGCCGCCAGGAGTCAGAATACTTACAAACTCTCCCTTGTGGAGCTGGAACTGCGCAAAGGCCGGCATGTGGATCCATCTCATTCTGCCGCCCTGGATTTTGCCCAGCAGGTTCTTGCCGCTGGCAGCCGGGAGCCCGCCATGCACCCCGTATGGCCCGCTGTTGCGCCGCTGCGTGCGCAGAGTGCACGACAGATCCGTCGTGAACTCAATAGTCCGCACCAGCCCGTCGCCGCCACGCCACCGGCCTTCGCCTCCAGAGTCCTTGCGGATACTAAACTCGTGCAAAATCACCGGGTACCGCTTCTCAAAGATCTCTGGGTCCGTGATCTTGGTGTTGGTCATGTGACAGTGCACGCCCGACCAGCCGTCGGCGCCCTCGCAGGCGCCCGAGCCACCGCCGATCGTCTCGACCATGGCGAAGCCCGGCCGGATCTCGCCTGTGACGGGGTCCTTGCCGCCCTTGCCGAAGCCGATGGTGTTGTTCGAGCCGGTAGACGCCGCACACAGCCCGAAGGCCTTGAGCAGACAGTCGTTGAGCCGCTGCGAGGTGGTGGAATTCGCCGCTGCGACGGCCGCAAACTCGGACGGGTTCAAGATGCTTCCTGGCGGGATGTACATCTGCACGGGCTCGAGACACCCCTCGTTGAGCGGGATGTCCTGCTCCAGCATCAGCCGCAAAGAATAGATGATGCACGCGTGCGTGATGGCGATCGGCGCGTTGCAAGGGCTGTACGCCTCCTCGGACGTGCCTGTGAAGTCGTAGAACGCCTCGCCCTTCTTCTCGTCGATGTCGATCACGACACTAATCACTGATCCATCGTCCATGGTTTCCGTGGCACGCAACGGTAGCTGATCGCGCATTCTGGCCGCCGTGCGCTTGAAGAAGTTGCGCACCGCAGTGGATGCCGTCTTGCGCACGTTTGTCATGTAGAACAGAACAACCTCGGTTCCGTACTCTTTGAATAGGTCTTCGAGCAAGTGCACTCCACGCTGGTTTGCGGCGATTTGCGCCTTGAGGTCGGAGAGATTGTCCTTGACGTTTCTGGAGCCCGAGCAGCCGGGGTATTTTGCCGGCTCCTCGACGAAGTACTTCTGGACGCCGTCGTAGTCGAACTTAGCGTTCTCGACGATCTTCCAGTGTAGAAACTGCGCTCCTTCCTGGTACAGCTCGGTAGCGTCTGCGGCGCAGGAGCCGGGAGCAGAGCCGCCGATCTCGGCGTGGTGGGCCCGGGACGCGGTGAAAAACCGAATCTCGCCGTCGATGAACACGGGCGAGATCAGCGTGATGTCTGGCAGATGGGTTCCGCCCGCGAGAGGATGGTTCGACGCCAAAACGTCGCCGGGACGGATGTTGCTGCCCCAGTATTTCTTGGCATACCGTATGCAGTGAGACATGGACCCCAGGTGCACCGGCACGTGCGGCGCATTGGCCGTGAGGTTGCCGTCTGCGTCGAACAAGGCGCACGAAAAGTCCATGCGCTCCTTGATATTCGCCGAAACAGAGATTTTCTGCAGCGTAGCGCCCATGTCCTCAGCAATAGCCATAAACCGGTTCTGGAAGACAGCCAGCAGGATCGGGTCGACTGTGAGCGTCTTTGTGAGCGCCGGAGCGGCGTCTTTATCCTCAATGTCGATGATGATATGTTTTTCCAGGTTTAGTGCCCGTGAGCATGGATTCACGCATATGGTTTGAGTCGAGTCGAGCAGTATAGCTGGACCCTGGACGGTGTGGCCGACGGCGAGATCCGAAATGCGGAAGACGCGGGTCTCGTGGCACACGCCTGCACCGTTTTCGCTGAAGTAGACCGGTGCAGTGGTTAGTACGAGAGAGGTAGGGGCAGGCCGTAATTCGACACCCTCCCGATCGAACGGCGACTTTTGCGGGATCTTGGACGTAGACCCCGTCACACGAACACGGATATCGTGGACAACGACGGTCTTCGAGGCGTCCACAAACGAGAACTCGCGTTCGTGGCGCTCGACAAACGCCGTCAGAAAGTCCTTGTCTGACTCGGCGATCATGAGCTTGGTATCTGAGCCGCGGTAGCCGAGGTTAAAGTAGAACTGGCTGTGGACGGTGTTCTCGTCGACGCCTTGAAGCAGCAGCTTTTTCAGCAGCTCTTCTTTAATCTCACCGCATCTTGCCAGCAGCTTCTCACGCACCGCTTCGGAGTACACCGCGTCGCACGGCTCGAGCTTCTCCTTGACGACGTCGGCCATGCCGATGCCGTATGCAGAGAGCACAGACGAGTACTTGTGGACAATCACGCGGCGCATGTTGAGGATGGTGGCCACGTCAACACAGTTCTGGCCGCCGGCGCCGCCGAACGACGCCAGGTTGTGCTTGGCGACGTTGTGGCCGCGCGACTCGGTCAGTGCACGGATCGGCTTGGCCATGTTATGGTTGGCCACCTCGAGGAACCCGAGCGCCACCTCGTGCGGCGACTTTTCGGCACCGCGGTTTTCCGCGTTGATCGTGCGTGCCAGCTGTGTGAACTTCTCGTCGACCACGGCGTAGTCGAGCGGCTGGTCCTCGTTGGGGCCAAAGATGTGCGGGAAGAACTCCGGCAAGATCCGCCCCACGTACAGGTTGGCGTCCGTGATCGTCAGCGGGCCGCCCTTGCGGTAGCACGCCGGGCCAGGGTGCGACGAGGCAGACTCGGGACCCACCTTAAACACGCCGTTCACATACTTCAAGATGGAGCCGCCGCCGGCCGCCACCGTGTTGATGTCCAGCTGCGGGGCGGCGACGTGGATGCCGGCCGTGATCGAGTGGAACACGTACTCGTAGTTGCCGTCGTAGCGCGACACGTCGGTCGACGTGCCGCCCATGTCGAAGCCGACGATCGGCGTGCCCTCTGCTGGGTCGTAGCACGTCTGCGCCTCGCCCACGACACCACCAGCCGGCCCGGACAAAAGTGCCCGCAGCCCGCTGAACTCGTCGTAAGGCACCAAACCGCCGTCGCTCTGCATGAACTCGATCCGCGTGGTCTTCTCGAACCCAGGCTTGAAGCCCTGCAAGAAAGACGAGATATACTCCCTGATAATTGGCGTCAGGTACGCCTCAACGACGACCGACTGGGCGCGCGGGATGGCCTTGATCATCGGCATGAGCTCGTGGGATGTCGCCACAAACTCAAACCCCATCTCCAGCGCTAGCCGTTTGAGCTGCACCTCATGCTCCGTAAAGTCGTACCCGTGCACCAGACAAATTCCAAGCGACAAGACGCCGCTTTCTTTCAGCGGTAGTAGTTTCTGCCGCGCGTCCTCCAGGTCCAGCTCCTGCAGGATCTGGTACGTCTGCCCGGTAACACCCCTGGTGTAAGCTGGGTCTTTGCCGACAAGCGAGTCGAAACTCACCTGGTCCGGGTCCTCCTCGTAGTCCGGCGTGGTCACGCGCTCCTTGATCTCGACGACGGCCTCGTACAAAACTTCCGGCTTCCGGATACGCATAGCAAAGAGATCAGGTCGCGTTTGGTCGCCGATCCGCAGAATGTCCTTGAAACCTGCGGTGGTGAGCAATGCGCACCGCGCGCCCTTGCGCTCCAGAAGCGCGTTGGTGGCCACGGTGGTGCCCAGACGGATGCTGCTGATGCAGCTTGTGTCGAGCGGGGAGTTCTTTGGGATGCTGCGGCCTTGGACGTGCTCGAGAACACGCCGGATGGCCTCAACGTTGGCATCTTTGTAGTTATCGGGATCCACAGAGAGCAGCTTGAAAACGTGGTCGGCGCGGCCTGGAATGACCGCGATCACGTCCGTGAACGTTCCTCCTCTGTCGATGGCGACTTTGACGTCCGAAAGCATTGTCGAGCAGTCTTGGGGTGTGCTGGTTTATATAGCGGCGTTCTTGTCGGCCCAAAGTTTGAAAACAGACTATCGGCGTCGGAAGTGTGTCGGAAGCCGATTGTGGAAATTTTTTTTATCTTCGGATTTACAGTCCGTCTTATCGGGACTGATAATGCATCGGGCTGTGAACTGATAATAACCTCTGGAGTATAAATTTACTAAAATTTGTTGGTTCCTTGCAACATGGAACACTCCAAAAAACACCTCAAGGAGGCTAATGCCACCGGCGCAAAAATCGCGTCGGTCCTGCCCGACGACCCCAGACCTTGGAGGAAAAGGCCCAACCTGCTCAAACTGTACCTGTTGCTGTGCAACTTTGTGCTCTTTGCGTCATCGATCGGTTATGACTCGGCCATCACAAACTCCATCCAGGCCATGCCGGCCTGGCTCAAGTTTATGAAAAAGCCGACCGGCACTTGGCTCGGCTTTATTTCCGCGTCGCCCTTCGTGGGCACCTGCGGCACCATTTTCTTTATTCCCTACATCTGTGATCGCTTTGGCCGCAAAGTCGTCATCTACATGACCGTGCTGTGCATTTGGCTGGGCTCCATTATTGGTGCCTCAGCCCGCAGCCCGGCCGCCTACATCGTGTCGCGGATCTTTATGGGGCTGTCGTTCTCGTGCAACTACGCCGCGTCGGTGTGGATATCCGAGGTTGCCTACCCCACGTCGCGCGGCAGGTTTTCTGCGGCGTACCATGCTATCTATTACTTTGGCTCTGTGCTCTGCGGCTGGGTCGTCTTCGGCACGCAGTACATCTCGGGAAACGTGTCGTGGCGTATTCCGCTGGCGTTGCAGGCCGCCATCCCCACATTGCTGCTGCCAGCTTTGATTTACGCACCCGAATCGCCCAGATGGCTGGTTTCCGTGGGGGAAACCGAAAAGGCGCGCCAGGTGCTGCTCAAGTTCCACGCAAACTACGAGGACGCGTACCTGCCGCTTGTGGAGCTCGAAATGCAGGAGATCATCGCCGGGATCGAGGCGCTGCGCGTCAACAACATCTCGTCGTGGCGCTCGCTCATCGCCACACCGGGCAACCGCAAACGGCTGTTCATCTCGTGCTTCCTCGGCGTGGCCTTTGCGTGGAACGGCCAGGGTATAGTCACGTGGTACCTGAGCTCGGTTTTCGTGGCTGTCGGGATCACTGCCACGTGGAAAAAAACGCTCCTCAACGCATGCATCCAGCTCTTCAACCTGCTCGTGGCCATCACCGGCGCCGTGCTTGTCGACCACGTCGGCCGCAGACGGCTATTTCTGATCTCCATTGTCGGCCTATTTTTCTCCTTCATCGGCCTCACCACCATCACCGCCGTGTACACGCAGCTGCACAGAAACATCGGCCAGGCGATCATCGTGTTTGTGTTCCTCGTGTACGGGTTCCAGGCCATTGCGTTTGCGCCGTTGATCACGTCGTACCCGTCCGAATTGTGGCCGCAGGCCACACGGTCCAAAGGCCTGTTCACGGCGATGTTTTTCCTCAACGGGGCCACCTTCTTCAACATTTTCGTGAACCCGATCGCTCTCGACGCCATTGGCTGGCGCTACTACTGCGTGTATCTGGGCGTGCAGGTGATCATCTTTGCGGTTATTTATTTGACGTTCCCGGAAACGAAGGGGTACTCGCTCGAGGAGATTGCGCTGATTTTCGACAAGGACCAGGCCACGCAGGCGGGGCTGGAGGCCGACCTCGACGAAAAGCAGAGTGCCAAAGTCAGCGTCAAGGAGCTATCTATTTAAATACTATTTGCCCAGATCAGCGGGGCCAAAACTCTGCGGCAGGATCTCGTTCATGGTGAGCTTTTCCACCTTCGACCCGTCCTTGTTGTACATGTAGATCGGCACGTCCAGCGCCGAGAACTCGCGGAGGAACTGGCGACAGATCCCGCACGGCGAGATGCAGGCGTCGAGGTCGCCCGAGATCGCCACGGCCTCGAACCGGGTCCGGCCCTGTGTCACGGCGGCTACGGCGGCCGTGCGCTCCGCGCAGATTGCACCCCCGTACGAGGCGTTCTCGACGTTGGCCCCGTCGAAAAACTCGCCGTTCGCAAGCAAGCAGCACCCCACATGAAAGTTGGAGTACGGGCAGTACGCCTTGGCCCGATTGGCCAGCGCCCTTTCCTTGAGAGTCTGCAACTGCGACTCCGAGACCATGAAAATAAAGAGAAAAATAAATAATTCCAAAACTTATTTTTATCAATTATATAATTAACTCCAAAATATCAATCAATTTTCAAATCGCTACTTTTCCTGCACCGGCTGGACCACCTCGTCGACCTCGTTTTTCTCGCTGCCGCCCTCCTCGTCCTTGCACAGATCGCCGATGTTTGGCCGCGGACCCTTGAAGAACGTGTGTCCGTACGCAAACCAGTACAGCACCACCAGCAGCATCGCGCCCCAGTACACGACCGAGGTCCAATTCATGAGGTCTGTCGTGTTGTCCTTGCCGCGGAACTGCGGGAAACACAGCACGGGCAGCATCAGCAGGATAAAAAGACACCCAACGGTGCCCGTCACATAGCTGAACCGCCCCAGGTTCCAGGGGCCCGGCTTGAAGGTGTTTCTGGCGTAGGTGATTCTGAGAAAAATCGGCACCGTGAACGACACAAACGCGCCTGTCGCGCCGAACGAGAACACCGCGTTTATCGCCTCGCCCTTGAACATCAGACACAGCAGACACTCGCCCACAAACCAGTTGAACCACACCGCGTTGACCGGCGTCCTGGTGTACGGGTTAACGCGGCACCACACGCGCGACAGCGGGATGCACCCGTCTCTGGAGTACGAGTACAGCACGCGCGACGCGGCGAGCATGCTGGAGAAGTCCATGATGTACGACAGGACGATGGTCAGGGCGGTCATCGCGATAGTTCTGTCTCTCGTGAGGACCTGGCTCAGGAACGACACGAACGGCTGCCCCAGCTCTCCGTCGACGGCGGCCGTCACGTCGACGATCGTGTACGCCATGCCGAGCTGGAACGCGAAGCCGAGCACGGCGCCGAGCGACGCGGTCAGCACGATCGCGTTCGGCGTCACAATCTCGGCGTTCGTCGACTCCTCAGCGAGATGGAACGGAGCGTCGAAGCCGGACATGATCCAGATAGCAGCCATGAAGCTCATCAGGACGGCCATTCCGTCGGGCCAGTCGGTCATGTTGGTGATGGCCCACGCCTGGGAGTTGGAGTTGAACTTTGGCAGGCCTTGCTCGGTCCTCGTGTTGCCGCCTAGGAACACCACCCAGCAAATAAAGAGAAACGAGATATTCAGCAGGGACGTGAACCGCGTGATGTACGAGATCCACTTGACGGGCATCGAGGCGATGCAGGCGCAGCTGACGGTGATGGACGTGGCGAGCAGGAACGCGTGCCACTTGTGGTACACGTAGCCCGGGTCTGTCATCTGCTTGAGAGCCAGGATCATGGCTGCCGTGGAGGACCCCACGGAAGGACCCCCCGTGATCTGGGTGAGGTAGTTGGACCAGCCCACGAACCAGGACAGAAACGCCTTGTACTTGGGCGGCGCGAGCATCGCCGTGGCGTAGTACAGCCCGCCCGACGTCGGGAACGCCGACGCGATCTCTGCCATCGACAGCGCCACGCACATGATGCCCGCCATGGCCACAAGGTACACCCACGTAATGCCTGCCGCCCCCGTGTACGCCATCGAGTACCACAGCGTGCCCGCCACGGACGGCAGCAGCCCCAGCGTGGAAAACGCCACGGCAAACGTCGTCAGCATCGAGAGCCCTCTCTTGAGCTCCTGTTTGTACCCAAGAGCAAGAATAACCGCCTCGTCGTGGTCAACAGCATGGTCCAGGTGGAGTTTCGAGTGCGAAATCACCGACTGGACCCGCACCTCGTCAACAGATAGATCCAAAGACATATGGCGAGAGAAAGCGAGAACAGGACTAAAAAGATTTTTCACAGATGAGCCGCACCGTTCTCGCACGGCAGCCTGATAAGGATCCGGTGATGCACAGCGGCACCACAGCAGATAAGTCGCTATCTGAAAAGCGCTGCTGCTGCCGGTCTTCCCAGGCCGGCGGTCTCCTGCGGGCTGCCAATTTTAGCCGGCTCGGCCTCTTGGCGCAGATAATGAGCGGCTTGGCCATGACGGTTGCCGAAACCCCCCCCGAGGATTACGTAGCTGCTGACACATATTTTTTAAATTTTTTTTTTCGGCCCCGGCCGGCTGCCTGTTTACGTTTCCTGTTTTAGCCGGCATCCTCCCAATTCGGGTGAGGCAATTTCTGCGAGCCATTACAAAAAAAAGGCAGACAAGTTTTGTTCTTCACGATGAAGTACTCCGTTCTTTTAGGTGCCCTTGCCCTGAATCTGGTGTCGGCGCTCGCGGAAGACGACGACAGCAATGTCGTCACCACGACCATCTACGGCACCACGACCAATACCCACAAGTACGGAAAATTCGACAAAACAAAGGCCTCCTCTGAGGAAACCTCCAGTGGAACGCACAAGTACGGAAAATTCGACAAAACTAAGGCCTCCAAGGAGTCGTCGTCCACAGGCACACACAAATACGGCCGGTTCGATAAGACGGAGGCGTCGAAAGAGTCGTCGTCCACTGGAACCCACAAGTACGGCAAATTCAACAAGACAAAGGCTTCCGAGTCGTCTTCGTCGACGGGCACGCACAAGTACGGCAAATTCGACAAGACGGAGGCCTCGAAAGAGTCGTCGTCCACTGGAACCCACAAGTACGGCAAATTTGACAAGACCAAGGCCAGAACCACCACGACTGTTTACGTTGCCGAGTCGAGCGCTGCCGAGCAGAGACAGCAAGTCCTGGCCGGTTCCAACTCAACCGCCAACTCGACCTCCAGCGCACTGAGCTCCTCCAGCGCAGGAGCTGCGCACGCTTACGGTCTCTCCATCGGCATGGTCGCCCTTGGAGCTGCAGCCGTTTTGCTGTGATAATACCATTAGACAATAAATACTGTTCGTAGGACATATTAACATGCAGAGTGTCTTACTCTCTCTCCACCTCGTCCTTTGGTGGAATGCGCTTGTTCGACATCATCACGGCCGTGATAAACCCGATCAGCATCAGCGCCAGCGACAGATAGAACGTGTTGCGGATGCAGTCCATCATCGCCTTCTTGACGAGCTTCTGTGCGTGGGCGTCCAGCGTGTGGACCAGCTGCGAGTTCGACACCATGAGCCGGAGGTCTACATCTGGTAGCAGCGGCTGGAGGTGGCTGAATTTTTTCTTCAGCGTGGCGGTGTAGATGGCATCGCTGAGCTGCGAAAAAAGAGCCGTCGTCACGCTCCGGCCAAAGTAGAGGAACGTCATCGCCAGGATCGTGCTGCCAGGCGTCTTCGGGCAGCACAGCTGGACGCTCATCATAGGAGCCTGGAGCGTCAAACCGGCCCCGAGGCCGAACAGCACCTGCAGGCCGTATCTTTTGGCCGGAGTCGAGTCTGCCTTGAGCAGGGTCAGAATGCCAATGCCGATCGACCCCATCGCCGACCCGATGAGCGCGTACAGCTTGACGTGGCGCGTCTTCTGGATCAGCAGGCCGGTCGCAACCGAGCCCAGCACGAGCGGGATCACAGACGGGAGCAGCGACAGCCCCGCGTGGAACGCAGACAGGTTGTGCAGCGTCTGGAAGTACACCACCAGGAACTGCGAAAGCACCATGAACGCGCTGTAAACACTGGACAGCTGCAGCACAGACACGGTCACGCCGTACGTTTTGACGATGTTGAACGGCAGCAGCGGCTCCTGCGCAAAGAGAAAGTCCCAGACGCAGAACAGAATGACCAACACGCCGCCAATGACAAACAGACAGATGATCGGCGCAGAGCTCCACTTGAACTCGTTGTCGCCGAACGAGATGGCCAGCAAAATGAGCACGAGCCCGGCCACCATGGTGACGACGCCGGGGTAGTCGATTTTCTTCGTTTTCTCGAGCAGGTCGCCCGCCGGCGTCTTGGGCCGGAAGCTGTACATGAACAGCGGCACGATCACGGCCGCAAAACACAGGTTGATGTAGAAGCACCATCTCCAGGTCGTGTAGCTCGTGAACACGCCGCCGAGGATCGGGCCGATCACCGACGCCGCGACAAACGTGACGCTCATGAGCGCCATGATCATCGGCTTCTTGTCGATCGTGGTCACCTCGGTAGCGATGTTCATCACACACGCCTGGATCCCGGCGCCGCCGACGCCCTGGAGGGCGCGGCCGCCAATCAGCATGTTCATCGACTGCGCCACCGCACACACGAGCGAGCCGGCCTCGAACAGAAACATCGACGCAAGCATCACCCACCGTCTACCGAAGATAATCGACAGTCGGCCCCAAACCTGGGCTGTGCACCCTATACCCAGAACAAAGGCCGACGTGATCCACGTCAGCTTCTCAAACGAGCGGAACTTCTCCGACACCTGGACCAGGATCGTGAAGCTGATAGTTTGGTCGAGCGCCACCAGAAACAGGCACAACATGATCGAGCTGACACACATCCACAGCTTGGCTCCGTGGAGGTACTGCTCTGAGCGCTTGGTGCCGTCGCCGGCGTCGCTCTCGTAGAACTTGCGCTTCTGGCTTTCCAGGCGCTCTTGGCTGTCTTTAATCTCGTCCGAACTCATGATAAACAGCCAAGACACCCAAATCGGTCCATAATTATACCCATCGTTTAGTCCGAAGAATGAATTCAAATACTTTTAAAGCCGTATCAGCGAAACGGCGGAAAAAGGGCCCAGAGGCCTTAGAGCCGAAGTATTTTCGGTGATCGGCGATAAAAGCCAGGTACACCCGACCGCTGTCATTAGTCATCCCGTGTATATAGATGATATAGCTAGGTGTTCAGCCGAAGTGAAAGCCGCCCTGCTGGACGTTCGGATTCATTCCAAATCCGAACTGGTCGCCGCTCATCTCCGGCTGCAGCCCGGCAGACTCCTCCTCGGCCTCCTCGCCGCTGAAATAGGTCTCCACGATGTGGTACGCCTTGGTGTAGATCTTGTCGTTCTCGTTGCTCTGACAGTCGAAGATCTTCTCTGCGCCGCCGGCCTCCTCGATGAAAATGGCGTTCTCGTTGATGTTGGAACCCCGGGCCTCCTTCTCCAGCTCTCCTATCCTCAGAATATTCTCCAAGGCGTCGAGTGTGACCTCAATCACCTTATTGTCTGCAATGGCCAGCAAATCACACAGCGGCTTGATACAGCCCTGGGAAACAAGGTAGCGGATCTGGTCCGGCCGAGTGAGCCCGCCCGACGACGCGTTCGAGATCGCCCAGCACGCCTCCTTCTTCGTCTTGTAGTCGCCCGTGGCCAGCAGCTTGATGATCTGCGGAATCAGGTTCGAGTCGATCACAGCTTGGATCTGATCGCTGTTGCCGGCCGTGATGTTGGAAATCGTCCAGCACGCCTCCTTCCTGATCGACTCCTTTGGCGATCTCAGCAGCGGAGCAAGTGCAGGCAGCACGCCCGCGTTGATGACAATCTGGGTTTGCAAATCGTTACCTGTGACAATGTTTCCGACCGCTCTGAGCGCAGGGGTCTGGACCAGCGTGCTCTCGTGGCCCAGCAGCTCCACCAGCCGCTTGGGGATTCTGGCATCCACCACCGCCTGGATCGCCTCCGTCGTGCCGTCACTCAGGTACGAAATCGCCCAGCACGCGTCGATCAGCGTCTCCACGTCCACGGAGAAAATCAGCTTGGCCAGCGTAGGCAGCGCACTCTTGACGATCTGCCAGTCCGGCTGCGGGTTCTTTCCCCGACACAGGTTGGACAGCGTCCAGGTGGCCGTCCGGATAAGCGACATTTTGGACGACTGGAACAGGGACAAAACAGGGTCCATGGCGTTACACGACAGCACGTAGTCTCTGTACGCAGACGAGTCGCCAGCAACGTTACCCAGCGCCCAGATCGCCTGCTCCTTCACCTCCATGGACGGCGAGTACAGCAGGTTCACGAACAGCGGCACCGCTCCGGCGTCCACCACGACTTTGGTCTGTTCAGAAGTTCCCGATGCAATATTTGTCAACGCCCACGCAGCCTCCAGCTGGAGGATTTCGGGGCCTGAGCGCATGAACTCCACCAGCCGTGGCACCACGCCGCTCTCAATAACCAGGTCGATCGGCGGGTTGTGCTCTTTCGACAAAATCTGTCTGAACTTGATGGTGGCGTCGAGCTGTTGTTCCAGATCGCTCGAATTAATACTGTTCACCATTTTCGGCAACTCCTCTTGTAACTGTCTATAGAAAACGGTTTCTGCGCTTTGTGTCTCCTCGTCCTCCTCGTCCGAGTCGTTCATGCCGCTTGGCGCGTTAAAGTTCCGTCTCTTCGTCAGCAGTTCCTCTCGCTTCTGTTTTCTCAGTTCCACCTGTTGTGTCTCTCTTCTTCTTCTCACCTCGTCCTGCTGGAACCGGTTCTTGTTTTTGAAATTCGCCTTTCTGTACTCCGGCACATATCTCGAAGTCGCATCGGAATCCATGGTGGCAATTATACTTTGTAGAGTGTCCTACTTGTTAATTATTTTTTTTTTTTCATACTCTTTTGTACCACTCGTTTGCGGTTACGAGCACTCGTAGTGGGGAACAAACTATTTAAGGGGGGTCACATAAGCTCCTTGTGACACATCACAATGCTTCTTTTGCGCAGCTGTCGTCCCATCTTTCTGGCCGGCTCACTTTTACCGGCCCTACGTGGACTGTCCACGTCTGCTCTGCGCCGCCAAACCTTCAACCTGGGCCAGGACCCGCCCCGCTACAAGGTCCCCAACGAGAAGGAGCAGCGGAATCCCATCAAGTACAGGTCCAGAGAGTCGCTTTTCTTCAACAAAACGTTGCCTGCAAAATTCCGTCTTGGGAACGAACCCATGTACGAGAACCCGCTTGCAGGCTTCGTTGCAGGAGCAAAGAGATTCAGCCTGGCATTTGGATTTGTGGGGCTGTGTTTCTCGTATCTGATGCTCCAGACAGAGTATGTTTTGCCCGAGCTTTGCGAGGCATTTGCCGCGGCCTCTCTTTTGCCGTACCCGATGGTGCAGTATTTGTACTCGCCGTACGTGCTGCGCATCTACAGACTCTACGACACCACTAAGGAGCAGACCCTGGAGAATCTGGTGGCCGACGAGACGCTCGTGTTTCAGAAACTCAACTGGTCAGGGTTCAAAGTGTACAACGAGCTTGTCAAGGTGGAAGACTTGCAGGTTGCAGCGAAGGACACTCCGGAAGGCCGGTTTGGATTCTCGAACATGATTGCTCGCGAGAAAGACGATCTCACACGCTCGTTCTACGTCGTTGACGGGTTCGGAGGCATGCGCATGAACCGCATATGGAAAATAGCCGAAATGCATTCAGGCATCGAGTCTGCTCGGCCGTGACTAGGTTTACCGAAATAGATTATTTTTTTTTCACATTAGTTTTTCAAGCGGAATATTAACCATGAAAGTGGTGATCCAGAGGGTCAAACAGGCGTCAGTGACGGTCAACAAGGAGGTCATCTCGCAGATCAACAAGGGGCTGATGCTCTTGGTCGGCATCTCGACCGAAGATAGCAAGGAGGATGTTGAGAAACTGGCCAATAAGGTGCTGCGGCTGAAGCTTTTCGAGGACGTGGGCGTCGATGCCAACACCAAAACCGAGTGGGTCGGCAAGCCGTGGCAGAAAAGCGTTGTGGACATAAAGGGAGAGATTTTGTCAGTTTCACAGTTCACGCTCTATGGCAACATCCAGAAAGGCGCCAAACCAGACTTCCACCGTGCTCAGAAAGGCCATGTGGCGCAGGAGATGTACGAGATGTTTTTGGGCCTGCTACGTGCAGCGATGGGCGAAGACAGGGTGAAAGACGGCCAATTTGGCGCCATGATGGACGTGGCCATCATCAATGACGGCCCTGTTACGATCGTCTGGGATACAAGGGACAAATAGATTATTCTCTATTTTTTCGGAATAGCCGAAATGGGCTCAGCGCTCTGGAAGGGGAGAAGGTGGGGCTCGCGGACCGTGCGGGCGAGAAGCTCGACTTTGATCGCATGGGCGACAGCACGGAGTCAGACCTGAGGGCTCGTTGGAATCGCGGCTTGCGGGTCTCTGTTTCCGCGAGCTTGAGGCCGTGCTGGAAGTTGCGGAGCGCGTCAGCATACACAGTTTCTGAGCTCATGTCCAGCTTCGGTTTCTGCGTGTGGTACAACGGGCCGACCACCACGACAGGGACTTTGGCGTACTGCAAGCAGTATTTGGACATCGACTTCGAGCCGATGATTGCGTGGAACCCTGTTTTCTGAGTTCCGTGCGTGCCCACTATCAGGATCACCGGGTCGTACTCCGTGATGGCCTTTGTGATCATCTCGGGCACTTTCCCGACCTTAAGCTCGAGCACGATTTTTATTTTCTTATCTTTGGAGTTGAGTCTCGCGATCTCTTCCAAAATCTTTTCTGCTTCCTTTTTGTAGTCTCGCTGGTAATCTCGCGCCGCGTCTTCTTTCGAGAGCACCCGCAGGCACACGAGCGTGTCGCCGTCCTTCACCATTTCGTCGATCGTCCATTTCAAGGCAAGCAGCGAGCACTCGTTGTCGTCGTAGCCACACATAAACGTCCGCGAAACTCTGTCGAAATGGAAGTCCCTGTGCTTCGCGGTGAGAATGAACTGCATTTTCTCGTAGTCGAGCTGGCTGTTGCCCATGTTTTCGAATGCGATCCCGCGATGGAACGATTCGGTGTCTTTCAACGGTGGTCTTTTTGGCTGCAGATCGGAGATCTCGTCGATAGACAAATTCGTCGTGGGCAGCGAGCTGTCGACGGAGTTTTGTCGGGACAGCGACGGCGACCGCAGCACGCGCTCCGGTGTCTGTGTCCGCAAAGAGAGCGCGTCGAGCTCGTTGACCTGGTCCTGCGATAGCTGGTATATGAGAGAGTTGAGCTCTGTGTTTCGCCTTGTTTCTGGGTCGTCTAGAGCTTCCGCGATGTCTATGTCCACCTGACTCCGGTAGGCAAGCGTGCCAACCGGCTGCGGAGCAGCCTGCTGCGGTTCGTCGCTCTGGGCAGCTCCTGTCTCCGCCATAAATTCAGATACGTATCGTCGCGACTGTCGTTAGAAGGTGAACTCCGTCTATTTTTATTTTTTATTTTTTTTATCTTTTATCTTTATGTGCCGATTTCTCATTTACAAGGGCACAGAGCCCATGTTGCTCGCGAGTCTGCTTACAAGGCCAGCCCACTCGATCATAAATCAATCGTTTGACTCCCGGCTCCGGGTAGACCACACGCCCGTCAACGGAGACGGATTCGGCGTGGGATACTATACCCCAGACGAGGAGCCAGACAGAACAGTTTCGGGTACTCCTTGCGTATACAAGGCGATCACTCCCGCTTGGAACAACCAGAACCTACAGAAACTGTCGGAGAAGACGAAATCGAAGCTCATTTTCGCCCACGTGAGAGCGTCCACGTACGGTATCCTGAGCGAAACAAATTGCCACCCGTTCACATACCACCGGCTCATGTTCATGCACAACGGCGGGATCTCTGGTTTCGGCAAGATCAAGCGACAGCTTATCCAGCACATCGAGGACGAATTCTTTCTCACGATCCAGGGCTCTACCGATTCCGAATGTTCGTTTGCATTGTTTTTAGACTGTTTATACAAGCTGGGATACGACCCGAAGGAAGAGAAGCAGATCCCGCACTCTGTTCTCAGACAGGCCCTTGAGACCACCATCCAGCTGATCAAGGACTGGGTCAAGCAAGCGAACCCCACACAGCCGGCCGAGCCGTCGCTCCTCAACTTCGCCGTCACCGACGGCGAGTCGATCTGTGTTTCGCGGTACGTGAGCTCCAAAACAGACGAGGCTGCCTCGCTCTATTTCTCCACCGGTTCCCGGTTCATCGAGGTCGAACCTTCTAGATACAAAATGGAACGGCTTGACCGGTCACAGGATATCATTATGATCGCTTCAGAACCGCTCACGTTCGAGCGAGGCGACTGGATCTCTGTGCCCTCTAACTCGATTTTGACCGTCAAGGGCCAGACCGTGCTGTTGCATCCTATCAAAGACGAGTATTACCAGAGCGACCCAACGTACGCCAGATCGTCCGAGTTCGCGCAGAAAAAGGGTCTTATGGGGACGTATCCAAAGGCAGAGATCGTCAACACCAACTTGCCACCGCTGGAGAGAGAGGGAAGATCGCGGTCCATTGTCACGTAGAGTCGTCATTCGTTATAGTCGTTAGCAGGAGGCTTGCCGCTCTCGCTTCGCATGTACATATCGATCGCAGTACTGAAAGCCGCGAAGCCAGCGCACCCAATCAGAGTCGACGTAGGTCCGCTCTTGATGGCGAGCCCACCACCAGTGATGCACCCTGCCATTGTCCCATTCCATATATCGTTTTTCGCGCGCAAGGATTCGATGCTGCACTCGACCCCCGAGAAAATCAGTCCGATGTATCCAAAGTTCTTCGCCGACGACCACGTTCGCCGTCCCATATCCGTAAACTGGATTTTCACCTGCTGTTTGAAGGGGAGATCTGCAATCTGTTGCGACGGACCAGGTCCCATGCCAGGGGCCACGTCGTACGACATCGACGCCATGAACAGTCCAAAGAAACCTCCGAGAACAAATCCCGACACTCCAGACATGACAGCCTTTCCCGGGCACGACGAGATAAACTCCATGATCTGGCGGGCTCCTTGCTCGGCCTGCTCTTCCTGGGTCATCTCTGCCAGGGGCTTCTTTGGAGGGGGCAAGAACGGATTGTTCATCGTGAAAAAAAATATAAGTGATAAATGCTTTTTCATTTTTGCTGACATAACTTATACAGAAAACGCAGCTCCTTTAGTTCGGTACTCGTTTCTAAATTTGCGTAGCTTAAACCAGTCCACGAGCTTCATGACCATATAGGCGCAGCACCCAATGAAACGGAACAGTGCCATGAACGCCACAATCCATAGAATAACGGTCAAAAAAATAGATGTGCGACTGTTCGGCAGATAGCTCGACGAGCTCGTGCTGTCCGAGGTGAATTGATACAGACCCCCCGTTTCGGTGACCAGCGCAATCACTATGAAGTTGGTGATCATCCAAACAAGCACTGTCATCGAACGGATGAAGGCAAAGTAGAAAGCGTCTTCCTCCTCCTCGTTGACTTTGTCTTCTTTTTCGGAGACTCTCGTAGTCAGCTCGTTGATCATTTTCACGTAGGCATTATCGATCTGGCTCTTGGTGGTTGGGATGACAATTTCGAGCTCCCCGTCTTGTGTATTCTTCGAAACCCTAGCCACACCCAAATCGTTTTCAGAATCCTCTCCTTTAGTTCCCCACGTGATGTCGTGGATGTTGCAGAAAGCGTAGATATTCAGGACATTGATGTAGGCAGGACTTAGTAGCAGGTACTGGACAAAGCTGGTAATCATGTGGTACGGGTCCAGAAAAATAAAGGACCCAATGAAATACAATGCGTAGGTCGATGTGGTAGCCACGATCAGATCGCGGAACCTTGTTTCTGTGAAAATTAGCTTGATGCTGAAATTGTGCGCATGTTCGTTCATGATCTTCTGGATGCTCTTCACGGCCATAAAGATCGCGGCAAATATCATGTACACCATCAGAATGGCAAAGAATGCGACAATCACGAGGTAGAACCTCTTCGTCCCTTTGGGTTTGTTACCGAACGAGAGCACGAACGTGGTCACGATGGAGGCCAGATAGAGCCAAAGAAAGAAAACCGAAAGCACGTTTCCTGGCGCAAAATCGGCCTCTGGCTCGGCCAGGTAGACGGTCAGAATTCGAAACACCAGGAAGTACGATCCAAGGGAGAACCACGACACCAGAAGATTGATAAACTGGTAGAGAAACTGCATGTGCAACAAAATCTTGCGACTCACGGAGTGAGATGTAGACCAGACTTTGTAGAAATGGAACAGAGAGTAGATCGATGCGAAGAATGAGCCATTCAACCACCGTCTTCGCTGAGAAATGAAATCGTGCAATTCTTCTGGAACGTCCGTGTACGCGGCTGCAGTGTTGACATATTTGAGTAGCCATTGACAGTTCTGCTTTGCCACCAGCTCAAAACAGAGGATTCTATCTTCAGCAAGATACATGTTGGCGTTGAAAATACCTCCGCTGTTGGATCTTTTGAGATCTTCTCCCTTCAGATATTTCTGGAGCGGCGCTCCTAGCAGTGCCTGGTACCGGTACGCACTGAACGCTCCCGGGAGCACGGTCACAAACCCAAACACAGACTCCGTCGGCTTGTCAAGGATGTTATTGATTTTGTACTCGAAATTTTGTGCTGCCACGAGCGGATTGAGAAGCAGCCGGCTATTTTTCCCAAGACTGGCCTTTATTTCTCCGCAGGCCCCAGCTACCCGTGGATCTTTGAACGCTTTCCATAGTTTATAGAGCGCTTTTCCCTCTGGCTCGGTTCCCACGTCCACCAATACAACGACGTTGGGGTTCAGCACGGGCGCAAACGCTTCCAAAGCCCACGCGTGCGAGTTTATTTTCTTCTGGTTCGTTTCCTTCAAACAGAAGACCATCTGAATGGGGATTTGATTTTCTGTCGTCAGCTTGATTTCGTCCTTGGCCACCTTGCTTATTCCCACCATCGTCGTGTACTCGTAAATGTGACTCACCACCTTGTCGTCGTTGACTCTGTTTTTAGCGAAACCTTCTTGATACACACCGAGGGCTCCCAAAAGCGCTTTGGCCTTGGGGTGTATTCTGGTTCTTCCGTCACTAACAACGCAGACCACCACTTTCTGCCATGCGTCCGGTCCCCATGTGGAGGAGTGTTTGAGCGAGTACAAATGGCGGATATTTTTAAAAACTCCTTTTAGTGTCCGGGCAAGAAGAATGTCGCTCTCGTTGTACATGGTGATCACAACCATCATCTCCGTGGATCGCGGCTGTGAGTAGAATCGCTGGCGGAGCGAGAAATTGCGGAACACAAAGTCTGCCGGCTGGCATGTGCACGCCTGGAACCGCATAAACAGGAACTCTCGATCTTTTTCAGAGAGCGAAGTGGTGTACTTGTTGAGCAGCACGTCACTGACTGGGCAGTCCAGCACCAAATTGCCATTCACCATTCTCACCTGCCGGGCCGACGTCACACTCACATTCGAGCTGGTGTCGTCGTAGTCATCGCGGCTTTCTTCTTCGTATCGATAATCGAACGGATCGAAGTAGTCTTTGGGAGTATTGATCGGATAATAAGAATTGTTCAAGGCTGGAAACGGCACAAAAGTGTGGTCGGAGTCATCATCGTTGTCTATACGGTATGCGCCGAGATTTGGAGACTGGGCTACAGACGGGTCTCTGCGGTCACAGAGCGACGGGATGGACTCCACCTTTTCCTCAAACGGCGAGAGCTTGGGGATTCGCGGCGGGTACTCTGCTTCGCGCGAGGGAGAGTAGTAGCGACGATCTGGCGACGGTGAATATTTGCGTTTGTGGGGAGACGGACTGTCGTAGAGACGGTCCCGGGATCCGTATCCGTGCTCTGGCGTGCGGTATATGCTGTTGCTTTCTCTTCGATGGGGCAGATAGGGCCGCTCAAAACCGTCCTCCGCTGCGTTCATCTGCATCCACGGGTTCTCCGTCGGTAGTCCGTTCACGGTCTCGTCCGACTGATCGTACTGCATCTGGGATCTGATTGCAGTATTTTTTTCTGTTTTGTAAACAATCGCGGGGTGCCTAGCCACATGTGGCGTATTGTCGTCTATCAGGACGAGACTGAAAAATTTTAGTACCGATGGCATCTTCAATCCCTGGGCCGGTGCCTCTGCCGGCATCGCAATACGATCTGTCCACATACATGGGCAGAGTCAAACACTGCGCGGGCATTTCTGATCCCACAATGCTGCTCAACACCTCTAAAGATATTGCGGAAGCCAAACGGCTCATCTGGGACTACAAAAACGGAGTCATCCCTCAAATGACGCCTGAGCTCTGGCGAGCCAAACGGATCCTCGACTCATCCATCCACCCAGACACCGGAGAAACGGTTTTCCTCCCTTTCAGAATGTCCTCGTGTGTCTTGTCAAACCTGGTGGTCACGGCGGGCATGCTGACTCCAGGTCTGGGAAACGCAGGAACGCTCTTCTGGCAGATCGCAAACCAGTCGCTGAACGTGGCTATCAACACCGCCAACGCCAACAAGTCGCATCCGCTGACCACCAAACAGCTCGTCACAAACTACTTTCTCGCCGTCGGAGCTTCCTGTGGTGTCGCTCTGGGCCTGAATTCTATAGTCCCCCGCCTGAGAAACGTTTCTGCCAACACCAAACTCATTCTCGGCCGCCTGGTGCCGTTTGCTGCCGTTGTTTCTGCCGGTATCGTAAACGTGTTCCTCATGAGAAGCGAGGAGATCAAAAAGGGCATTTCTGTTTTCGACAAGGACGGGAACGAGCTGGGAACGTCTAAGCGTGCGGCTTTGCAGGCTGTCGGCGAGACCGCAGCTTCGCGGGTGATCAACGCCACTCCGATCATGGTTATTCCTCCTTTATTGCTTGTTCGCATGCAAAAGACGATTTTGAGAGGCAAGAGCCCTGCCATCCAGAACCTGGCTAACATTGGTCTCATCACCGCCACCTCCTTCTTGGTGCTCCCCTTTGCCTTGGCAGTCTTCCCTCAGCGTCGCGAAGTCAGCGTGAGCCAGCTGGAAGACAAATTCCGCGGCCTCAAAAACAAAAACGGTGAGGAAATCAAGACCGTCCAGTTCAATAGGGGCATTTAATAGATAGATTGTATTTTTTTGAAGGGAAACAAATAATTGTCAGATCTGGTTTATTTCCTGCAGATTCAATTATTTTATTTATTTTATGACAGTCACCTCCGTGATAGACAAAATTGCGCCCCTTTTGCGCCAGAAAGACAACAAGCTTGCGCACGAGCGCTTGCAGAAGATAGCACTAGAGGTGGCTCCTGTGATGCGCTCCTTCGGATTCAAAGTGGGCGTTCTATGTGAGTTTTTCCCCAAAAACCCCCAGCTTCTAGGTCTGAACGTGAACTTCGGCACAAAGATATGTCTTCGACTGCGATATCCGCACGCCAGCGACCAATTCCTGCCTCTGGAAGACGTTATTGAGACCATGCTGCACGAACTGTGCCACAACAAATATGGCCCGCACGATAACAATTTTTACCGACTGCTCGACCAGCTGCGCGATAAGTACCACTCCATTAAGCGAAACGGGGCTCTGAAAGAGACAGGGTACGTAGCTGAGAGCCAGGTTCTAGGGGGCCGCAAAACCGGGCTGATCAGAGAAATGCGACTCAAAAAGCTCGGACAGGTCAAATATGTGGCAAAAGTGGAAAAATTGGGCTCTAACATGCCCAAACAGAATAAGAGCATGCGCGAGTTGATGCTCGAGGCTGCCGAAAGAAGGGCCAGGGACGCTAAAACGTGCACTGTAGACCCAGAGGCAGTGCCTAACGAGGACGAGCTGGTCGAGGTTGACAAGCCTGTACCGGAGGTGATCGAAATACCTGATGAAGATTAATAATATATTACGTTTACAGTCTATGTCACAGAGGATTGCCCGTTGATTTGATGTATGCAAAGACAGGATCGGTGTCAGCTGAGTAGTCAGAAAGGTCTCTGACAGAATCAGAAGAGAGAACATCCCGCAATTTCTTGTCGTTCTTGAACCACTCCTTGATTAGGTAGCACATCTCCTGTTTAAGCACTTTGGAGTAGCCATCGAAAATCTCGAAGGTAGTCGATTCTATCAGGTCTCTGAGGTTGTAGTAGAGCTTTCCATACGAGACTCCACTGCGAATGAAGGCGTCGATCAGAACTCCTGTAGGCGGCGTGAGCTGTTTGGGACAATAATCTGGCGAGTAGAAATACTTTGCTAATAATTGGAACAGCTCCACGATCGGGAAGAGAACCTCGGTGTCAGACACTCGAGAAGCCACAGCAATGAACTCGTTGTTGACTTCGGAGAAGAACGGCTCTCCAGAGTCCTTATTCTTGTAATACCATTTGTTCAGAAGATTCTCCCATTGGGACAGAATGTCTTCTGAGTTACGGTGGTCTGATATTTTGAACGTCACGAGGGCCAACGTGTAATATCCAAGAGGATCGATGAAATTGTTGTACAGGTCACTGATGGGCAGCACTCTTCCATTCAGCTTTTTGACAGCCACCTGCTTGGCCGCGTCGCTAACACGTTCGTCGTCGAGAATAGTCAGGAGAAGCTCGTCTTGCAAGTTGGCCACGGCAAGCAGATCGCCAATGGTCACCGAAAGGAACGTCATCTCCTGTCTCAGGTCTGGTGGACACACACAGTTGCAGAATCCATTGGCTCGCGACAGGAACTGGATCCTGTTTGCGAGGTCGATATCGAACTTGGAGATGGACAGATCAAACAGCACCTTGGCCGCCTGGAAATAATTTTCCCTGCGAGAGTAGTAAATCCACAGTAGCTTCGCCATTTCCATATCCTTGGTAGAATAGTCTTTGAGAAAGTCTAAAACAAATGACGTCTCCAGGTCTAGCAAGCGCTCGCCTACACCAATCTTGACCAACCACTTGTAAAACTCGTAGTGGAACAATTTGTCCTGGCTTTTCAGACAGATCTCGTAGCTCTGGTCTCTCAGTTCGGAGTAGTGTGTCATTAGCTGCCCATCAGACCCAAAATACGAAATTGGCGCCTTGGCGTCCGTGAAACTGGTGTTGTTAGCTGCCTGCTCCAGACTGACAATGGCCTTCTCATCAACGTCAATCAGGATCTTGAAAATGAGCTCATAAAGTTTGACCCTCCTCTCGAAGGCCAGCTTCTTAGGATCATCAACCATCACCGAGACCTGGCCTTCGAGATCATATTTTAGGGCAAGATTTGTCGGATCGCTAGCAGAAGCAATTGTGAGGAGCAGCTCGATTGCTCCGGTGTAGTAATCAAGCTGAAGCATAACGCCAACAAGATCGTTAATAGTTTCGAACGTCAAAGCGTCGCTTGTTTGACTTAACAACTGCGTCGCAGCTTTTAAATGCTTCATTTTGTTCTCGTTGTCATTGGAAGCTGCAAAATCTTTGGCCTTTTTCAGACTCTCAATGGCTTTGAATATCAGAACATCTCCATTTGAGCAGAAGGAACCGCATTTCTCTTGCAAGGTGGTAGCGACTAGCTCAACCGAGTCACCAGCTGCAATGCTCTTGTTGATCACAGAGGAGAGAATCTCTTTGACGAGTTTAGATGTTGCTTGGTCAGTAGAGGTGAAAAATTCGCAGAACGTCAAACAGCTGAGATCAGCCTGGCTTTGGAGAGTAAGGTAGCTCATCACATCTGCAAAGTTCTTTCCAGTGTTTTCGTCATCGTAGAGAATTGCTAAAAATGAAAGCCCTTCTTTCACACTCCCAAGGAATTTGAGGACAGCGTTGAATCCAATATTCTCCGCCTGTAGACAAAGCTCTGTTTCTTTGCTGTTTGTACCTGTTTCGTACAAGGGTCCGAGCAATCCTGGAATCGTCTTCTTGTTTTCTTCAAAGAAATTCAGTATAATGATAAGAGAGCAGAGAAAGTACTCAAGCTCTTGTTTGGTTATGCTGAGCCCTGCAAGCAGTACTTTCTCATTTTTCAGCTTCTTTAACGATTCCTCATCGATATATCCGTTCCTGTTGAACTTTACGTTTGAGTCAAGCTGGAAAATCTCCTTATCCCAAAATTCTCTCACCAATCTCGCAAGCAAAAGTATAACAGCATAGAATCTATCGCTTAGTTCCACGTTGTCAACGATAGCTGGTAGATTTTTGTTGAGGCTAGAGTTCTTACCACCTGAAACATAAAACTTGGTAGCCATGTTTCTGAAATTGTCTCCCTGTCTATACTTACACGCCAAGTACAATGCAGTAGAGCACGCCTCGCGAGAACTGTACTTTCTTGAAAACTCGTTAAATGTTTTGTCATTAAGAGAGTCTTCTAATATCATATCCGGCGTTCTGTAACGGTAAACGTGAATGCCGGTGGGAGTAAGAGCGGCAATTTCCAATGGAGGTGCCAAGTATTGACATGCAAACTGGTTGCAGTATCCTTTTGGCGTATTTGTAGCATGAAAGCTCGGAGTGATAGGTACGATCGAATGAATCAACTGTATTCTATCAAGTTCCTCAAAATCCTCAACATATTGCAATGAATTTTTGAGAACACCGTAGTCCGGGACAGAGCTGTATAGATGATCTTCACTATGGCAGAAGAATATACCCGGCGACACTATAAGCGACTCCTTGATGTTGCTTAAAAGTTTGGAGTTTTCTTGCGCAGCCTTGAGATCCTGAGGGGTGATTTCGTTCAGTACTGGATTCTTGGTGATCGACTTTGTACCTTCTGACTTAATTCCGTTAGACAGAAAGTTCTGGTCGTGCAACTGTTTCGCTTTGAGCGATTCCAGCTTTTCATGGAAGCTGGAGTCTGGAGGCGGGAATTTCACATAATTCGTGGTAAAAGCTAGCCTTTCGTATATTGTGCTTCCATTAACGTATAGTCTGCAACCGGTATCGGTTACAGCGACCAGGAACAAGTTGTCGCTCTCGTTTTTGGTGATCGGGAAGATATTCACAATTTTGAACCCGTCTTTCTTCAGCAGAGATGACTGGAGGTTGAATGTCGTGGTAGCGAGGTCTTTGAGGATGTTGTGTGGTCTTTTCACAACACTGGCGCCGAGCTCGACTTTTCCGTCTGTGACCTTCAGTCTAAAAGCCCTTATCGTGGATTTTGACGATAGTGTATACAGGATATTTCTCGTGGAGTCAATCTCTAGCTGGATGATGGTTTCAGTCTTAGGGTCGTTTTCTTGGCCTCGTAGTCCCGGGAGTTTTTGGAAAACGTTATATTTCGGCACGACAGACGAGAGACCCGACTTGGTGAGACACTCCTTGTAGCAGTTGCGCTGGAACCACTCGTCGGTATTGGAGTACGTCAAGCGCCACACGTTTTCACCGTCTCCGATTCCGGTGAAGAAAATGTCGTTTGTCTGGTCAAAGGAGACGATCTTGTTTACGACGAGGCCGTGTGCGGGAACACTCATCTTGGTGTCAGATATGACCAAACTCGACGGCGTATACTCCACCGCCAGAATATGGATGTCCATGGAAGTGGCCACAATCAGCAAGTAGTTGACGCTGTCCACAAAAACCTTAGGCTTCGGCTTGACCAGTTTTACTGTGAGAATGGTATTCTTCAGCTCGTCAATTGTAAAGTAGTCCGGATCGTGCGAGCCAGCCTTGTAGTTCCATATAATCAGCTTGTTGTCGATTGTCAGCCAAGCCCGTTGCAGTTCTGTCAAAATGCCCATGTTTGTAATGCAGTCCAAGCTGTTGTACTCTTGGAAGATCTGGTCGGGGATGTTGTAAATGTTCGACTTCTCAAATCGGGAAAAGGGCCCCAGCGACTCACTCGTCTTATAGTTGTAGCTGTCAATTGCGTATTTAGTGAGAACCTCGCTCAATGCCGGCGTGGTGTTGTCTTTCTCGATTGCTATGTGTATGCACTGGTCCACAAGACTCAATGGGGCGGTCGAGGACAGCAGCGGGAGCGATTTCTCGCTGGATGGCTGATATTTCATCAGCTGCGACGAGTTGAAGCCCGCAGACAGCGACGAGGTGAGACTTGCGGTCGGGAACAGAGATCCAATGCCAGAAGACGTGCCGTTGGACAACGTGGCATTCGTGCGTCTAGCAGCCCTTCTTTTCTGGAACTCTGTTACCTCAAGCTTCGAGTCCTTCTTCCCGTCCACAGGAGCCCCAAATCCTAGCACCTGGCCAAAATGAACCGACATGATGAGCAGTGAAGAACGAGAAGTGTTTTGTTTTGATTAAAAATTTTGACTAGCCGGGTAAAACTAAACGGAAATATTAAATTACAAATCAATCCAGACACTTATGGCTCTCTCATTCCCAGACCTGTCGGGGACCGCTTTAGACGACCTTGTTGAGAAACTGATGCACTATGCAATTTCGAGCGGCCTAATGATTTATCCGCCAGACTTCAAGGCGTACCAGCCATCGGTCGCACCGGTCACACTGTATCCTACACCATTTCCCAGGTCTCAATTCGATAAGGGAGTCGCCATCTCGACCAAGTTCAACGAGTTGTATAGTCGCATTGTGGCAGACAAGAGCTGGCTCAAAGGAGTGATTGCAGATCTCTCGAAATACGACCGCGATTTCACCGGCATGTTGTACAAGACGTACTTGGAGGCAGAGCCCAAGATTGTGCAACCGGTGTCACTGGGGCTGTTTAGGTCGGACTACATGCTGGACACGGTGTCCAATTCGATTAAACAGGTGGAATTCAACACCGTGAGCGTTTCTTTCGGCGGTCTTTCGCCGAAAGTGGGCCAACTACACAGTTTCCTCAACTCCCAGGGTCTCTACGGCAGACCGCAGTACTACCCAGACCCAGACCTGCCAACTAGCCAGTCTATAGACGGTCTTGCCAACGGGCTTCTTGGAGCGGTCAAATACTACGAGACAAGCGAAGAGACGGAGTCTTCTATCGTTCTCTTTGTTGTTCAGCCTGGAGAAAGAAACGTCTTCGACCAGCGCGCCATTGAGTACAGCTTATTTGCCAAAGGTGTCAAAGCGGAGCGAGTGAACTTTAACGAGATCACCTCGTCGGTGAAGGTCGACTCCTCCCGTAAGCTCTTCTACAAGCAGCAGGAGGTGGCCGTGGTCTACTACCGTTCTGCATATTCTCCCAGCGAGTACAATAATCCGGACTCCTGGAAAGCGCGCCTACTACTCGAAACGACCAAAGCCATCAAGTGTCCGTCGTTGCTGGTGCAGCTGAGCGGTGCCAAGAAAGTGCAGCAGCTTCTCACTGACCGGGCGGTGCTGCAAAAATACGGATTTGCCGACGAGGAGCTTCTGTCCACATTCGTGCAAATCTACCCGCTGGATGGCAGCGAGCAGGGCCGACTTGCGAAGAAGCTTGCGTTTGAGCACCCTGAACGGTTTGTGTTGAAGCCGCAGAGAGAAGGCGGCGGAAACAACGTCTACAAGGAGGATATTCCTGGCTTTCTGCGCAGCTTGGACGAGAAGGAATGGGGAGCGTACATTTTGATGGAGCTCATCATTCCTGCTGTTCACGATAACAAGATTCTGCGTAACGGCGATGTGCTCAACGAGGGTGTCGTGAGCGAGCTGGGGGTGTTTGGCACGGTGCTCTTCAACGAAGCAGACGGCACCATCCTTGAAAACGACTATGCCGGCTACCTGCTGCGGTCCAAAACTAGCACGTCCAACGAGGGAGGAGTCGCTGCCGGATTCGGGTGCGTGGACAGTTTGTATCTACACGATTAGAAGAAAACATAAAAACATCAAACTGTAGATAAATAAGAACGTCCATGGTTACTGTCTTCCGTCCTTGCTCTTCTGGGACCACCATCCCAGCGTCAGAAGGCCAAAAATGCCAAAGAAGAGGGCGTCGCTGCGGCTTTTTTCAGCGGCCCCGTGGATCTGTTCTGCCGTGGTCTGCAGGACCTGGCCGCTCTTGCTGACCGGGGCCGAGTCGACGGCCTGCAGCACGGTCTCGGTGGTGGTTTCCGTGGCGGGAGCCGGGTCCTTGAGAGAGGCCTTGGTCGAAAGCGAAGGCACCTTCATCGGCGGTCTGCCGTCCGGCACAGGGTACGATTTTTGCGGCACCTTGTAGAAATCGATCGTCGAGCTGTCGCCCTTGGCCTGGTTCGAGGCAGTGGAACCGAGCTCCCGCGCAGGCTGTTTCGTGGCCTTCTGAGCTGTTTTAGCCGGCTCGGCGGCCTTAGCCTTCGTCGTGATGGTTCTGCTCAGCACGGGAGGAGAAATCGAGGATGTGTCGTTCTGGATCAGTCTTTGCACGAGGTCGATCTTGCGTCCCGATACCTTGAGGCCTCTGCGTTTGCATTCTGTTTTGAGGCCCTGGAGGTTCATCGACGCATATTTGCCGCTCGATCCAAGGTCCATGATCAGCTGAGTCCTGGACGTCTGGTGGACGCCCCTTGTGGACACCTGGGAAAGAATCTTGTTTGGACGGACAGCCAGATCGTCTTTGGAGAAGCCAGTTTTTGTTCTTTGGTGAGCGAATCCTCTAGAGATATTAGGAATATCCTTCTGTATGGCCTGGCGATAGACAGCGCCGATGGCAGGCAGCGATTTAGCACTTCTCAACATAGCAAATACGAAAATAAAATCAAATAGTAATTTTATTGTGCTTGTTATTATTTGTCCGAATCTGGCTTCTTCGCATGCGTCGGTGCGTCTATCGACCCACTTTCTATCGCCGGCCCTGAGATGCCAGTAGGCAAGCCACTGGCCCAAAAAAAGCCAGAAGGAGCCTAATGGGCTCAGTTTCCCGTCCACAGCCTTCTAGCTCTCCTGTCTCCACATATCAAATACGTAACTCCTCTCTACTCGACTCTTATTTTTTTTCGCATGTCGCTTCGCATCCTGTCGTACAACCACATAGCAAATATGGAAACCGCGCCCACCAGATCACGACCCTACGGGCCGCTTGAGCTCATTGATTGGGACAGGGAGTACGCACAGCTGGCGGAAGCTCGCAAACAGCAGGCCCCCCAGAGTACCCGTCTCCGCCACCTCATCTACTCCAATTTGCATTCAATTCTCCTAATATCTTCCTCTGTGACGATTGCGCTGCTTACGATCGGCATTGACTACGTCTCCATGTACTTGCACGGCTTGCGAACGGGCGTGTGCAAGCAAAACGTGCTTATTCCCGCCTACGAGTGCGACGACCTGGCCGATTGGTCCACATATTTCCTCTTTTTCACCAAAAGCAGTGTGTTGCGCCGCACAAACGACCTCATCGTCTACATCATGATTGTGCTTGTGCTGGCGCTCTTCGGCGCTCTCCTGGCGTCAAAACACATTTACATCGCGCACGGAGGCATCCCGGAAATTAAGTCGATTCTTTCCGGCACCAACATCCCAGACTTCCTGAATATCAAGATGATCATGTCCAAGGTCGCGAGTCTTGTGCTCGTCGTCTCCAGTGGCCTATTTCTCGGCATCGAAGGCCCTCTCGTGCACATTTCCATGGGAGTGATGCAGTTTTTCATGAACCTGCTCCCGCTCACGCAAAACGAGGCGGTGAAAAGAGAGTATCTCTCGTCGGCAGTCGCCATTGGAATCGGTCTCGCGTTCAATGCGCCCATCGGTGGCGTACTCTTTGGTCTCGAGCAGATCCACTCCGCGTTCCCCGTCGATAAACTGATGTGGAACGCATTTATTTGCTCGACAATCGGCGTCACTCTACTGCAAAAACTGCACCCATATATGGAGATGAACATCGACGACATGTTCACAGTGTCGCTGAAAAACAACTGGCTCAGCTACGAAACGATCCCGTACATGTTTCTGGGGCTCCTGTGCGGCGTGCTCGGCATATTCTTCTGCAAGATCAACATTTATTTTGCAACCTTCAGACAGCAGAGGCTCGACAACGATAAACTAAAAATAGTTGAGGTCGTTTCGATTGCTTTAGCAGGCGCGGTCGTTGGCCGCATGTCTAACTACTCGATGTTCTCGCTCCCAAAAATGCTTCAGCAGCTCTTCAACAGCTGCACGGACGACTCCGACGGCCTGCTATGTTCCAAAGACGCCGGCTTCCCGTGGAGGCTTTCGTTGACTCTCGTTGCCGGCATTATGCAAAGCTTCTTCTTCAGCGCGTACAGCTACGGCTGCAACGTCCCTGGTGGACTGCTGCTGCCTTCGCTGGTGATCGGCGGCTCTGTGGGACGTCTGGTTGGCGTCTTGCTCGAGGCCGCCCAGAACCAGCTGATTACGTCAGCGCTCCATCTGCAGTGTCTCAACGAGAAGAAGTGCATCTCTGTGGCCTCGTACGCCGTTGTTGGGGCCGGCTCGTTCGCTGCGGCCGTCTTCAAAATGAACATTACCATGGTGGTCATTCTGTTCGAGCTCACTGGGGCTGTCACATACATGATTCCGATCATGCTCGGTGTGTTCTGTGCGCGCTTTTTGAACGACATGATTGTGGACCAGAGCATCTACGAGATGTGGCTCGAAATCTCCAACCTACCGTACGTCGTGCCTGATATTGAGGACCGTCTCTCAAACCCTGACTATGCGGTGAAAACATGTGCATCGGTCATGAGACCGGCTGAAGAGATACATGTTTTTGAAGACGGCACTCTGACTCTCGCAGATATCGAGAGAGCGCCGGAAATGAAGGGGTATCCGGTAGTCCGCGACGGCGAGCTCTACGGCTATGTTACAAGCTACAGTCTCCGAAGAGAGCTGGCCTTTTTGAAAGAACAGGGAGTGGTCTCTTTCGACACCGTGGTTACATTTGGACAGACGCAGTCCGGGTACCACACACTGGAGCATCTACTGACAGGACTAAACCTGCTACAGGTGGTAAATGGCGACACAAAGCTGCTGACGGCGTGCCAAATTATGGACCAGCTCATTCTGGACAGCATTTTCGTGTGCTACCTTGGAAGCTATAAATTGCAGGGAATAATTTATAGAGAGATGGTCTAAAAAATAATTTAGATAACATGATATGAGGGCAATCAATTTGAGTCTGGCTGTTGCTGGACCTTATAAAGAGACGGTAAAACGCAATGTCGAGGTGGACACTGCTACAATGCCAGAAATTGGCGTGTGGAATGGACACCCCAGGCCACTGGGACGAACGTCTGTTCTTGCGGACGGGAACTGGGTGTACTCCTACAGAGAGGACCTTGTAGGGGCAATTGACATGAAATCGGAAATTACACAGCTAATCACACATCATGATTACATCTATGTGCTCTGCGAGGCAAAATTGGTTGTTTTCTCCCAGAACACCCTGGAGCTTGTTGATGAAGCCGTATTGGAGTACGTGGGAGACAGGTTTTGGCTCCTGGACATTGATCAGAACGTGGTTATCGTCGTTCAAAGCCGCTCAATCATTACTGTTGTCACCCACTGCAACACTCTGACCACTAGCTCGCCGTTATACCTTCCGTTCTGGGCCAAGGGCGTGGTGTTACTGAGCAGATTCTATGTCTATGTTGTTGGACCCTCAGGCCAGTACGAGGTTTTCAGATACAATCTCCAGCGGAAAGCTTTTTTGGCAGCAGACCGCAAGATGTTGATTCGCATTGGGGCCTTTGGAGCGCAGAAGCACGGCCGGATAATCGACATTGTGTGTGCCGGTCCTGGAAAGTGGGCCGTTCTCCAGGAAAGAGGGTGGGCGCTTTACGAGGTCCGCAACGCGCAGCTCTTTGAGGTTGCCTCATCGTCTCTGGCGGTTCCCGGTGAACGCTTGGCCACTATGGATTTGGAGGATGGTTTTGTTATTCATTTGCAGAATGGAGAACTATTAGTGGTGAACGGCGATGTCCGTCAATTGGAAACGATGGCGAAGCCCGAGAAGCTGAAGAATCCAGCTTTCTCTGCCATTGATGATATCAACAGTTATGTGCTAGAGAGCCGGGACGACTACCTCGCTTTTCACTCCGCCTACACCACATTCTATCGTTGTTCGCTGCCTCTGGCCAACTTCCCGGTAGAGGTGTTTTTTCGTCTCTCCGTGGACATGGATCGTCTGGCAGAGCTTTTTCTTTCGTATGCGGTGGAAAACTACAGTTTTTTACTGCTGAGTCGACTGTGTCTCTACTGTGTGTCTGGTAACCGAACGGCGTTCTTTCTGCTGGACCAATTACTTGCCGGGGTTGGCCGGTTCAACGAGGAGCTGGTCGGCACCTGGAGAAACTATCTTGAGGAGACGTATTTTCCTTCTTCTGAGAACTACTCTGTCTACGCCGTGCTTGTTCTTGGTCTCCTCTTCTGTCACGCCGAAGTTGACCTGGGGTCGGAATTTGGCCCAAAACTAGAAAAATATGCATCTTGCGCTTGCACGGAGGCTTCTATGTCGATGCTGGTCCAGAAAATGGGCTTGCGTTTGAAAAATCTCGTCAACATTCCAGCTCTTTTCTACCATCTCATACAACATAACCATCTGGATGCAGTTGATGTGTTTGTCACGCTAGACGAGCAGTTTGCTGTGCTTAATTTGGCGACTCTGATGACCGCACCTGTTCCGCCCCTCACATACATCAACCAGCTGATGGTGAACACTCATCTCTCGCCAACGAATCTATTCATCCTGATCAACTCTGTCCTCCTCAATTTGCCGTGTCCCGGGAGCTCGCCGACCGTTAATCTGCTCACGACCAATTTCCACGAATCTCTGGGATCTCACTTTAAAGGTCTTGGAGAAAAATCTGCTGAAGATCTAGCCAAATCTCGTTGCAAAATTTCGATAATGCTGGATGACTCTGTGCTGCAACTAGGATACTGCGGTGTGGTGATGGCTCAGGAAAACAAAGAATGGGAGCTCATGCCGCTGAAGACGCCAGAGCTACCGAAAGACATGCGCCTAACGGCCGAGCTGGGCTGCTCCGAAAAGTACGTCAAGCCCAAGTTTTCTCTTGACGGCTCCCAGCTCGCGTGTTTCGACTTCAACAGCTACACGATCCGTATTTGGAAACTGTCTAAGAGGTGTCCTGATGCGTTAGACACAAGAGTGGTGCGGACAGACTTTGCGCTGAAAGTTCCCAACTTCTACGTGCTCCTTCTGCAGAGACTGGGACTGTCTGTGCCGATGGATCTCCTTGGGTTGCAAAACACCTCTGTGTGCGTTTCAACAGAGTGTGTCAGTTTGCACGATCTGCTCGCCAACTACAGCGAGGTGTTCAGATTCAGCCACTCAGAGCTGGATTTCGACTGGGTCTTGGGCGACCGCATAGCTCTCAAGCTGCGCAGCAAAATTATTTTTGTGTATAATCTGGGGTAAAATCGCGTTCGGAACGATGCCCCCGGATAATTAATTTTATTATACTGCAGCGATTAATTAAAGCAGCAACATTATGACCCGGATAGTTCTTTTGCGAATTAATGACGCGGGCGAGCCCGTGTTTGAGAACAGCCGCGGAGTTCTGACGTTTCCTACCTGTTCCAAAGAGGAAAGCCCGCTCTTCACACTGAGGTTCTACATCGTTGCAGGCTCTCAAATCACAAACAAGGGCACCATCTGGACAGATGTTCCCAAAATCCAAAGCGACCCGTACAGAAGGGACAGGTACAACAAGCACCCTATTGCGTCCAGTTTGTATCAGGACGTCACTGTTGACGTGCCAATCTACCGCCCGGGCTCTTACTGCTACTATATAGGGTACCATGCTCTGAAGGAGGGCGATGAGGAGGAGTTTGTGACGACGCGCAAATTTTACTTTGTTGTGCCGCCATCCCTGTTTGTGCGGGGACAGTATTTGCCTCTCAATGCCATCAGCATGCAATCCGTGGTCTCCAAATGGATGGGTGCAAACCACCTCGAGTGGGATCCAGTGTTTGCCGAGGTTTCTCGCAAGGGGTACAACATGATCCACTTCACGCCGCTGCAAACCCGCGGCGAGTCGAATTCGCCGTACTCCATCTACGACCAGCTTGAATTTGACCGCACGGCTTTTGCGAACGGCAAGACCGACGTGAAGAACATGGTCTCCCGGCTCGAAAAAGAACATGGCATTCTGTCCATGACAGATGTTGTCTTCAATCACACAGCCAACAACAGCACCTGGATCAGAGAAAATCCAGATGTCGGATATAACCAGGAAACCGCTCCTCACCTGATACCTGCCATTGAACTGGACAAACTGCTTTTGGAATTCAGCAGAACGATGGCACGTCACGGCTACCCCACCAATATCCAGAACGTCGAGGATTTGCTCAAGGTTATGGACGGAATAAAGACTTGCGTTCTGGGGGAGCTCAAGCTATGGGAATTCTACGTTGTCAACGTTTCTGAGCATCTCCTCGAGTTGGAGTCGCAATGGGACATTTCCCCATACACTTGCTCTTTTGACATTTCCAAGGATGCCAGTCTTCCCGATCTAGCTCGTTTTGTTGCCTCAAAGGCATGTGTTAGACCTTTTGGACTTGGCCCTAGATTTGGAAACCGCCTCGATATACAGAAGTTTGCTTCGGTTTTGCATTATCTCTACGGAGACCTATCTTATCCTGAGGTCAAAGGATATGCCATGAAGATTCTAGATGAGATCAATCTTCCTTTGTACAAGCAGTACGACGAAGACAATGGCGAAATTCTGGAACAGCTATACAACAGGATAAAGTATATGCGGCTAGAAGATCATGGCCCGAAACTTGGAGAGGTTACGGAGGAAAACCCTTTGACAGAGCCCTATTTTACAAGGTTCACTGATTCAAGCGGAAAAGAATGGAGTTTGGCGAATAACGGATGGATTTGGGGAGGTAACCCGCTTGTGGATTTTGCCTCGCACGAGTCCAGGTGCTATTTGCGTCGAGAAGTTATTGTCTGGGGCGATTGCGTAAAGTTGCGGTACGGGAGCAGACCTGAAGATTCGCCCGCTCTTTGGTCCCGAATGCTTGACTACTCCAGGCTGTCGGCTTCTCTTTTCCATGGATTCAGAATGGATAATTGTCACTCGACACCGCTGCATGTCGCAGAAGCACTGCTCGATGCCGCTCGTGAGGTGAATCCGAACCTCTATGTGGTGGCAGAACTGTTCACGGGAAACGAGGAGCTGGACATTATCTTTGTTGAGCGTCTCGGTATTTCATCTTTGATTCGGGAGGCAATGCAAGCATACTCTGTTGGGGAACTGTCGCGCCTTGTCCATCGGCATGGAGGCCCTCCAATTGGCTCATTCAAGTGGCTCCCATTGGACGAGCTGGCATATCCTGTTCATAAAGAAGAGTACCTCACTCGGCTGAGTGAGCGTTTCGCGAAGAAGAGTGAGGTTCCCATCCCTGAATCTGTTGTCTCCAATGCTCCTCATGCTTTATTCATGGACTGCACTCATGATAATGAGATGCCGAACGAAAAACGTACAGTTGAAGACACGCTGCCAAATGCTGCCCTGGTCTCTTTCTGCTCCTGCGCAGTGGGTACAACCTTTGGTTATGATGAATGTTATCCGAAATTGCTAGACGTTGTCAATGAAGACAAATTTTATACATATGGATGTGGAATCGGTGCTGTGAAGACGAAACTTAACAAAATTAGGTTGGAGCTTGCTAACCAAAGCGTTGATGATCTGGAAAGCAACGAAATGCATGTGCACCATGAGGACCAGTTCATCACTGTTCACAGAACGAATGCAAAAACTGGCAGGGGCTACTTCCTGATTGCCAGAACCAAATTCTACGAAGACAGCGAGCAGTCGCTGGCGCCGATTGTTCTTAGTGGATCAAAAGTCGAGCATCTATTTGCCTACACCTTGGTCCGCACAGGCGAAGATCCTGTTTATAAACAGGGCTACATGAAGTCTGTTCCTGTTAGGCTTCAGGAGATAGGCCCTATAGAAGTGGAGACGCGAGGCCAGGATAGCTTAATCAAGCTGCCATCGAATTTCCCGCAAGGGTCTATTGCAGTGTTGAGTACCACTATACCTGGTTGCGATTATCAGCTTGATCGGTTTGTCCGGTCTGGTGCTCTTGAAGCCGCCAAAAACCTCACGCTGCTGGATATCAACGCCATCCTGTACCGCTGCGAATCCGAAGAACGTGATGCCAGTGCTGGAAGAGAAGGCAATTACGATGTTCCTGGCTATGGACGTCTTGTTTATGCTGGAATTCAGGGCTGGATATCGGTTCTGAAACATGTCATACGAAACAATGACCTCGCTCATCCTTTGGCGAACCATCTTCGGTCTGGCACCTGGGCACTGGATTACGTTCCCTCACGATTGACCAAGTACGAGAGCTACGGAACAGCCGTTTCGGAATTCAAGGACTGGCTTGAGTCGCGCCTATATGCTGTGAAGAAGGTGCCGTACTTTCTTGTTCCTCGTTATTTTGCCTTGGTTATTGGCATTGCCTATGAAGCGTTGAGGTTCCAAGCGTTGAAACTGATGAGCCCAAGAATCCAGAAAAGCACTCGATTTGTTCAAAGTCTGGCTATGGTTTCTGTTCAGATGATCGCATCTATGCGGAGTGCCTCCATTCATCCCCATACAATCATTCCGTCTATGGCTGCTGGGCTGCCACATTTCAGTTATGACTATATGAGATGTTGGGGCAGAGATATATTTATTGCTTTGCGTGGATTGTTGATTGTTACAGGCCGGTTTGAAGAGGCCAAAGACCATATTTTGTGTTTTGCAAAGACACTCAAACACGGACTGATTCCGAACCTTCTTGGTTCGGGTAAAGAGCCACGGTACAATGCGCGGGACGCGGCATGGTGGTTTTTGGAATCTATACAGAGCTACATCAAATGGGCTCCGAATGGAGCTGATATCCTGGATTGCAAAGTGAAAAGAAGGTTCCCCCTGGACGATACGTATATTCCTGTTGACGACCCATTAGCTTTTAGTTATCAGAGCACAATCAGAGAAATAATATACGAGGTTTTCAGTCGCCATGCACGCGGAATCAAGTTTAGAGAGGCCAATGCTGGTCCCCAGATAGACTCACAAATGAAGGATGAAGGTTTCAACGTTGAGGTCCATGTTGACTGGGAAACGGGCCTGATTCACGGAGGCAACCAGTTCAACTGTGGAACATGGATGGACAAAATGGGCGAGAGTACTCTTGCCGGCAATAAGGGGTATCCGGGAACTCCTCGAGATGGAGCAGCTGTAGAAATCAATGCTTTGCTGAAGAGTGCATTGCGTTTTGTTATTGAGTTACAAAAGAAGGGCCTATTTGAATACAAAGAACTCAAGTCTCAGACGGGAGACACAGTGACTTTTGAGCACTGGAATCAGCTGCTGCAAGACAATTTTGAAAGGTGCTATTTTATTCCTGAGGACCCCGCTGAGGATGCAAACTTTGTGATCAACCCAGACATTGTCAATCGGCGTGGAATCTACAAAGATCTCTTCAGATCCGGAAAGGAATATGAGGACTACCAGCTTCGTGGCAACTTCCCTATTGCGATTGCAGTTGCACCAGAGCTATTCACTCCTTCGCGCGCCTTGAAGGCTATTCAAATGGCCGATCGTATTTTGAGAGGACCTATCGGATTGGCAACATTGGATCCCAGCGATTACAATTACCGGCCCTACTATCTGAACAGCGTGGATTCCATGGACTTTGCCACGGCCAAAGGACGCAATTACCACCAGGGTCCTGAGTGGTGCTGGATTCTGGGGTATTTCATGCGTGCCTTCCGACACGTTCACCTTTGCCAGCATCCGGCATGCTCTGATAACGGCAATTCTACTGACTACATGCATCAACTGCTTTCCAAGAGACTTTCTGCCCACAAAAAATGGATTGACGATAGTGTCTGGGCAGGACTGACCGAGTTGACACAGAAGAATGGAGAGTTCTGTGGCGATTCAAGTCCTACTCAGGCATGGAGTGCTTCGTGTCTACTAGATCTTTATTTTGATGGTTGGGAAGAGGAGAATGTTAAATAAAAGTACCTATTGTTTATGTCGCAGATATTTCTCGTTGTCTAGTGCGTACACCGGAGGGTCCCAGCCTGTAGTGAAGTGCCGGCCAGGTTCTTGTACACGTATCAGGTGGCCAATTGATAGCTTGATGTCGAATACGCGATGATTGGGCTCCGTCTGGAAATCTGTCGTCTTCTTGCCCGAACCACGCATTCAGGATGTGGCCACAGGTTCTTTTGTGTTTCCGAGCCACAGCCAGCAGGTCTGGGTTGTCAATTTCGTGTCTCGTGGCCAAAGGAGAGCAGGCCCGGCCAATGACATTGTTCTCGTAAAATTCAGCAGTCGTGGGCGCAGAAGCCACGGATAGAGCTCAATTTACGTGGCTGCGGCCCTGTCTCCAGGCCCCGGTGGACCAGGGGCTCCCTATGGTGCTTGACCCTCTAGTGGAAATATTTATATTCCTAAGCTTCCGTTGACACGAATGTTTCGAAGAGTATTCTAGATACCGTGGCGCATGCCGTGGTCCGATCCTGGCAGCCTTCTTCAGTGACCCTGGGCACTGCCTAGATTGCTGGTAGCCGTGGTGGGGTAGAAAGCCTCGATTCTTCTCGGATTGCGTTTTCAACCAGCCTGCTCCTCGTTATCAAGATGCAACCGGACCCACATGACAGTATCCTGCCTCCCGGAGACGGCTGATTTCAGCAGGAACGTCACTGAGCCCACGGTCAACTTTGGGGGACCGTGGCGCCGGAAACGAGCGTGTAGGGGCCGGTCCTCATATTTATCCAGTAGTGTTTCGAGCAGGTAGGGTCACCACAAATAAGAGTAATTTTCGTCGAGTTGTGTGTCGTTATTGTTGAGAGTGTTGAGCGAGAGGAATGGGTCTGCTTCGTGGAAGTCAGGCAATGCATGGGAAAAGTTGATGTCGTGATGGAGAGATGGTTCTGGCTCCGGCTCTGGCTCCGGCTCCGGAAGCTGCACGGCCTGTGCAGGTTCTCTCAATGGAAGATGGAGTCTCCGTATGGTGGTTTTGGCCTCGTTGTAGTCGTCCACTTTGAGGAACTCCCACAGAATGATGGCCCGCACGTTGTCTTTGCGGACGTGGTCCAGGGAAATGCGTGGTTTTGTCTCTGCCACCAACTCGTTTTCGTCGTTCACGTTGACAATTACCTGTTTCATGGTGATGCCCTTGACCGCGCGCGTGAGCAGGTCTTTGCGAATGTCTTTGGTTTCTGGCGCGCGCATGAGCCGACGGATGCTAGCAAAGAAGTCCGCCCAGTAGTTTGTCCCCAGCCTGATCTCCAGGGCTACGTCTTTGTGCGGGCCCTGTTTGCGCACCACCTTGGTCTCGAGCTTCTCCAGAGTGGTCACGATTGTTCGCCCGTAGGAGTATATGAGCGTCAGACACACATACTTGCGGTCTGTGGCGGGAATGCCGTGCAGCTGGAGGCTAGAGTTGACATTAAAATGACCCGCGCTGGTGTCGTGGTTTTCAGCCGGAGCAACCATTTTCACCATGGCGTGCAGCAGCGGCACAGGCGGCAGCGTGGAATGCATTTGTGTGGACGGCGACGAGGGCGTCTGCGCCTTGATCTGGTCGATCAGCTCAAACAGCTGCGGGAACCGGTGGCTCAGGTCGGCGTTGGTGCGGATCCGCAGCGGCGGCTGGTAGTAGTCTTCCGACAGCGATGTGAACTTGTGGGAGTTCTCTGGCTCCTCGAAGTCGACATAGTTCATGATGAACTTCCTGAGGGTGAGGTCGATTCGGAACAGGTCTGCCAGGCTTAGCTGCTGGCGCTGTACGCTGTTGTTCGGGTGGATAGGAGTGAGAGGATACCTGATGGTCTGCACCTTCGAGGACCCGGGGCTCTTGTCGGCCGCGGCCATTTTCGCCATAGAGATCCGGCTGAACTCCTGGTCAAACAGCCGTTTGGTCTCCTCGTCGCACGGAGGCCCTTCCAGAATTAGTTTGGTGAGCTCGGGCCTTTTCTTTATATTTTTCACCACCTGGATGTGCGACGAGACCTGCTTGCGCGACCGGACCTTTCCTGTCTTGGCGTAGATGTAGTCTGAAATCAGCTCGTTGCGTCCACATGCACGGCCGTTGATTTTGATTTTGTGAAGCCCGTGTTTGGGGATGATCCGCAACGCCTGCTCAAACGCCTCCTCGACATCCTGCGGCCATTTCTCCTGCTCTTTTTCGCTGCCGGCCCGTAACTTGCTTGGCTGCTCGCTCTGAGGCTCCTCGAGTCGCCGCTTGCGAGACACTGGAGAGTCGTCGGCGTTCAGCAGATTCTGGCCGACGCGCAACTCGGACTCGTGGAAGCTGTCGTCTGCGAACTGATTTAGCCCCACGTCAGGCAGCCCAGCGTCTCCCGAGTACGTGCCAGGCCTGTTCTGGGTGCTCGGAGGCGTGGGAAAGGCGCTCTTCCGAGGTGGCAACGGGGTTTCAAACATGGCTTGGAAACTTTACGAAAAGATTGTGTTTTTTCTTGTGGTAAACAAACCATCGTGTTGTGCGGCTCTGCGGCAAAGCTAAAAAATGGGCCAAGCGCGTTCAAGGAGCGCGCGCGCTGCAGATCGAAACACGCCTGAGTCCGTACTCCTGACACCACGACATTCTATAATTACGCCTTAGCTATGGATTACTACTCGTCCTCGGAAGAATTCAAGTACTCGGCGTAGTCCTCAGCGGACGCGAACGTCGGTAGCGCTTTGAGCTTCTTCGACTGTCCGGCGGACTGTTTAGACCGCTTTCTGGACTCTGCCTCGTCTTCTTCCGACGCGTTCTCCTCCGACTCGTCTTCCGACTCTCCCATCAGCTCGCCGATATCCGAGTCCGACGAGTCGCTAAACTTGCCCGCACGTGGCTCGGCTTCCTCCTCCTCAACCTCCTCATCATCGTCCTCCAAGTCATCCACCGTCCTCAAAGTCACCAGTCCATCCTCGTCGTCTTCCTCTTCCTCTTCCTCTTCGACTTCTTCCAGCTCCTCCTCGTCGCTCAACTCGCTCATCTCAAAGTCCGACAGCTCGTCCTCGCTTGGACCCTCGACCTCGGGATTGCTCTTCACCAGAGCGTTCCACACGCTCTCCTCGTCAATGTCAGACTCCTCGTCGTCTCTCTGCAGCTTCCTGTTAAGCTCCTTGTCCATCTTCGAGGCAAGTGCCTTCTCTTGTCTCGTGCTGAAGTACTCGTAGAAGAACCTGTCCTCGGGCCGGATCTCGGACGCCTTCCTGTTGATCCAGTCTTCGGTGTTGGTTGGAAGCTCCCCGTGCACATCGGTCTTCACGAGGAGCGAGCCCGTGTGCGCTCCGGCGAGCGGTTGCATGATCGACTGGCCGTGCGTTGCAGGCTTCATCTTGGCCTTTTTGTAGACAAACCTGTCCAGGAAGTGAGCCAAAGTGAACAGCCCGAGGTTCGGTTTCTGCAGGTCCTTGGTGTCGTTAGCAAAGAAAGCCTCGGTGTAGTGAGTCACGGTAGGATGGAAATGGTTCGAAAAAACGTTCAGCTCCCACAGAGACGAGTCCTGTGCGTTGGAGAACTGCGGGTCTCGTTTCCGCGAGTCGTACTCCTTTTTTTGCTCGCCGTCTTCGAGCGGAGCGTTGAATACCAGGTTGCGAATCTCAGGTACCTCTTTTTCGAGCTCGACAAGCAAAAAGACCATTCCGGCTACAGGACCGATGTTGATCCAGTTCAAACAAACCTGGCATATCCGCTTGACAAAGGCCATGACACGGTCCTTGTTGGTGTCCTCCTTCAACGATTGGAAAAGCAGGTTCAAATAAATATTCTGTTTTGACGACGTCACGAGCCGGTCATCCAACAAACTCTCGTACAGAGTTCTGTAGTATCTGTCCTTGTTGATTTCTCCTTTCTGTGTGATTCGGTGGATCAGCATCAGCGCCTGCACACTTGTGTTGAAGTTGGAACTGTGAGTGATGCGGAATAAAGTGTCCAGATGCGACTCAAAAACAGACGCAGAAAGAGTCGAAAATGGAAAAGCTCTGTTCAGGCCCGTCAGGATGGCAGCAAACATCTTGCTGTTGCGCTCTTCTAGCACCTCCTGCTCGCTCTTTTCGTTTTTCTCTGACTTGCCGCCCTTCTTACCACGCTTGAAGTTTCTCTTGCGTCTTCCCTTCTTTTGGTGGTCTGCCTCCCTCAGTTTGGCGGTGTTGCCGCTATCCGTCTCGAGAAGTAGCTTCTCGAATAGCTTGAAGTATGCGTCCATTAGTTTGTTGGCCAGCTTATCCTCCTTTCTCGTCAAGATTGTCTGATTAAGGGTAATTGTCGAGTAGTATATGGCATGGTGGTCGTTATTCTTGCGAAAAAGAACGTCAAAAATATTTTCCACAACAATCTCCTTCATGGCCGGATGCTGTTGCTCTAAAAGCAGGATATGGTACGACGTTTTCGAGGCCACCTTGTTGTCAATGTCTCCCAATTTGTTGACACCGATTCTTAGCAGATTAGCCTCCTGTTCTGGCTTCGCTCTCAACAGAGCAAACACATAGCCAACCACCTTGGTACGAACGTGCACAATGCTGTCTTGAAGAAGCTTTTCTAGGGTTCCAATAAATTGGAAGTACTTCTTCTTGAGATAATCCTCAAAATAGAACACAATCATCTCTTTGGGGCTCAAGTCCTTTCTTAAAGGCTGCTTGTTGAAATATTTCAGTTTTCTGTCCGCGGGGATGACACCGTTGACGAATAAATCCGCCAACGCCTCAATACACTGTAAAGCTGCTGTTCTCGACTTTTTCTCGCACATCGCAAACATGGTCTCCAAAGCCTTGTGGTTGTGCAAAGGAGATTCCTGAATTAGAAGAGTCAGCGCAGAAATTTTATCGTTTAAGGTACCTCCTGTGAGAACTTGGGACAGGAATCGTTTCTGAGACGATGACTTGTTGAATTCCTCAATGTATGTTTCCTGTTCCTTGTTGTACATGCGTTTGGCGTTCTCGTAGAGCTCCTCGATCTCTTTGGGCAACAGAGCGCTGCCCTTCACGTCCGGCAGCTTCTCGTTGAACCAGTCGTTACGTGGCGGCACAACCAGTCTGTCAGAACTGACGGTCTGCAAACTTTGTAATCTATCGCTTTTCTTTGAGTTGGGCTTCGATTCTTCCGCTTTCTTTTCTGGCTCGAATTCAGACTCTTGGCCGCTCCCTGTGCCCAATTTCTCTTCTTCTTGCTCTTTTTCCCCTTCTTCTTTTTCTTCCCCTTCTTCCTCTTCCTCTTCTTCTGCAGCCAGCTCGGGCTCCTCAAAATCCAGTCCCTTCATGAACTTGGACAGTTCCTTTTTGAGCTTACCATCCACAGGAGCATCGTCAAACTCTTGCTCACTAGCTTCGTCATCCACGCCGTCAACCAGCTTTATATCTTCCTCGCTAGCACCCAATTCCAATGCTGCTGTTCTAAGAACATCCTCGGAGCTGTCTTTTGTGGGGCTATTATCTGATCTAGGTTTTGCGGTCTGTTTCTTTTTGCTATTTTTCGAGCCTTTCTTGCCATCCTTCTTTGGCGTTGCCTTTCCGTTTTTATTTGCCTTTTCTTCCTTCCCGCGCTCAAGCGTTTTTGTGACCTGATCCTTCAAGGACCCCAGGTTGAGTTTCGGAAGCTCCATACTCATTGGATCTAAAAAATTTTGTGAAATATTTTTTTCCATTATGCGTCTACCGTCGCGTCGGTATATAGCAGCCAGCGTAGGTCTCAAGTAGCGAGTCTCATGTTCTGTTGGAAGAACAGAGCAGCGCAACCACTCCTCGTCTTAGAGCTGACAATGCGCACCAACCTAAGTGTCGCAAAAATGGAACATGAAAAATCAGGCACTCCAGTGATTTGAAATGCAAATCGGGCAGGATCCCTTTTTCTCACTTTTTGGAAATGGGTCCTTTTCCTCTTTCTTCGGCTCAATCTCATATTCCACTGGGGGAATATATATTCAAACGAATTGAGAGCCTAGGTGTCACTTCTGCCTTTGGTGTTCCTGGAGACTTTAATCTTTCCCTTCTGGAACATATCTATTCAACCAATGTCAAGTGGTACGGGGGATGTAATGAGCTTAACGCCGGGTACGCGGCAGACGGGTATGCCAGAGCATCTCATAAGTTTGGCGTTCTGATCACAACCTACGGAGTGGGCTCACTATCTGCCATGAATGCCTGTTGTGGTGCCTGGTCTGAATTTGTTCCGCTTTTACATATAGTCGGCACAACGTCGACAGTACAAAAGAGCAGAGGGCAGTTGACCCACCATGTGGCGCCAGGCAAACTGATCTCGAGCAAGTCCGACCATTATATTTACGAGACACTAGTTGAGAGACTAGCTTGCAAGGTGGAAAGCCTGAAAAGTGTGGAGGATGCTCCAGAGAAAATCGATTTTCTAATCAAGGAAATTATGGAAGCCAAAAGACCTGGCTATTTATTTATTCCATGCGATCTGGTGGACATTCCTGTTAGTGCGCTTAGACTGGGGGATTTGGATCTGTATAGGCCTATGGAAATCAGGCCAATTGAGTACTGTGACCAGCTTGCATCACTGGTGCTCTCCAAGATTTATAGCTCCGCAGCCCCCTGCATGCTGGTTGACATTCTGACGGACAGGTTCGGACTCATTCATGAGGTCCGTTCCCTTGTCAGAAAGACTAATATTCCAAACTTGTCCACTTTTATGGGAAAATCAGTTCTTGACGAAACTGAAGTTTCGTATGTGGGTGACTACATTGGTGATGCTTCGGAAAAAGAGGTTCAGCAGTTCGTGCAAACCTGCGATCTGGTGATTCACATTGGTGCATTCAATAACGAGATCAACTCCGGAAAACACACCCTCTACAATGGTGTTCACCCTGAATCTCTGATAATCATGAATCACGAGAATATCATCATCGGATCGGCCAAGTTCGATGTTAGTTTTGTCCACATACTTCCTAAGATCGTATCAAATTGTAACCCATTGAAGATCCCGCAGTTTACCGTCCCTCGCATTGAACACCATATTGAATATAGCCCATCAACAGCTGCGATCACTCAATCACAGTTACTATCTTCGTTACAGAAATTCATCCAACCAAAGGATATAGTTGTCATTGACACCTGTTCTGTCATGTTCGGTCTCCCAGACCTCAGGCTCCCTAAGGATGTCAAGTTAGTAGGGCAGCATTTTTATCTCTCAATAGGAATGGCGCTACCTTGCTCATTTGGCGTTGCCGTTGCAAATCGCGAAATGGGTGCTGAATCGAGAGTGATTCTCCTAGAAGGTGACGGTTCAGCCCAGATGACAATTCAAGAATTGTCGGCTTTCATCAAGCATGGACTCAGCCCCTTGATTCTTCTTTTCAACAATCACGGGTACACAGTTGAGCGTGCAATTAAGGGAACCGATAGATCGTACAATGACATCATGACTGGCTGGAAGTGGACCAGGATACTGGATGTCTTTGGAGGTGTCTCATGTGCTCCATCAGTCCAAGTTCACCAAGCTGAAGCACTCGATCAAGAGCTCGCTTCCTACCAGGGTGGTCTAAAACTGATTGAAATCGAGCTCGATAAGCTGGACATTCCCTGGAGATTCTATTTTATGTGCGGTTAGTACATGTGATGATCTATAAAATCGTTTATGCTAAGTTTGATAAAATCATTCAAAAGCGGTAGCAAATAAACTGTGAGGAACTGGTGATTTAGTATCAGGCTAAGAAACCGCTTGAATTCAATCATCACCTCATCGTTTTCGTTGCGAGGTTTGTTAATATAGATTGAGGCAATTATTAGCAGGTTTTCAAAGGATTCAAAGCCACCAGATTGCACATATAGCGCCGCAAGAAACTTTTCAAATCCTCCGCTGGTTCTGGACTTCAGGAGCTGGTTGATGGCTCTAAAGAGCTGGTACAGTTTGCGTTTTGGGAAGCCAACGTCTTTTCCCCTCTCAAGAAGCTGGGAAACCTCTTTCGACAAAAGATAAAGGTCCAGCTCAAAACAGTACCCATCAAGCCAATAATACACGGTATCACTTGGTACCTCTATCTTTTGAAAAGTTTTGAATAAATTGTGGTTTTGATTCACGACTGAAGTATAATAGTCGAGCAGTTTGTTGTTGATTGGTGGCGGCATATCCACTTTGTAAGGATGGTTGATGGCCAGCGGGAGAACAACCTGGTTCTCTCTTATGAAAAGTCGTAATTCTGGGATTAACGTGTAATCTTCAAAGTCCGGTTCCTCCAATTTCAAAAGAGCAAAATGTCTATAGCTTTTCAGCTTGCTTAAATTAATGTAGAACTTGAATGCTTTGAAGACAATAAAATCAAGCTCATAGAGGTATTTGGTCAATGCTTGATAAATCGTCAGGTCTCCATGATGATCTGCCACAAGTTTGTCTACTAACTGGTTCATTTGAGTGTGAATATGAGGCGGTTCAGCATTTGAAGGAATAGAGGGCGTGAAACTGAACCCTGTTGAAAAGAAGTTTGGCTCGGTTACGGGCGCAAAAAACTCCTTATCAGCTTCTGGATCAATCAGTGGAAATGTTGGGTCCCAGGAATTATCTAGCACTATATGATCGATGCCCTCTTTTATAATTGGGACAGATGGAGTGCCTCTTCTAAAAAGCTGCCTGAACTTTGACTCCGAAGATAGCCTTTTTTGTACTTTCTTTTCAGAGAGGTCCTCTTCTTCTCGAACCAATAATTGATTAGAGTCGACACTAAGAAATAAATCCCAAGGCAGCCGGTCTTTGAATAGAAGATTTGAGGTTCCGACAATGTAGTGGGGCAGGTGCAAAGGGATGTCCAAAGTGGCAAGATCTAGAATCGGATAGCATGGATAATCTCCATCAACAAGAAGAAGTAGCGCCTGAGCGATATCCATCAAGTCGTTATAGCATGAGTCGTAGGAGTAGAGCACGATTTTCTTCTTTGTAAGAATAGCGTTGAAAATCACATGTAGTGGCTGGATCGAGGAATAGGGTACCAAGGATGGCTGTTTTGGAAGAACGAGCTCTATATTTTTCATTTTAATGAGATAGTCCCTCAAAAGTCGTTCTCTGGCCAAGTCAATACCGTACATAGCACATGACGACGAGACCAGGGGTAATGCGGGAATCTGAAGAGGGAACTTGGTCTTGCCAAGATTCAGATTGGACCTGAAAAACCGGTCAGATTTTGTAAACTCTGTCAAGCGAGAGGGCACAGAAACGCTCAGGTCATCGAGACGGCTTAGCAAGAATCTTGCATGCTTGTTTAACCTAAATTCGTCTACGAGCTCAGCAATCCTGATTTTGTTCAGTTCCTTGAGTGCCAGCTCAACAGTATCAAACTTATCGGGCGTTGCCATCACATTGTGGAGTAAATAGGTCATTAGAGGCTTGAAAGTATCAAACAGTGGCAGCCGAGTAAGAATCGACAAAGCCATTGCAGTGCCATTCCTGTAGGAACTGTCTTCTTGAAAATAGCTCAAGGTGTAGAGATAGATTCTTTCGCAGTTTTTGGTCTGTTCCTGCCAAGAAATCAGTCCTGACACTGGATCAATGAACAGGGGGACAACAGTGTAATGGATAGTATTCAAATACTTGTGCAGGTTCAAGGGCATCAGTAAGTCAATGAGTCCCTCCAACTGGTCAACAGCCGGAGACGAGGGGAACTGCCGTTTCACTACCACTCCTTTGAGTTTGTCGAACTCTGATACAAATATGTAGTCGAGCGTAGGCACCATGAACACAACAACAAATACGCATGTAACTATACCTAAGTGAAATGGGGGCGATCGACGCGACGCATCCAATGGAAATAAAATTCTGTTACCCTACCGCACGGCTCTCGACATTTGCACTCCTTTCGCCTTCGGAAAAAAAAAACCAGCACGTCGTCTTTCACGTTAAACAAGTCATGTCGTCGTTAGAACAATCATTGGATGCCATCATCGCTTCGAGCAAGAAGCCGGCTCTCAAAAAAAAGCCTTTCAAAGGCACGAAGAAGACTATCAAGCCTACCAAAGTTGGTAAGGCCGCTGCTGGCAAGAATGCCAAAAAACCTATTGTCCTCTCCAAGCCTGCGCCAGCTCCGGCCAGTCCTGTTGACTACGCGTCGAAGGTCGTTGTCTATGGATTACCTAAAGACATCAAAAACGATGCTGTCAAGGTATGTTGAGACACAGGGATAGACAAAACCGCGAAGATGATGACCAAGCTGAAGCTTATTATGGAAGAATCTGGGCCGTCGGGCCCCGGGGATTCGCAGTTGCAAACTGATGCTGATCGGGGTAGCTTAAGGCTACCATGGCTATACTTGTTGAAACGTTCTGATTGTTCTAACGACGAACCGATCACTCTTGGTCTCTGTGCACTGCCATGTCCAAGCTTCACTGTTCATCAGTAACAAACCTTCCGCTATGCCGTCCCATAGAGTCGCTTGTTTACTAACGAATCTAGGAATTTTTCCAATCGCAAATCGGTGGTGTCAAGACAGTTTCGCTCTCCTACAACGAGAAAGGTCAATCTAAGGGTATTGCTACTGTAATCTTCCAGAAGTCGAAGCAGGCGCAGAAGGCTGTCGAGTCTTACAACGGAGCCCCTATCGATGGTGGAAAGAGCACATTGAGACTCGAGCTTATCGTTGACCCGGCCATGAAACCTCTCGCCTCAAGAATCGTTCCAAATCAGGCTGTTGCTCCAGCATTATCCGGAAAGGTGGCTTCGCGTAAGGCCGCTCCAAAGAAGGCTAAGGCTGTTGCGAAGAAGGCTAAGCCAACCAAAAAGGCTGTTCCAAAGAGAAAGAAGACTGTCGAGGAGCTGGACCAAGAGATGGCCGACTATTTCTCTTCTAACGACAAACAGTAGTTCAAAATGTGTATTATATTTTATATTTACAGAAATTTGTATTATTCATTTCCACGCCCCCACCATGCTAGCTTGTCACCGTGTTTCCTGCTCATATAGCTGTTGCCTGCTCCTTCAAACTCGCTCTTTCTTTTGTACTTTTCCTCATTCGGATTTCTCTCAGGGAATCCAGGTTTAACGTCTGCAATTTGCTTTTTCTGCGTTGAGTCAAACGACGAGGTTTCCTTGATATATTGTTTTTTTCGGCGAATGGTGACCTTCGACTTGACGAACGCTGCTGTTCCGATCGCGAGCACAGACAGGAAGAGGGTCTGTTTCCAAAACTGCTTTAGCGAAGGAAGCGTTGACGACATGATCAATTTAAATTATTTTTTGAATCCCGAAATGGAAATCTAATCGTTACCCGATCCTTGGTGTAGCCTATCTGGAGAAGCAAACGAGAAATTTACTCTTCCTTCTTCTTTATACAGCCAATGTCGAAGGAAGTTGATAGTTTAGCTCACGGGGTGGCGGGTGGACTGGGAGGCCTGATCTCAATGGCCTTGACTTATCCACTAGTCACTCTTTCCACCAAAGCACAGGCCTCGAAAAAGAAGAAAGAGGACACTAGAATAACAGCTGAAGCGTTCAAGAATCTATACAATGGCTTGGAAAGTGCGCTGGTTGGAATAACTGCAACAAACTTTGTCTACTATTACTTCTACGAACTGACAGGCTCAGCTCTCAGAAAAGAGAAGAGCTCATCCAGAACACTCAAAAAAGGATTGACCGCGTCTCAAAGTATTTTAGCGGGACTGGTGGCTGGCGTTGTTTCCAGAGTTGTTACGAACCCAATCTGGATCGCCAACACCAGACTGACTGTTTTGAAAAGATCATCCAGGAAAAATGCTCCGAAAAATACTATCCAAGTGATCTTATCGATTCTGAGAAACGAAGGATGGAAAAACCTATTCAGCGGCCTGGTGCCGGCGCTCTTTTTGGTTCTGAACCCCATCATCCAGTACACAATCTTCGAGCAGCTCAAGACGCTTATAGTTACCAAACGCAAACGCGCACTCAGTTCTGTCGACGCCCTGATTCTAGGGGCATTCGGAAAGCTGATCGCAACTATCGTCACCTATCCTTACATAACGGTCAGATCTCGGATGCACTTACATAGTGTCAGAGACTCGCATTCAGCCCCGGCTACTTCAAGCTCGGAGACAACAGCAGCAGACTCTGTTCAATCGCTACCTGATGACATCGAGTCCTCTGCCCAGCTTCACGATCTCGGGAAGCCTAAAAAGGCACCCGGTATGCTTTCCGTCATGCTGGATATCGCAAGGAACGAGGGAGTTTTGAACCTCTACAATGGGCTAAGCCTAAAGTTGCTCCAAAGTATTCTAAGTGCTGCATTTCTGTTCTACTTCAAAGAAGAGCTCGTCCAAAAAACCGACCTGGTGATTCGGAAAGCCAAGCGTGTCAAACAAAATCCCCTGCCTGCAAAGGACCTCGTTATCTAGTTAATTCCAGAGCTTTTTGAGCTGCTCATAGGAGTAAAACATGGCCGCGCTCGCGGGTATCGTCTTGATCAGAGTGATGCCGAGACCTGAGTAGAATCCTCGTATTCCATGCGCTAAATATATCTTCTTGACCACCCCGAGTATGTCATTCTGTGTTTCGCTCGTCTGTATAACATTCTTCACCGTGTCTGCAGGAAATAATGAAGCATTATATCCAATTCCAGCCATGGCTCCAGCAACGAGCAGCTCATGGGCTCTATATTCGTAATCTGGACCTCTGTCGCCCTTGAAGCGATCCAGTGTATACTCATAGCATCCAAACCACGCTGCCGTCCCTCCAGCCTCCCGCACCATCGTTGTCGTTTGTCCTTTCCAAAGTCCCCGTGCCCCTTCCTGCTTCAGAATGGTCTTGATCACGTGACCAAGCGACGTGTAGTTGGCCTGGCCCACCTTGAGGTTATCGACCTGCAGCTGGCACTTGATGAGCTCCACTGGCGTCAGTATAAAGCTCGTTGTGATACCACTAAAACAGCCACACAAAAGACGTTGTCCAAACGGTAGTTCTGTGTTGATCCGGTTGCCTTGCGATATGTTGATCAGATCCTGGGCTATTTTGTAGCTGAAAAAAAGCGAGCTCGCCTCCAGCGATGCACCAATCATTGGTGACGGTAAGCCTCTCCAAAAACCCTTGTATATGCCCTCATTCTTGTATGTTTTAGTGATGCAGTCTAGGGTCGAGGTGAAGATAGGACTGGAAAGAGATCTGGAGTACTGGAGTCTCACCTTCACCGTGTCGAACGGGAACTCTATTATCTTTCCGATGGCGCCCGAAACAGAGCCCACAACGATCTCGCGCAGCGAGTCATTCAGGATCGACTCCTCTGGCATTAGATCCAAGATTAAACTTCGAGTTTGTGTGTCACGTGATGTCAATGAAATTTTTCGTACCCTACATCAAAATTTTTCACCAAAAAATATATTTCTTCACAGAACTAATCAAAGGATAGTCTGCTGAAACAGCTTAAACGTGATTATTCTACAGTTCCAGAGAAATGAAGTACCTAGCCGCATACCTTCTGTTGCAACAAGGCGGTAACGCCTCTCCATCTGCCGCTGACATCACTGCTCTGCTCGAGTCGGTTGGTGCTGAGATTGAGCAAGAAAAGCTCAACCTGTTGCTATCCTCCCTTGAAGGAAAGTCTGTCGAGGAGTTGATTGCCGAGGGCGCTACCAAGCTTGCTTCTATCCCAGCTGGTGGAGCTGCTCCAGCTGCTGCTGGTGCCGCTGCTTCCGGTGCTGCTGCTGAGGAGGCTGCTGCCGAGGAGGAAGAGGCTGCTGAGGAAGAGGAAGACGACGACATGGGTTTCGGTTTGTTCGATTAGTGTATAAATCAAGCGATGTCCGTTCAATTCTATTAGCGAAGCGTAGAGGGCTTGGATATTTAATTCAGGTCTACATGGAGCTTTTTTCTTAGCTGGGCCGCGAATTCTGGGTCCTGCAATTTTTCGTTCATCATCGCAAGCTGAATTCGCGTTTGCGACACCTCGTTGACCAGCTGGTCGTTGGTGTTAAGCACAAGGTTCTTCTGTAACGTGGAATCGGGATCCTGCGTCGTGTCCGTCATTTCACTCAGCAGCTTTCGTGTTTTCTCGTAGTACTTTTTTTTATCCTGCAGCCTGAGCAATCGGGCTCGATTCTCTGCCAGCTTTAAACGAAGCTCATCGTAGCGCTCCAGAAGTTCGTCATTTTGAGTTCTGAGTTTGTCTGGCTCTGGTAATTCGTCGATCATCCCCAGGATCTCCTCCTGTTTGATTCTCATGATGCCGTTCATATCGATGTTGTTGGACCCGCGCTCGTCTTGGTAGTTTCCATTGACGTCCATCACGGTATCTGATCCGAAATTTATCAGAATTGCGTTCAGTGCAAGAAGCTTTTGCTTGCGCTGCAGATCGAGCGCGTGCTCGTTGTTCAGAACCTGCTGAATGATCTGCACTATACTCTGGCGATGAAAAAACTGACCATATCGCTTGTTCAAGTATCTGTTTGCGGAATTTATGATGCGCACAATTTGAGTCTTAGAGACCGCTTCGCTTTCTACCTGCTCCACAAACCGTTCTAGCTCTTTGTCAAAGACCAACGGCTTACTCACCGCCTTTGTTTGGTGGTTTAAAACCTTTTTAAGCTCCTCGTACGTCACCATACGCGTAAGAATTTATTATTTAGTTGTTTTGGGAGCAACAGATTTTTCGGTAGCAGTTTTAGTTGCCTAGAGTGCAACTAGGAGATGACGCAAACTCCATTGCTGGCTTCAGACTACCGCTAATTTCACATTGCTCATTACTGATCGGCTACTTGGTTTGACTTTAGAACGGCAGTAAAATTAGTAAACGTAATTAATTAAATTCGAAACGGTCGGAATCAAACGAAACATCAAATAAGTCGCACACCTTTTCCTCTGTTTTGCTCCACCCCATCAGCCTCCACAACCAGCAAAACCAGCCAGGGGAGTCAGCTTCATCAATGCTAAACGCGTTCTCATACTCAGCCTCTTGCTGAGTAGCGAAACTCGACCTTAGTCTGATTTTGCGGCTCACGGGCACCTCATCGGCCAGCTTGATCGTGCGATCAACAGTGGTGTACGTGGCAATAGAAGCGATACTTGGTTTGCGAAAAAACATAGTGTTCGAAAAGTCCCTGATTTTTCTTATGCTACATTAAATATGATGCATCACTAGACCACAACTACTCCTTTTTCATAGGAGCTATCACACTTCCGTGCTTGGCAATGACCTTTGGCATGGTGAGCTTTTGATGGATCTCACGACTCGTCCACTCCTGTCCAATCGGCTGTCTCAAGGACCGTTCGTACTGCTCCATAGTTTCAAAAGGATAAGGAATGGAGCCTGCCTGGTACTTGGCATTTTTCTTGTTCACACGCTCGTTCACTATCACTCCCTTCTTGTTTCTGTCCTTCCGCTTATCAGACGGCACAACGCCGTTGATTGTCTTCACAATCTTCTTTTTCTTCCTCTTCGCGTTGCCTCCGGTCCACTCGCCCCAACCAGGCAAAGTCAGGTCAACTTCTTTGTCTCCTTCCAGTTCCTCCACTTCGCGCTTCTCCTGCTCAAACTCAGTGACAACGTCGTCTCCAGCAAAAGCTTGTTTGACCAGGTCCTTCTGTTGGAACATGTGAATGTCCTGCTCTCTGTCAGCTTCGCCTTCGTGCTCGTCGTCCAGAGTATCACCGATCGTGATCTCCACATCCATCTCGGCCTCCCTGTGCGTCCGCTTCTTGATCTTTGCTGCGCTCTTTTGCACACGTGAAGAGTCAGCGTCGACAATCCGGACTTTTTGGCCTCTGGTAGGCTGTGCTTCCGCAAGCCAGGGATTAGCTTGCTCAGGCTCCTTGTTCTCCTTCGGGGCGTTTTTGGCCTTGAGTCTACGCTCCAGGCTTTTTTCATGATCTTCGGCAGCTTCCTTCTTGGCTTTCTGTTCCACGACTTTCCACTGCTCAGCAGCTGCCGCAGCTCCAGGAGTGTACACTCTTCTTCCGGCGTTCTTCACCACGTTTGCCACCTGTTCCTCGTCGCTCTCGTCTCCGTACTGCAACTCGGTAGCCAGTCGCTGATTTTCTATCCTCTCCCGCTCCTCAGCCCGCTTCATGAAGTCCATGGCCATGACTCCTTTGCCCAGCTTCGACCGCTCAATATCGTCCTCCACTTGTTCGGCAGCAATCTCCGCGACGTCTCGCTCATCAGTTTCGCTCTCACCTTCGTCGTATCCGAGTTGTTTCCGGCGCAATTTCTCTCCCTGACGCAGCATCTCTTCCAGCTCATCTCGACTCTCTCTGTCCTTAGACATCCCGCTCTTGATCATACTCTTGGCCCACTCTGAGGTGTTTTTGTGCTTGAGCGACATTCGTTCCGCCGCCCTCTTGTAGTCTGCGTCCTCATCTTCGGCGTCGGAGCCTTCAACGAGCTCCTTGTTGCGCTGCTTTTCTTTTCTTAGTTTTTGTCGATATGTTTTCGATTTGATTTTTTTCAGCCGTTTCGCATCTTTTTGGCCTCGATACATCAGCTCTCTCATCAGCCGGAGCTCTCTTGTCCTATTGGCCATCTCCTCTTTCGAAAGCTTAGCAGTCTCGATGTTCTCAAACAAATCCTCCGCTTTCTTGCTCTCGATATTGGACTGCTCCAGCAAGCCGTCAAGCTTCTTATCTAGGCTCGTCAGAGGAACCTCAGCAGGCTGGAACGAAGACGTTTGGTTGTGCTGGACGCCGTCTTTGGCCGGGAACTTAAGCACTTCTGCTCGTCTGTTGGCTTGAATGCTGTCTGTCCATTTGTCGACCTCCGCTTTTTGAATTTCGTAAGCTGCGCGTCTCTCGTGTCTTTTTTGTATGCTCTGCGGAAGAGGAACTGCTAATGGCTCGGGAGCAGATTTTTCATTCAAAAGCAGTGGCTTTTCGGTTTCTATGTCGCCCATCATCTCCGCGAGACTGAGTTTCTGGCCAGATGCAGGCACCCGAAATGCGTTTTCTTCTGTCTTGTCGTTGATGAGTGTTTTGCGGGCCTTGGAACTCTCCTTGGACCGAAGCTGGCTCATCACAGTCGATAACTCGTGCTCTTCGTCCTCCAGATCGCCAAAAACGTCTTCCTCCTCACTCTCGTCGCTCTCATCACTGCTGCTTTCGTCAGAAATCTGATTATCATCTAAAACAAGCTCTTTTCCCGAGGCTCGTTGCAGCTCTTCGTCGTCTCGAGCCCAGACTTCCGATAGCGGAATCAACTCGCTCTCGTCTATACTGTCATACCCCGTTTCAGCCTCGCCTTTATCCCAAACTGTTTGCGAGAACTTGGAGCTCAAAACATCGTACTCGTCGTCCGAGTCCAAGGCCTCATCAGAGTCTAGCTCTTCATCCTCAAAATCCTTCCCGTCAACCGTCAAAACCCCTGACTTGAACTTCTGGTTATCTCCCTCAGACTCGCTTCCAGTATCCGAGAAGCTATTCTGCTCTGCTTCGGCAATTTCCAGTGCATCGAGCGCTCTATTCTTTACTCTGCCGCCCTTGTTCGCCATGCTAGTGAGCTCTAAATTTTTTTATGATTTTTTTTTTTTTTGAAATATTTTGTTTTCTGGCGGTGTAGTTGTCAAACTGGTCCCTAAATACAGATTTTATATCTTTTAAAATATGTCTCATCTCAGCACCAACCTGGTCCACGGCGACGATAACACTTTTAGAAGAGTCTCGGACGTTATTCAGCCAATCAATGTTACAACCACATTCAGCTACAACGAAGATCCAGAGAAACTTGTTAAGGCGAAGGATATTGAAGAGGGCGTTATTACCACCAGGGACCCTGTGTACTCTAGACTTTCCCACCCGAATTCTTCGAAGTCAGAGACGGTCTTAGAGCAGTTGCTAGATGGCCACGTTGTGGTGTACAACTCTGGCCTGTCAGCGTTCTTCGCAGCGCTCACATACTACCATCCGAAGGTGCTCGCAATTGGGAACGGTTACCATGGCTGTCACGGAATAGCCAATATTTTTACCAGAATATCCGGTCTGAAACAGGTCAGCCTGGACCAGTACGACCAACTGGGACCTGGTGATGTTCTCCATCTAGAAACCCCAGAGAACCCCTTCGGTACCGCCCATGATTTGAGCTTCTTCGTGGCCGAAGCCCACAAGAGGGGCGCGCACGTGATCTGCGATGCCACATTTGCTCCTCCTCCTCTGCAGACGCCGTTCGAGTTCGGCGTCGATTTGGTGATGCACTCTGCAACCAAGTACTTTGGAGGCCATTCGGACCTGCTCGCCGGCTGTCTTGCCACGAAAGACATCAAGGTGAAGAACCAGCTGGTTTCGGACCGAACCTTCCTGGGAACCACCATTGCGAATCTCGACAGCTATCTGCTGCTGAGATCGCTCAGAACGTACGAGATGAGGATCCTGAGACAGAGCAGCAGCGCAGAGAAAATTGTGGCCTACTTTGCAACCAACAAGGACAAATATCCGGCCCTGGACAGGATTTACCACTCCTCTTTGCAAAAGGAGGAATTCGTCAAGCAGCAACTCCGTGGTCACAGTCCTGTCTTTGCAATTGAGCTGAAAACCTCTGAACTGGCCAAGAGACTGCCTTCTAGACTAAAGTACTTCCACCATGCCACCTCTTTGGGCGGTGTAGAGTCGATGATCGAATGGCGTGCAATGACTGACCCAGGGGTTCAAGAGACGCTGCTCAGAATCAGTATTGGTGTCGAACACCCTGACGATTTAATTGCCGATCTCGACCAGGCCCTATCGAGCTTGAGCTGAACGATGGCCTCTTACATAATCTCACACTTTTATTTTCCAAAAAGTAAACACTCTATATGTCTGATACGTCGACCCCAGAGCCGCAGGCGACGTCGACTGCCAATACCACGCCTGTAAAAAGCCACCAGAACCGTGAAGTGGCCAAGCAAGCCGCTGAAAAGCTGCTCACTGCCTTTGCAGAGGTGAAAACAGCCGATGCCTCCGATGAAGAGCCTGGCAACGCTCGCGTTATACTAGACGAGACTCCGGTCAAGAAAGAGACCAGGGGCCGCAAGCCGAAAGATTGGGTGCCACCGCCGGGATACGTTGCAAAGAAAAAGAGCTCGAACCCGCCATCCAAGACGGTAATAGATGAGACTCTCTATCGCACCCTTGAACAAGAGTACTACCAGCAATCGACACCTCTCGCTTCAAATCCCTGGCATCAGAGGCCGGGGGTCAAGAGCACGCATCAGGGGGAGACGAGAGTATTGCACTTCCACGCATTGAACCAGTCCTACGCTCGAAAGTTTCAGCTAGGACGGGATATGATGGAGCCGAATATTTTCCACGTGAATGATGAGCTCGTGCAAGAGTATCCGTTTGAACCACTGAAAGCGATCCCTGATGGCATTGGAGATATTATCGAGGAGGAATTGACATATGAGGCCGTCTGCTCGCGTGTGAATTTGACAGCGCCCGTCAAGTTTGGGTTTGATGATGACGTACGCAAACTGCTCAGGGCCGAAGGCTATGCGCAGTATCCGACTAACAGCGTGTTGAGACAGGGGTTTGTGGTCAATACGGGCGGTGTTCCCTTGGTGAGCTCGTTTCTGAATAAACCCATTGATGGTAAACACTATCTATTTGTTTCCGTGATAGACCACGCCGGAACGGACACCTCGGTCCGCAAAGAGTTGTCCATTTGCCAGCCGGAGAGCTACGATGCGGCACTACAGGTCTACGAGGTGGATCTAGATAAGGGAGCAGTGATCCATGCTAAGACTATGATTATACCCTTTGGAGCTATCACCTCGATGAAATGGCTTCTCAGCTCAAACGCGGAAGAAAGCCTGCTGGCCTGTGTTTGCAAAGACGGGGTTGTCAGAGTGATGAGGGTTGATAAGCACTTCGTCGAGTCTGGTCGGTATTCATGTCTCGTTGCTCCGTCAGTGCTTATCAATGTTCCTGAGTTTGAGATCTTCTCCTGCGACTGGACATCCAATACCACACTCCTTCTGGGACTGCGCGACGGCTATCTTGCCGAAGTGGATGTTACGCAGCCCGATAAACCGCTATTTGTGTTTGGCCTTGACGTCGAACACATTGTCTCTGTGACGTCGACGTACTCTGACTCGCTTTTTGGCGCGCCTACCCGCATAGTGGTGATATCGTCTACGGATTTCTACTATTACCTGATTGATCTGGACAACATGAGGGTGATAGCAGAGTCTCAAAAGACCAAGGTCCCGTGCACCCAGATCCAGTACTCTGCTCTGGTTGACGGGTTCGTGATTGCGGATGCCACAAAGACGCCGAAGTTTGTGAGCAAAAAAGACGTCCAGAGCTACGTTACACTGAACTTGTGGGACGATAACCAGGTGTTCTCCGTAGGAGCCTCTGATTTTGCTCCGTTTTTTGTGGCAGGCTACGTTAATGGTTCGGTAAGATTATACAACCCAATCAGAAGAATACACAGCACTGCCAAGCTGAAGGTGGCTCCCGCATCTTTGCGTCTGATGAAGATGGACGTTAGCAAAGACGAGTTTCGCTTGGATCTCAAATATGTGGCAACGTCGGACTCGAAAGACGTCGAAAGCCACTCCGTCTATGACAATAGAATTAATGTGACAAGCTGTGCACTCGCAAACACGCCATCCTGTTCCGGTTTGATGGCATGTTCGTTTGCTAATGGACTGGTGGCTGTGGAACGAATTCTGAGCGCAAAATCAGTTTAGTATACAGGGAAATTGGGGTCTATTTGTTTGGACCACTGCGTCAGTCCGCCTATGACATCCACACAGTTCTCGTACCCAATGCTCTTCAAATGTTTCACTGCAAGCTGCGAGTCATTTCCAAATCGACAAATAACGTGTATCATAGTTTCTTTCGGCACGTCCAGAGTGCTCATGCGTTTCAGTGCGTTGAGTGGTATATTGATCGAGTTGGGCAGGTGGACAATGGAGTACTGCTCCTTGGGTCGCACATCAATCAGGTAGGGCGCTTTCTGCGCAGAGAGCTGCTCCACAGAGACTCTTTCGTCCTTTCCCAGAACATTATAGTCCATCTTACCGCACCACACCGCATAGTCGAGCTCTGTCTCCACCACATGCCTTGTTATGTCTCGCGTTTCGGGATTGCACACTCGGCATCTGGGCGACCGTCTGCGCATTTTGAACGTCCGTAAGCTTTGTAACGGACCGTAACCGCTGTACAAAGACAAAAAGGGTTGAAACTCCACATCCTCCCTCAAATAGTAGCCACTAACCACCTTGATAGCTTCCAGGGCCATCATCACCCCCATAATCCCGATAATCGGGCCAAGGACCCCACCGTCGCTGCAAGCAGTCACAGAGCTGGGAGGTGGCGGCGTTGGATAGAAACAACGATAGCAGGGGCCGGTGTTGTTGAAGTTCAGAATGGACAGCTGGCCCTCGGTTTTGAGTCCAGATCCAGAAATAATCGTCAATCCAAGGAGCACAGCAGTATCATTGATCAAGTACCGGGTGGCAGGAGTGTCCGTGCAGTCTAAGACGATATCATATTGCTCAAATATTCCAAAGCTGTTATCCTGACTGAGAGCCACCGGATGAGTGTTGATCTGCACCAACGGATTGAGTTTGGCCAGTTGGAGCTTTGCTGACTCGCATTTCAGCATCCCCACAGTTTCTGTTGTGTGCAAGGTTTGCCTGTGAAGGTTTGACATGTCGACTGTGTCGTGATCCACGATTCCCACCGTGCCAAAACCAGCTCCGACAAGATACTGCAAAGCTGGGCACCCTAAACCCCCGGCTCCAACAACCAGTACACGAGACTCTTTCAACGAGATCTGGCCCTGCAGGCCAAACTCAGGCACTATGAGCTGCCGCCCGTAGCGGAGGTATTCATTCAAGGACAAAGACATGATTATTAGTGAAATATTTTTTATATGCTGCACAGCCTTATAACTAGACAACTTTTTGCTTGACGAAGAAGCTCTTGAGGTACGTCAGTTGCCAAGCGCAAGTGGCGATCAGAACAATGACCTGGATGACGGTCCACTTCACAGTACGATAGTTCACGGACTCGGATATGTCTCTGAACACAGCTTCTCTTTCTCTGAACAGGCTTTGCTCTCTGCGGATCTCCTGGAGCTTCTTGACCAGTTCATTGGTTTTCTGGGTCAAGTAGTTGATATCACCCGTTCTCTTCGAGTCGACGAGTGGCTTTGCGTCTCCAATCACGAGATCAAAGTAGACTCTGTGTTTGGCACGTTTCGACCAGTCAGAGTGTCTTGGTGTGAGGCAGAATTTGTGTTCACCTGAGTCGTAAGATGTGAACGTAAACTGGCCGGTCGGAGCGTTCTTCTGGGACACAACACGGTGGTTGTTGTCAAACGTCTCGTCCACTGTGATCTCCATTTTGAGGTTATTCACAGGAACGTAATCGTCGTCTTTAGGACTCCATTCATAAGCTTCGTACTTGCCCACTGCGATCGTATCTTTCGGCAATTCTTCAAAAAAACACTTTGTTTCATCGGTTTCCATGTAGAAGTGGAGAGCGTGGGCCGCGTTGGCGGCCAACAGCACTGGAACCAGGAATCCAAATTTCATGACAACGCGTAAAAATAGTATAAAATTGGAAGAAAAAACACCCACAACAAAAAAATCGTGGAAAATAATTAATTTGGTCTACTATCTATTTACGACGCTTGATTTTCTGAACCAGGTCTCCCAACTTCTCGTTCTTTTCTCGAGGCTCCTTAGCCTTGCGCTTCTTCATCAGCTTCTCCATGGTAGCAGTGCGCTTGAACTCAGAGTGCGTTGGATCAATGGCAAAGGCATGGTCCTCGAAGATCTCGTTGAAACGGTCGTCGTTGTCATCAATGTCAACTGAATTGGCAGTCTCCTCCGATTGCTTGGCGCTGCTCTTGTTCTTTTTGTCCTTGCGCTTCTTCTTCTCCTCCTTCAACATTTGCTTCATGTCGAAATGTTCATGTTCAGGTCCCTTGTCCTCATCCATCATTAGCAGTTCCAATTCGGCCTTTTTCTTTTCGTCCAAGTCTTGTTTCTGAGCTTTGCCAGCCTTCTTGCGTTCCTTCTTTTCCTCTTCCGCTGCCTTCTTCAGTTCCTTCAACTTTTCCTTGCGTTTCTTCCGTCTCTCTTTCTCTTTTCTCTTAATTTTGTCTATCGTTGTTTCCTCGTTCTCTTTCTCTTCCTCCTGTCCCGCTAGGCCTGGGGTGAAAGTTATCTCCATGTCAACATCGTTCTCATCCTTCTTCTCTAACACCTCGGAAACGAGGCTTTTGTACTTGCTGACAGCCTCCTTGTCACTCTCCTCAGAGTCAGAGGCCAGATAAGCTTTGAAGTCCATGTCATCAATCTCCTTCTGCGAGAATGCTCTGGAAGCCATTGCAAGACGTTCCGCAGGAGTCTCGTCCCATGTGAGTTTCACCTTGGAGTGCTGCAACGCATCGGTGGTAAATGAGTTAGGCTTGTAATTGGACGGAACCTTCGTGCACTCGTCTCTGGGAGCATCATCAAATGTCATATCTTCAGGAACATAACGAAGATCAAAGTGATTGGCAGTCGACTCGTATTCAGTTCCATCACAATTTTCATAGATAGCACGCGATGTTTGCACACTGTCACACCTCACGATAGCATAGTAGTATCTGAGTCGCTGAAGTTGGTATAGTCGTAAAGCCTTAGAGTTGTAATCGATCCCGTCGTCTTCCGTGTAAAGCTTTTTAGCTGCTTTGGCCAGGTCTAGGTCCTCCTCGTCGTCCGAATCGCTTTCCACCTTCTTCGACTTGAATAATTCCTTTGGAGGGCCTTCTATCTGTTCCTGCTGCATGCGCTGTTTTCCATACTCAGAGGGATATATGCTCACAGAAAGAATTTTTCCTCCTTTGGGGACAAATCCCATAAAGGTAGCAAAAAGGTCTGCGGAATTTATGTGATCCCAATCAAGGTTCACGACCGCAAACGTACTCGTTGGCTCTCCTTCTGGAGGTTCATCTTCAAGTTGAATCTCTTCGCTATCTCCTTCGCTGACAAGCTCGCTACCGTCCTCGCTGTCGCTCTCGTCAGAGGATGATTCTTCAGACACAAGTCCTCTTGCTCTGTCTAGAATGTGGGATGCAGACTCACTTAGCTCGCTCTCACTATTGCTCTCGCTTTCACTCTCTTCTTCTTCACTTTGTTCGCCCTCCCTCTTGTAGAATTTATCAAAATCGTCCTTTTTGTCCTCCTTTATCTTACGTCCGTACTTGTCTAGCTTCCTTTTCTTTCCCAGCTTCAACTCCTCCTTTGTAAAACGTTCGTCCACAGCAACCTTCAGGTCTTTGCGTTTCGGGAGTCTGAACTTCGGGTCACTGTACACTTTCGCAAACCGAGGGTCCTGAGTGACAACCTCCTTTTTCTTGTCTTTAGCCATGGATCTGGAAACTATTTTTTTAAATTTTTTTATCCTGCTTTATTATTTCTGTCATATTTTCGTCCTATAGTTTTTTTTACCTGCAGATATCTTTTGCCATGGGCCAATCTTCAAGCACGGAGTCCCAGGAAACAGCCACATTCACCAATGGCAAGCTTTCGCGGGGTGAATTGGAGAGTGCGTTTATTAGGGAAGTAACACGGTCCTTTCAACCAATTGAACTGATGTCGCTTCGAGATAATCTGGGTCTTCAAGAGTTGCAAGGAACAACTGTCGTTACGATGAGACAAATAACCAATATCATCGAGCTTCCGGAGACACCGGCAACACAGGATATGACAAATTGCATTAGTTTCTTAGCCCGATTTCCGAACTATCGTACCGGCCCCGATCTCAATGTTGCAGGGGTGCTCAAAGTATTGGCGATCCTGAACCCGGAAAAGTTTGCTCAGCTATTCGGTAATAACACCCGCTACTTTCTCATGCTGATTTTTCTGGCATTGAGCTTTGATTCAAGGAACGAGTCAGATCCCGATAAGTCGGAGAAAATACTTTGTTCAGATGACCTGGTGGATGTTGTTTACTTGCAAGATAAGCTTCAATGGATGCTTATTCCTCAAGTACAATCATTTGACGGTATTGAATTCTCTCAGTATCCTTTACCGGCATCAAAGCTTCTCAGGGTCTTGACACTGCTACTTTACATAGCACCCATCAGTCTGGAGGCTAAACACTCGCAACCTTTAGGAGCGCTTTTCCAGTTCGACGATCTAAGTTGGCTAGAGTACGAAAAGAAGGCAATGAACCTACTGCGTTCGTTTGACTTGGATCTGACGAGCTCAAACTACACATCTAAAAAAATTATATTCTCCACGTTCGAGAAAATCATTGGTACTTCGTACTCCAACGGAACTATGCCGAATTTGCTTGTGCCACTACACCATTTGCTGGATTCACTGCTTTATAGTACAAGAACGACTCTCCACGACATTGAATTTGCAGATTCTCGTATTCTGACACGTCCGATGCTTTCACAGCTGGCTACCATACTGCCCGACGAGCTTGTTTTCACGAGGCTCAAAAAACTATTCGTGGGAGCAGAATCTGGATTTAGCATGCGTTCCATGGAATCGAAAGTCTTTAAGTGGAACGCACCCACCATACTCTTAGTTTCTGGTAAACTAATCGAGATGCAACCGTCATCGGGGCCTGTCCCAAAAAACAAAAAATATGCCGCTTTTCTTACCGAATATCCTCGCTTTCACGCATCGAACAACAACTCGCCTCAACCGCCTTCAGCCGATGATGACTCGTATACATTCATGGTTTACCTACAAAAGCCATGGAAAATAAGCAACAGTGAATGTTTCGGAGACGAACACTCCTTCATCGCACAATTATCTCCCAGACAGATCATATACCCGTCTTCTGCTTATGCACATAATTACGCCTACTTCAACACACTTGGAGGAGGGCTTGGCTTTGGTAGCAAGCCCCCACTCATCAAAAACAATGTCCGGATTTTCAAGCCAGGAGAAGTGTCGCTCACAATTGAGGCTGCCATGGAAATTGCCTGCTTCCGTCACCTGGCTGTGCCAGGAACATACAAAACCGGCTCAATATTTCCGCACAACGTGCCAGAGTTCGAAATCAGCATCAACATCACCAACCTCGAAGTTTGGGGCTGTGGATCTCAGAAAGAGCTCGAGGAACAGAAAAAGTTATGGGAATGGGAGAACCGGGAGGCAGAAGCAAGGAAGAAGCTCAATGCTATGCATTGGGATGATGGGAGGGCGTTGCTTGAGATGGCAGGTATGATAGGCAAAGATCAAAGCGGTGGTAGCGTGTGAGTGCAGAAATATATCTTCTATGAACTACTTATGACCTTTTTTAGTGAGCTTCTTTTTAACATGCTTTTTCATTTTGGTTTTGCGTTTTTCTCTAGCAGCTTCTTTAGCAGCTTTCTTTCTTTCCTTTTTGGCTTCCTTGTCTTCGTACTTCTTTCCTTTTGGCGTTCCTTCTTCGTCTTCGCTTTCCTCCTGCTCACCTTCTTCGTCTTCACTCTGCTCGGTTTGCTCATCATCGTCATCATCTTCCTCTTCTGAAGAGTCCTTTACTAAATCTCTCAAGGTGTCCACCTGACCGCTCTTGAACTTATCGAAATCGCGCTCTTCCAAATGGTTCAGCGAGGTCACCAAATGCAAAGATCTGAAAATAATGTCTTCCTGATCGTCTTCAGTCTTGTGAGGTAATGTGGCCAGGTATTTTTCGAGCAAGTCCAAGTTCTCAGGGTCATCCAATGCCAATCGCCGCTCGTTCTTTTCAGGGATCAGCTCAGTCATCAGGTTTGACCACGAGTCAATCACAAACCTGAATATCATCCTTTCAGGGAAAACATTGATGTTTTTCGTCCTGGAGAAAAAATCATTTACGTTTTTGATATCCATTCGCAAGAAATCCATCGACATTTGATGATCTGGCTCCACAGACTGTGAAACATCAAATATGTACACTTCGCCCTTATGCACAATAGTATTGTACTCACTCAAGTCTGCGTGCACCAGCCGACATTTCTGATAAAGCCATCTCATGTAAATGAGTAGTCGAATGTAAAAACGGGCTACTTCTTCATCATCTTGAAATTCGTAGTCTTTCAGTTTTGGAGATGGCCACCCATCTCCTTTGCTAAAATACTCCATCACCAAAACATGCGATTTGAGGTCCACCGGTTCTGGAGAAGGAATTCCAGCAGCGTGCAACCGTTTTAAATTTCTGAACTCTTTTTCAGCCCACAAGCGAACCATTTTCCGAGGATTCGATTGGTTGCGAGTATTTCTAAACCGGAACTCACCGTCCACATACCTCTCACGGTCCTTAAACACTAAAATGGAAGTTTTGTAAATCTTGACAGCATATTCTTTTCCTGTTTCTGAATTCAATGCGTAATATACATTGGCTTCTTTGCCTGTTGATATGCATCCATTGATTTCTGTGATTGTTCCGTTTTTAAATAGCTTGGATAAGAACCTCAGCGTTCGAGGGTCGAGAACTTGCTCTACAGTAGCCCTCTCCGCTTTATCTCTGGTGATTCTGTGTTTGATCTGATCCACCTTAATATGAGACGCATATTTGTCCAGAAGTTCGGTTTTTTCTTTCAAGGCTTGGTTTGAAGCACTTTTAGACGAATTTGACCCAATAACGGCTTCATCAGAGCTGTAGTCAGAATCTGACAAACTCAAGTCGTCTAAATTCAGTTCATTCATATTGTCAAATATTTAAATTTTTTTTTTTTTTTCCAATCTATGCACGAACTTGTACTGACAGTTTTGATTTAAATTCATCTAATTCAGAAATCAACTCTTTATAGATGGTGCTTATAAAAAGCTTACCGCAGGTATGTCGCATGGCAGATCAGTTGTCCGGGACTAACATGATAGAAATTTGTCGGATATCCACTTTACATAGGCGTGGAGCTGGTGCTGCTCTACGCCGTGATAAATAAGATGTGTGGCGTGTACGGTCTGCTTTCATTCCTGACAGGACATCCCATCGATGCCGTGCAATGGGTGTACTATCTCTCATCAACAGCAGTTATGGTCCTATATATTCAGGGATTCCGGAGAGTACAAACACCAAATATAAACTGGTTTTCGCTTGTTGTTTTTGTTTATCTACTCGACACGGTGATCGGTTTCTTGTACACCGGTTATTTTTCCTGGTTGTGGTTTTCCGAGCACGATAACTATGTGCAGCTGACTGCCCGTGCTGTCACCGAGGACCTTTCATCCCAATCTGCATCTGGGGCCTACGAACTATTTGTCACCGTTGCTCTAACAGTCATTACCAGTTTGGTGCGACTATATTTCACGGCGATTATGTTAGCATTTTTCAAAGAGATGCGTACAGCAGCTAAATTCGATGCAAGATTCCGCATCTCGAGCGCCTCTGCATCCTCAAGCGCTGTGAGATGGCTAAACAAAGCTCAACATCAATCCTACAGCCTTCTGAATAGGATCGTTTGATCATAGTCGATGACGTTTTCTGGCTACTATTGTTTCTCTGCATATACATTAAATATTACGACCAGCGGAAAGTAAAGTCCGACTGTCATGATACTGCTAAATTGCCCTGTACTCTCCTGGCTTTAGCCACAGACAGTTCACACGTCAGCAAGCCCGTTGATTAACCTAGGGTATTCTTCGCTTTCAGAATTTCAAGACAATTTCGATCCGGTAAAAAAGTTGCCGAAAAAGGTTTTTGTTGAAAAGGAAGTATCCAGTGCAGCCTCACCAACAGTGCGATATTGGTGAAATAGATCGCTTGAAGTCATCATATGTGCCAAAAGTAGCCGTCATGTCGTCAGAAGAGCCGGTGACAGTGGCCAAACATGATGAAACAAAAGAAAACAAGGATAAAGAAACGAAAAATCCTAACACTTCGTTCATCCACAAATTGTATGCAATGTTGGAAGACCACAACCTTGATCACCTTATATGGTGGCATTCGAACCAGACGTCCTTTTATGTGCTTCCTTCAGAAGAGTTCACAAAAGTATTGAGCAATTATTTCAAACACGCAAACATTGCTTCGTTCATACGGCAGCTGAACATGTACGGTTTTCATAAAGTGAACGACAACTTCAACAACGAGACGCTAACAACGACACCACCTCCATCAGATCAGACGGGCTCCAGAAAAGGATCTAACTCGTCGAACAACGCATCATATGTGTGGGAATTCAAACACTCATCTGGCTGGTTCAGACAAGGAAACATCGAGGGTCTAACACAGATCAAGCGACGCTCATTTAAGAATGTCAGCTCGCAGAAGGAAGTCCACAGTTTGAAACTTCCCCAGACAGAGGGAATGAAAGACGCCCAGAATTACGTGCCCTACAGGTACCGTCCAAGTAGTCCGGGAGATCTCTACGATACCACATTGCAAGAGGAAACGGACATGAAAGCTAGACTCACTAATTCATATGTGCAACAGCAGATGAACACGACTATGCCACCCAAGGAACTAAACTATCTAGAACTCGCAGGCCAGTATCACGATTTGCTTAGAGCATACGAAGCTCTGACATATCGCTATAAAATTGTGAAAGAAGACCTTACAAAAACGAATTATGATTGTGTCTCGCTTCTGGATGTTCTTAAGGATGTGGTCGGATTGATACCCAAAGAGTCAACTAACGAAATGATGACTACAAAATTGCTTTCGGAGTTGGAAAAATTCAAAACCAACGTTCTTCAACGTTGCGCTGCGCGAGACATGGCTTTCAAACAAGTAACAAATGGCCTCGGACACTATGGAGAGGGTGGGTCAATCTTCTCGGACAGCCATGGATCTCTTGCTGTTCCGGTACACACCCCTCATACGTCTCTGTCTCAAATACCCCAGCCGCCACCTCGCAACTCATCCGCCGCGTCGTCGTTACATCCTTATGACCAAAGCCAACTGCCGTACAAAGACATCAGATACAGTGGATCCTCCAACAGGCCCAGAAACCTATCTGTATTTGATCCATTGCAACCTGCAACGCCTTCAATGATCAACACAGGTCCGCCTCCACCTCCACAGGGTGAACAATCGCCAGCAATTTTGAGCCAATTGCATGAGAGCGATACGTCACACCAGTCAGCTCAGCAACCAGAGCGTCGCAATTCTTCAGCAGTTATGCCATTCTCGGGTTCTCCGGGCCCTGTGCGGCGATCTTCTCCCGGAGCAGGACAACCGCCTCCACCCCTGATAATGCAAACGCTGTCGGGAGTTCCTGGAGAAAATGCTAACACCAGATCGTCCTCTGCCAATTCACTCTCCTATCTTCAAAACATTACTCCAGCCCCTTCAGGCTCGCCAACAAGCAACCTGAAACGAGCAGGGTCGATGCCATCACAGTCGGCGGCAGAGGAAAAACGATCAAGTCAGGCTTATTCATTGAACAATCCGCCCAGCTCGGTACCTTCGCAAATGAACCAACGGGCGATCCATGAACATCAGCAACAACAGATAGCACAGCAGAGCAGAACAAACTCGTCGAGTTCAGCGAGCGCCACATCTGTCCCTGCTCTCCAGAACACGTCATCAACGACCGTATATTCTCTCTTGAATCCTCCAAAAGGTCGCACGGAAGAGCGCAAAAGAGAATCTGAAGCACCGGAAGAAAGCGCCAAGAGGATCCGCGGCCAATAGCTTTTAAATACGGTGATTCTTAATTGAGCCTATCTATCATTGAGTCGTTAGACTGTAAAAGTGGATTGTTTCTCGCTTGAGTCAACTTTTGCGCATATTCGTCTCCGTAGAGGCACTCGATAGTGTCTATCAGTAAACTATACTCTCCAAATTTCTTATCAGCAATGGAGAGCCCAACGCTTCTCACACGATCTTTCTCAAACTCCTCATCGTACTGGATCTGTATTTTGCCCTTGTTTGTGAGTACAAAATCACTGAATGAGATGAACACATCTTGCCATTGACTATTATTCTCAAGAAAGACCCTGTGCTGAAATAGATCTGTTCTCGAGGAAGTGTCCGTTTGAAAGTTGATCATGAACTTCCGTGCAGGAGTTTGGTTTTTCACGCGCAAATGAACCGCGTAGAACGTAGACAAGTCCCACCAGAAGTTTGCAAATCGCTTGCTCAAATAAAACGGCCTGAAGGAATGTTTCTTCTGGCGATCTTTGGTCTTGAACATAGCCCATCCAGAATCTTTCACCTTGGGATCAGCGGGAAGGTTGAGGTTTAAATTTCCATGGAATCGTGCGCACAGATTCCCGGTGTCTTTGTCTCTATAAGGATCAAAGTGAACGGTAGAGAATCCTCCGAGCGATTCGTCAGAAGTGGCCATTATTCTGCTAAACGTCTTTGGATCCTTGAAATCCAGAAGGACAAGCCTTAGCTGTTGGCTTGGGGAAACGTAGTTCTTGAACGCTTGCAACATAAATTACCAAACACTGCCTACTCCTCAATTTACCCCATTCTAGCACAGCCCTATTTCGAAATCAAGAAGGAAAATAAGACCCTAAAATTTCGTAATAATAAACAAGGCAGATGAATCACCAAAAGATTGCTGCCAGACATAAAAAGGTATTGCGTGCACAAAAGCCGTTGAAGTACAAGCAGAAGAATCTTGAGTTACTTCTGTATCTGAACTATCTTCGTTTCATGAACGCACTGGTCAAAAAGGCTAACGAAATATCTGAGCAAGACGCGAGTTCCGAGATATTGCACAAACATCTTGAAGATGCAAAATTGGAGATGCTACAACGGTTCAAAGGCTAGCGAATCATTACTATACATCATTCATAAAAGAAGTTGTTGAGGTGAGGCTGTTTGAGCACCTCGATGTTATCGATAGCAGCGTCCGGACTTTCTTTGAACTGCACGAATAAGCCCTGCAATTGCGCCGTGCTGATGTAAGGCAGCTTGAGGTCATTGAATCTTTTCATGAAAACGTCCGCTTTCTCATCTTCTCCAGGATAGAACCGCAGGAACATTTGCTGGATCTGATAGTTTGAGGCGTTGTCGATCAACACCTTGTAATCAATTCTTCCTGGTCTCAGAAGAGCAGGGTCCAGTTTCTGCGGGTGGTTGGTAGTCATGAAAGTGAGAATTTCGTCAGCAGAAGCGACACCATCTAGAGCATTCAATAAGCCGCTGAATGTCACCCCGGCAACGTATCCCTGTTCTCTATTCTGCTCACGTTTATTAAAAGCAGCGTCAATATCCTCCAGCAATAATATGGTACGCTCTGGAATGTTGTTCATCAAATATGCCAGTCGATCATCAGTCAAATTGGGCTCGCTAATATTTAATATTGCAATATTATAGTCAAGCTCTCCGGCAAGAGCTTGTATGAAGCTGGTTTTTCCAGATCCTGGTGGTCCGTAAAGCAAATATCCTCTTCTATAGGGAATTCCTCTATCATGATACCACTTTCCAGACTGAAGAAATTCTTTCACATCTTTAATGATGGCCTCTTTAACACCATAATCAAGAACAACCGAGTCCATCACCCTCTTTTTGCGTGGTTGACCAAAAGGTCTCCAATCTTGTCCCCATGACTTGAACAGGACCGTCTTCCCCTCTGCCATTTTCATTGCCATTGTTCGTGCCTCATCCAGGATCGATGCCAGCAAATATTTGTCTTTATACAATGTCGTCAATGTGATAGTCTCTGTTGGTACACCGGAATTATGCAATCTCTCGGAACGCTCGCGCTTCACATAAAACCAGGCTCCGTCGTACTTTAGCCAATGATTTCCTGGGCCAGGAACAAAGGAGAAACCCGTAGAGATCGAGCCGTTGGGGTGCTGAACGTATTTCGTCTGAACACTTAAATGTCTAGAAGATCTGTGTTTGTAGTTGGACATCCAATGAAGAAACCAATCGTATGATTTATCTGTACTTCGCAACTCTAGATCCACAAGCATTCGCCGGTACGCTAAGCTGGCCAAGGAGCCCACAGACTTGCGAAGAAGAGCCAAGGAGCCTCCAAGTACCATGAGGCCTCCACCGGCCGTGAAGTATGGATTCCCAGATATGACCGAAGGCAAAATATCAATGCCCAGTAACTTACTCTCATCGATCGGAACCGTCGCCTCGGCCTTTCTTTCTGCCGGTAGGTTTGGTGACATATCTGCTAAACAATTTGTGCAGTGAAAAATCCACCAAAAATTCTTAGCAGAACTACACCCGAGACCTTAGTACGCTATCAGTTTAAGAAATCTCTAAGAAATCTATCTGTTTAAAATCACAATATTAACAGCAAACGGTATCCCGTCATAAGTGGTACGGACTTTGTATTTCTCGCCATCAGAACATATCTGAGTCAAAATGCCAGACTCAATACAGCCCCCAAATTACTCTGAAATAGTCAATTCCGAGAGAACGGCAGAGTTGAGCGAGCTGTATCCCTCTGTGCCACCTAGGAATGAGGACTACACGCGCAGTAAAGAGGAAGTTCTAGCTGTCGCAGGTGATGGATCTGAATCAGATGCAAGCGATGGAAGCAGTGCGCCGATGGACATGAACCCACCGTATTTCGAGGAGATTCCTCCGCCTCCAGCAGAAGAAACCTACAATTTCAAGGATGCCGAGCTCTTCAAAACAAGTGAGCGGATACTAGATGATTTGAGAAATGACCCGTTTTTCTTGCTCAGTGGATTTGATGTATCGGAGGAAATTGGAAAGGGAATTCTAGGTGAGGAAACAGTCGACTACGCAGAAAGATTACAAGGGTTCATCAAAAAATCAGCCAAAAAATACCAGGCATTCATCCCGGTATCCACGTTCCAGCAGCTCAACACAGCGAAGACTGAGGAATTGGATAATGGTTGGAAGTTGTGGACCGTCGATGGTATCATTGCTCCCTCGCCTCAACTGTCCATGCCCAAGCATCCGCTCTTCCACTTTAGAATCAAGATTAAGGGAAAAGGAAACGCCATGCATGTGAAACACAAGTTCTATCGTTTTGCCGATAACCAATTGTTGGAAAGGGACAAGAAAGATTTAATGCTGGACGTTGATGGAATCAAAAAACAGGCGTCAATTGCCTTGGACGCAGAGCAGGAGTATAACAATAGGGTCCTGGTGGACTCAATTCCGCAAGTTATAGACTCGGCAAATTATGTCTGTGAGACTACAGGAACAGTTCTCAGAGTCGAAGTTTATCCCTCAATATTCAACTACGATGACCTCAAGCATTTTGAGAAGGAAGAGATCGAACTCAGGGTTTCATATTTTCTTTCTCAACTGCCGGACAGCGGTATTGATAAATTTTCTGTTCCCTCAACAATTGACTGCTTGAACACATTATTCAAGGTTCTAAAAGGCCCTCTTACAAACTTAGACACAGACGATATCAAAACTCTCAAACCAAACAACTCCGTTGTTTTGAGACTGCATTTACAGTTGGAACTTCTGCCTTCAAAGCTATTTTTCAGAGAGATCAATGATGAGCTTCAGCCGCCTCGATTTTCGGATCTAGGTCAGTATATGAAAGTCGGGTACGACTATTACTTGAGGGCCATGACAGAAGTTCTCTACCTAGGATCCATATTTTCTCCAACGTCAGATTTTTTCAAGATCAAGACGACATTCCAGTCTGATATGAGTCAAGTGTTCAGGATTTTGAACGAGCCTGACCTGTCCAATCAGCTACAGTACTGGGACAAATTCCAGTATGCCACAGCCTTGACTACTCTTAGTATTTGTCCATACTATACGGACGACATGATCATAGATTGCTACTCGATTATGACTAATTTGAATCCTGACAACACGCCGGAGCTCTTTGATGCCTTGACGTATTGTGCTACATCAAGACAAGGAAATGATCTATCGATGTTTGTTGCCACACTTAGATCCAGGGGTGTGGTAGGTTTCACTGAGCTAAGAAGCTGCTTCCAAAAGTTTGGCTTTGACGTCACAAATCCTGAGGTTGTACGCACTTTGACTGACGACCAGCTCATATCTTCATACAAAAATAATGTCATTGTCAGCACTACGAAGTACGAACGTTCAACCTTTAGAGAGGCCCTAGAGAAGGTTGGCCAATACCGAGAAAGTTCGAAGATTCAAAACTTTTTGGAAACGGAGCCCATGTTTGATGTTTCCGAGGCATATGAAACGCTAGAAACAGATCCATCAGTGGATGATGATGTTCTAATCACTGCTTTTCAGCTTAAAGCAGAGGATTCTGTCTACTACTCTTCTTTGTACGCCAGAGCGCTAATGACCATTGCGCTGCACAGAAAGAGCCCTATGCTATTCAGCTACATCCATGCCAGCCTTCCACAATTTGTCCAATCGACTCCGTCGCTGGAGGAGGCATACGAAATGATAGGCTGCGATCAATATGCAGACGACTCCTCGGTGGTTAGAATCTTCCAGGAGAGAGTGGCCAAAGAGACGAATGTTGACTTCTATCGTCTTTGGGTTTGCTTGAAAGTGATTGGGGAGACAAAGAAATCAAAGTTGATAGAGGGATTCCTGAACTCGGGAGTTATGGATTCCAGGCTACTTTCCGTGGAGAAGACGCCAGCCGGCTTAAATAATATCGGAAACACCTGCTACCTCAACTCATTGCTCCAGTACTATTTTGTCATTGAACCTTTGAGAAGCCTGATTTTGCAATTCAACAAGACACTGAAGAAGCAGAAAGTTGAAAATGATGCAAACTACCTTGTCCGCAGAATCGGAGGAAGAACTGTTGGATACAAAGAGATTGAAAGATCCTACCAGTTCATGTATCAACTAAGAGACCTGTACCACAAAATGATTCATGAAAATGCAAGATGCGTCCAACCTACTAGGGAACTTGCGTATCTTGCATTTAGTCCTATAAGTGACGAGGTCGAGTTTGCAGAAGATACGGGTGAATCCGAAGATGTCGTAATGCGTGACGATGAGGACAATGAGGAGCAATCTGAACTTCAGGAGCATGGCGAGGTGAGTATGGAGTTGGTAGAAAAAGCGAAGCCAGTTGAGGGGGCGCCTGAGATCAAGCAATATGATCACTCCGGAATGGAATTGGGTGAGGAAATTCCTCCAGCACACAAAAAACCTCCCCTTCATAGTGCTGCTACGGCCAAAATCAGCGCAGATCAAATTGAAAATGCTCTTGAGATAGGAAGACAACAGGACGTGACAGAATGTATTGAGAATGTGCTGATTCAAATAGAAAGTGCGCTCGAGCCTGAAAACCTGGACTCAGACAATGAGCAGATTGATCTCGTGAAGCAGCTCTTCTATGGGAAGACAAAACAGATTTTGATGCCCGTTGACCCAGTGACTAAAGAGGAAATCAGCTCTGCTAGAGCGAGGACGAAAGAGGAGAGATTTCTGAATCTTATTGTCAACATTGGAGATCATCCAAGAGACATTTACGATGCGCTCGATACGTACTTCACTGAAGATTTGCTTCAACTGGACAATGAGGAGGTCAAAAGGTCTCTCACAATCACCGAGCTTCCGAAAATCCTGCAAATCCAGATACAGAGAGTCCAGTTTGACCGAGAAAGGCTTATGCCTGTGAAATCAATCGAGCCGCTTCCATTCAAAGAAAATCTCTACATGGACAGGTATATGGAGACTACTGACAGTGAACTCATCTCAAAGAGAAAGGAGGTCTTCATGTGGAAAAGACAAATTGCCGAACTTCAGGAACGCCGAAGAAAGCTTACCGAACCTAATGAACACGGTCTCGCTCTTCGGGATGCTCTTGATTCTACTAGTCAATTCCTTAAATCACAGATCCTCAATGATATTGGGGTTCTAGTTAATTCCGACATCCTGGAGGTTCTTGATGAGCAAATTTCGAAAATTGACGAGCAATTAAACTTCATTAAGAGCGAGGTGGAAAGACTACAGAATCTGATAACTAACCAGTTCAGCGATCTCACCAATATTGGGTACTCGGTGTTTGCGATTTTCATTCACAGAGGACAAGCTTCCTATGGGCATTACTGGATTTACATCAGAGATCCGAAGTCCAACCTGTACAGAAAATACAACGATGAAATTGTGAGTGAGGTGCCAATAGAGGAAGTGTTGAACTTTAGCGAGAACAACAGTGCAACTCCATATTATCTCGTGTTCGTGAAGAACGAATTTCTGGACGCCATCCAGCCTCTCAAAAGGGAGATCAAAGAGAATTACCAGCATGTTTTGGATCAATGACACTCGTTAAAGCTTGGTCAATGTCTTTGATGAGGTCTTCATAGTCTTCACAGCCAATGCTGATCCTCAGAAGGTTGCTGTTCGTTGATGGGCGGGCAAAGTTAAGGTTTTTGGATGCCAGCTCGACCACGGTTTCGCCTCCCTCGATGTTTGGGTTGTTACTCAAAAAGTTGAATTTTGTGAGAATGAGCTGCGCGAGTTCTTCGCTTTTAAACTCAATAGCCAGTACGGGGTTGTAGAATCCATTCAGCTGTTGTTTGACAAAGGGATCCAGCTGAAGAGAAGAGTGATGCAGTTTACTGATCACCCTGCTATACTTGCCCATGCTCTCCTTGAGATAGGTGACTATTTTTTCCGTGTTCTGGCATTGGGTTAGCATTCTCATTTTATACGTTCTTAGGGACCTCAGTAGCAGGAAAGAGTCAAAGTTGGCAATCGTCGTCCCGAGAGAGTGTCTCTCGCTGTGAAGGTTTGCTTTATCCGTCTTTTTCTTGCTCACCACAAACCCTGCGCCGAGATCGGAAACTCCAGCCAAGTATTTCACCGCCGAATACACAACGTAATCCGCACCGTACTTGAACGGGAACTGTAGGGGAGGTGGAGCAAGAGTGGAGTCAACGATGAGATATGACTCTTTTTCGTGCGCAAGTCTTGCGAACGTGGCGATATCTAATACGTATCCTTCAGGGTTCATGGGCGTCTCGATGAGGATGACGGATTTTGGTTGGAGTCGTTCTGTTTCTTCAAGCGTTAGCTTTTGGAGTCCTGTGAGCTTTGAAAGCAGTTTGATAACTCTGTGCGTCCCCTGGTATCCCGAATTATTGATGCAAATCATGGGCGGGTTAAGGTACGAGAGAATCCCCATGATAGCAGAAGTGCCCGAGTTATATATGGTAGCATACCCTTCTGTGATATTCTCGAGGATTTTTTCAACCTTTTCTGAGTTTGGGTGTGATCCTTTGGAGTACTTGAAGTTCTCGAGTACGTATGGTTTGCGCGAGAGCTGGTTCTGCAGTGGGTTTTGAATGGTTGGATAATATGGCAGCTTTTCTGGTTCTGGAGGAGGAACCGAAGAGGGTGACTGGAGATCAACAGTTTCGATGTGGTCTGCGTGAGGTGACACTTGTTCCAGCCCAGGTATGCTATTAATGAAGTTCGTTAAGTGGTCATCCGAGTGAATCAATCTGGTGTTGAAACCCACGAATTGGGTATTAAATATTTCCTCGTAGTTGAGGTCCAGAGAGGTACTGTCGCCGTACGTTTCAGGAGGCTGTGGCTGCCACTCGCGCAGCCGACGGCCATTGAATATGCGATTGCGTTTCTTGAATGCATGCAGCCAGCCTTTACTCAATTTGAAGCTTTTTGTAGGGTAGCCAAGCTGCTCCATATATTTCAGGAACAAATTAGTGATTTGCATATCCGTTATTGTTTCGTTTTCTGCGAAATAGCGGTCGATCTCTTCTTCGACAGCCTTTGTGACGTCCGGATACTTTAATCGTGGCTTGCGCTTGTATGTCTCCAGTGTGGGATTGCTGCTGAGCTGGGCCCTCAGAGCTGGTTCTTTCAGAACCCAACTAGAGAGAGTTGCCTGGGATATGCCAAACTGGCCGAGTTTCCGGAAATGTTCGATTGTTTCCCTTTGCGACCTGGACGGCGACCGGTGAAGATAATCCAGGACCTGGATTTTTTGCCTCAAGGTGGCCCGCGGCAACCTATCAGTCATGATAGCTGAACAGCGAAGATCTATTTATGCAGCCCAGAGTGGATATGAGCATAATTTTTTCATCAATTCAGCCGAGTCGTGCGTGTGCTTGGCGAGCAAAATTACATCTCTACCTTTTTTTCGAAAAGAGACAACAAAGCGTACTTCAGTTCGCAACAGCTATTTGTTTTGGCATTGGAAACCAGCCGTCGCATCCGAACCAGCATAAGCGCGTCACCCACAAAACAAAAATATGTCATCGGGACTTCAAAGACGTCGGGGAAAACAGTCATCCACAATTGAGGAAAGCTCAGCAGCTCTTGAAGACGCAGGAGAACATAAGATCGCCTACGACCCAAATGACATCTCGGAGTCGTCCAAGGGAAATCAGGTGCCTGTGTTGACCTTGATGGAGGAAGTTCTGCTCATTGGGCTCAAGGATAAGGAAGGATATCTCTCCTTTTGGAATGACAACATCTCCTATGCTTTGCGGGGCTTAATAATCCTGGAGCTGGCCTTCCGAGGAAAGATTAGAATTGTGAACGATCCGGCAAGAAAGAGGTACGAGTTCCCAGACCGTCTGATCGAGTGCTGCGATGGTTCGATGACCGGAGAAACGCTTCTGGACGAAGCACTCAAACTGATCAAGAACGATTCCCAGCATATGAGCGTTTCAAACTGGATCGACCTGTTGTCTGGAGAAACATGGAACTTGATGAAGATCAACTACCAGCTCAAACAAGTGAGAGAGAGGCTGGCTAAAGGCCTGGTGGACAAAGGCGTTCTCAAGACCGAGAGAAAGAATTTCCTTCTGTTCGATATGGCCACGCATCCTATCCAGGACTTTACGCCAAAGAGAAACATCAAATCCCGAATTCTCGCTATGCTTACAAACAGAAACTTTATCATAGAATACGACGAGAAATACTTCCCACAAACCGTCAAATACAAATATCTCCGGACAGTTTGTCTGGTAGCGGGCTGTTTTGCCGCCAATGTTCTGGAGAATATCCTAATGGACCTCAATTTCGAAAGCCGCGATAATGCCTTTATCCGGGCGGACGAGATACTGAGCCAGTTCAGCGAGTACCCGTTTGTCAATAAACCGTCCTCAATTGGCGTGGGCATGAACCTTTTCTCTGAGATAGAGAGGGAGATCGAAGCCGACAAACCAGGAGACCTTGTTTTGGAAGTTGTGGCTGCCGTGGTCAGCGTCTTCAGCAAGATGGACTCCATAATCTAATGTGTTGATGGAATATGTAATAGATTAGGTAGCCAAATTTTTTCGTCGACTAAAAGATAAACTATCGATGGAGTACTTAGTGATCGTTTACGATAAACCGGGAACTGTAAGTGGATCGAGACTGCTATGACTAACGCCAGAGCCGTGCAGGCGTTAGAGAAGACCACTTGAAGGGAATCCCAGCAGCTTTCAACAAGGGAGTCACCAATTGCGGGGCTATCTACAAGGACGATGCCAGGACCGAGTTTGCAGGATCGTCCTTCAACATCGTGGCCAATTCCAGAGAGGAGATCATTGAGTTCCTGAAGACCGACCCTTACTACAAGGCAGGCATCTGGGACGTGGACAACGCGTTGATCTATCCATACGGGTGTGCTGGACGACTTGCTAAAGATGTCATTCAGCCATGAGGACCGTCGTGGTACATGGGGTACGCAATACAGACTTACAACCGATGATATTTTCAAAATATCATCTCTGTATATTGCTGGTATGTATTGTTTAGTAGCCCACACCGATCAAGTAGTCGGCCAATTGCTCAACAATCTTGGCTGCCTCGCCAGGCTGGACGCCTGCTGGGTAGTGAGCGATCAGAATGGCCTGCTTGGTCTGCACACACAAAACGCCCTCGGCATCGTGTTTACCGTAGATAGACCGTGGATCGGCACGAATGCAAACGTATTTCTGGCCCTGGATGTGCAAACCGGATGCGTACAGCTGGGAAGGGTTGGAGAATCCGCGAACAATCTCCTGAACCTCATTTGGCTGCAATTGGAAGTTGTTGGTGGTGGCCCACAGAGAGGAACCGTCAGCTGCGTAGATGGAAGCCTTGTCCAATTTTCCGGTGGCGACGAGATTGTCGGTGTATGCTGAGAGTTAGTGTTTCAGATTTAGCGATTCTGGCGCACTGCAACTTACCGTTCCAAGACATGGCTAGAAATTCAGATCTGTTCTTTTTCGCAATGCCTGTTTTATTTATGTGAAACTTTAGACACGCATAGTTACCCGGATGACATGGTTCCCTACACGTCGTATATTAATGTACACTAGTCCTCGTCCTCTTCGTCGTCAAGCACCACACGGCGCTTCTTCCGCACGACAGCACCTTCGTCATCTTCCTCTTCCTCAACCTCCTGTGATTTCTCCCTGTACATAGCTTCTCCGGCACGCTTGACGCTTCTCAGCTTCTCAGCAGCTTTATCGAGTTCGTCGTCATCCAGACCTGAATCTTGCTCGTTGTCGCTGACAACAAAGTTGTCCTTATCATTGTACTCGCCGTCATCCTGCTCATCCTCGTCCTCGGCAGCGTCAATCGAATGTGCCAGACTTGTTGTTCTGGACTCGCGCTCCTGTCGTTCTTCCTCCAATGCCAGCTTGGCAAGCTGCTTCCGTCTAGCCTTCTCGATTTCTCTCTGGGCCCTTTCCATCTCTTTTGCCTTGAGCTCTGGATCCTCGGTGGTGACTATGGTATTGATCTTTTTCGACTTTTTCAGGCGTAGATTGGACTGAAGCGTGTTGGCCAGAATTTTGTGTGCTCTGGAGCTGGTCGAGGAAGGAAGAACCTGGATGCTCTTCTTGAGTTCTGTCACCGGGAGATACAGCTCACCGCTCTCTGCCACCAGAATTTCGTCCTCGTTGTTGTTGAGCTTGATATTGAAGAACTCGTCTCCAATCTTCAGCGACATCGATCCGTCCTCCCACTCGACGATCGAGGCATTGGACTGTTTGTAAAGCTCGTCCGACGACGTCTTTGCATAACGCCATCTGATAGTATTCTGCACTTCCAGTTTTTTGAACTCTAACGAATCTTGCAATTCCTTGTTTGTGCTGTCTTTGACAGAGTCTTTCAAGAACTCGTTAAGGTTAGATTCAAACGTGGTCGGAGTAAACGGTTCGGGGTCCACAAAGAGGTAGCGCGGCAGAGTGAACACCATTGCGTCTCCAGTAGGAACATGCGATCGCGGATGTCTAGGAATGGATATCTCTGCACGCGTTGGTTCCTTCACCTCCAACTCCTTTTCGTCGTCATCGTCGTCGTCGGCACTATTCTGCACGTCCTCGTTCTCCTCATCTGAAACGTGAACAGCCGTTTCATCTACCACTTCTTCATCGCTGGCCTCTCCAAACAAATCATCGACCTGCTCTTCGCCAGTCTTCTCGGGTTCCTCGCTGCTCATCAACAAACAAGATTAATTTTCATTTTCTTGATGAAAATCCAGCTTGGTTATGTGCCCACAAAAATTACCCCATTTTCTTATAGCTTGCTTTAAGGATGCTCTCAACGGTCCGTTCTGCCAAGGCAAGAACCTTTCAAAGGAGCTCAAAAAACTCCATTCTGCTGCTTCGTCGTTACAGCTCTCATCAAAATGACCACGGACACTCGCAGGAACACCACGACCATGACGACCACCACGAGCTACCCCTCAGCGAGGAGGAGCCGATTGTGAATAGATCAACAATCGCCGGAGCAGCCGCCATTGCACTTGGATTTGGGTACTACTATGCCAATGATAATTACAAGAAGAATCACGACGGCAAGTCTCTGGTGTCGGCATTTCACTCACCCAACGTCTGGGGGCAGCTGGAGGAGAATTTTTTGGCCTATCGAGCACGGGTCGAAAAACAAAGAGACATAACTGAACTTCTCACAATGCCACAAAGAAGAGACCATAGAGCCTCGTTCATTGACAATGACGGCATTCCTGGTAGAATTTTCAGCCAAAACGCAAACTGCGAATTCAATGTGATTCGGGACTTTTCTGCGCTCCCTGAAAGAAGAAAGCCCGGGTGATAGGGCTCATCTCACTAGATCCTTTCTATATAGGTTCTACCGCGACTACATATTATTTATTGGTGTCTGCCTTATTTATGAATGATACATACAAAAACTTAGTTTATTTATTACTTCAAGTCTACCGTCGCGTCGAAAAACTTCGTGTTGTTTACTTTCTCTTATGGCTGTGGGGGCTTCTAGATCAGAGCTTCTGGAGTGGATCAATACCACGTATCAGCTCAAGTACACCAAGATCGAGCAGTGCGGGAATGGAGCCGTGTACTGCCAGATTTTTGACTCCATTTTCGGGGATTTGCCGATGGGAAAAGTCAACTTTAATCCCACCTCAGATTACCAGACCCTGACCAACTACAAAATTCTGCAGAGTGGCTTCTCGAGGCACAAGATTACCAGAGAGGTTCCGGTTGAACGGCTGATGAAATGTCGCCTCCAGGATAATCTGGAATTTCTACAGTGGATGAGCAGACTGTGGTCAGAAAATAAGCTCGACGATTACGATCCATCAGCACGCAGGAAGACTCCGGTGCCTCCATCGACTGGAGGAACGTCATCTGGCAGCCGCCGGGTATTTTCCAGCTCGTCAGCAAACGGTAGCCGCATAGGCAGCAGAAGAACGTCTCTCACTGGATCTGCGCAAAAAGTCAGAGATCCCTTGCATCCGAAGCCACCGTTGAGCTATTCCGGCTCCCGTGTATCTTCCGGACATGGCCCTGGCATTCCATCTGGCGTTCAAGAAGAACTGAAGAACCTGAGAGCCCAGGCGGAAGAATTAAAACTGGTCCAGGAGAGCTTGGAGACAGAAAGAAACTTCTACTTCAATAAACTACGAGACATCGAAATCCTCACACAGAACCTCAACGAAAAGCTGCAAAGCTCTGAGCCTGTCGACGTTAGCATGGAGCAGCTAATCTCCCACATCCAGGAGATCTTGTATAGCACTACCGAGGGTTTCCAAATTCCTAGCGAAGACCAAATTGATGGCATAGGGAAGGAAAACGATATCAAGATGGTCGACGAGGAGACCTTCTAATACGCTACCTATCCGTCCACGCTTGATTTAATATACTCATATTCTTATGTTTAGGTAGTTAGTTACCCGGGCTTTTGATAGCTTCATCAAAAATATAGTGGCAATTAGTTCAAGTTTTAGATATGTTTTTGAGGGGCTCGATAGCACGTTTACGGCCTGAACAGGCCAAAGTGCGTTTTCAGCGGCCTTCAAGAATTGCTCCTCTTCTAATACGTTCATTCTCGTCTGGGCAGCAAATCCGGTTCAAGCAAACATTTTTCAACCCGAACGAAGAACCAGACAAGAATAAGGACAACAAGAAGAAAAAGAAGAAGGGACCTGATCCCAGCAACCAGCCACAGGACTTCCTCAAGAACACTAAATGGACGAACTGGATCTTTCCTGGCCTGGTTATCTCCCTGTTTTTGAATAGCTACTCCGGTGGAGAAAGTAATCAAATGACATTCCAAGACTTCAAAGTCAACTACCTCGAAAAGGGACTGGTCAAATGTATTACGGTGATAAACAATTCCTTTGTGGAGGCTGAGCTAGTCACTCAGCACCCTAGGATAGTTGGATTTACCATAGGTTCGGTTGAGTTTTTCGAGAAGGAGTTAGACGAAATACAAGATAAGCTCGGCATTCCAAACAACGAACGTATTCCAGTGTCGTACATTCGTCGCTCTAGCATTTTCTCCTACATTATGCCGTTTGTGCCGACTTTGATCTTGATTGGTGGTACTTACTACCTTGCTAGGCAGTTACAAAAGCGAGCACCAAATGGTAAAGGTGGCGGGCCTTTGAACAACATCATGGGCATAGGAAAATCCAAAGCTAGATTGTTCAACCAGGAAACAGATATTACCGTCAAGTTTAAAGACGTTGCCGGATGTGATGAAGCAAAGGAAGAGATAATGGAATTTGTCACTTTTCTTAAAGAGCCCAAAAAGTACGAGAAGCTGGGTGCCAAAATTCCAAAGGGCGCCATTCTATCTGGGCCCCCAGGTACTGGAAAAACTCTGCTGGCTAAAGCCACAGCGGGAGAGGCTGGTGTTCCATTTCTCTCGGTTTCCGGTTCCGAATTTGTCGAGATGTACGTCGGTGTTGGTGCTTCCAGAGTTCGCGATCTGTTTTCTACAGCCAGAAAGCTAGCTCCTTGTATCATATTTGTGGATGAGATTGATGCCATCGGTAAGTCAAGAGAAAGTGGACCAATGGGTGCAAATGACGAAAAAGAAGCGACGTTGAATCAACTCCTAGTCGAAATGGATGGTTTTGAGGATACTGACCACATTGTTGTTCTTGCTGGTACTAACAGGGCCGATATATTGGACAAAGCTTTGACTAGACCAGGCAGATTTGATAGACATATCAGCATTGATAGACCAGACATCGAGGGAAGAAAGGCAATTTACAAGGTTCACTTGAAGCCGCTCAAGCTTGAGCATCCTGTCACGGACGAATTTGCGGGAAGACTGGCTGCTTTGACTCCAGGATTCTCGGGAGCCGACATTTCGAATTGTTGTAACGAGGCTGCATTAATTGCAGCAAGAGAGGACGCTGACGTGGTCAAGCTGGTTCATTTCGAAAAGGCAATTGAGAGAGTGATTGCAGGTCTTGAGAGAAAAAGCAGAGTGTTGTCACCAGAAGAGAAAAAAACAGTTGCCTACCATGAAGCAGGTCACGCCATATGTGGATGGTATTTGCAGTATGCTGACCCGTTGCTTAAGGTTTCTATTATTCCTCGTGGTCAGGGAGCTCTTGGATATGCGCAATATCTTCCTGGTGACGAGTATCTCATTTCCCAAGAGCAGTTCGAGCACAGAATGATCATGGCACTTGGCGGACGAGTGTCAGAGGAGCTCAATTTTGATGACATTACCACTGGTGCTGCTGACGATTTCAAGAAAGTTACCCAGATGGCAAACATGATGATTCTTCGTTTGGGAATGTCGAAAAAATTAGGCACGATCACTTTTGAAACGAACAGTCAACAACCACGGGTTCACAAACTTTTCAGTGAAGAGACTTTTGAGCTCATCGATAACGAAGTCAAGAGAGTTATAAATGAGGCTTACGAAAAGTGCAGGAAGCTTCTGACTGAAAAAATAGATGAAGTAGAGAAAGTGGCCCAGGAGTTGCTCGCCAAAGAAGTGCTGACTAGAGACGATATGATCCGACTTTTGGGGCCTCGCCCATTCGAGGAAAAGAATGATGCTTTCAAGAAGTACCTGTTGCCTCCCAATGAGCAGCAGAATCGTCCCGAGGAAGGTGCTCAAGCAGCATGACTTGTACATAATGATGTTGATACACGAATATCCTAGAGATTGGGTATGAAAAGTCATTTCGATTTACGTGGAACGTAAAGACGAAGTAGATCAAGGCAATTATTCTGCTTAACTAAAACCTAGTTGATTTTAGTATATCATAGATAGAAGTTATTACGTAATCATACAGAAACTCGCTTTTGTATATCAAAAAATGATTGTTTGTTTATGATTAATGACGCGATGAGCTCGCGTGTTAATAGTGGAGGATCAATTACGTCAGGCTCTTCAACCGAGATCTCGCGAATTGAAGCAGACAAGGAAAACATACAGCCTCTAAAGCAAGGCCGTTCTGCTAATAATTTGGTAAAAGCCTTGTCTCTGAACAAGGAGACACGCAAGGAAGTGCTTGCTAGAGAAAGAGACCAATTTGAAGCTTCATTAGATCCTGCTCGACTTGAAGACCTAGATGATCCATTGGAACCTTATTTGAAATACTTGGACTGGATCCACACTCATTATCCTTCTGGGGCTAGCACAGAATCAGGACTAATTCAGCTGCTCGAGAGAATAACACATGATTTCAGAGATGACGAATACTACAAAAACGAAGTGCGCTACTTCAAAGTTTGGCTGGAATATGTGAAGTTCAGCGATAATCCTCGAGACATATTCCAATATCTTTACAAGAAAAAGATTGGTCTATCTCTTTCGCTGTTGTATGAAAGCTTTGCAAATTTCATGGAGTTGGAACAGGATTTCTTGAAAGCTGAGGAGCTGTACCAAGCAGGCATTAGTGCAAAAGCCAGGCCACTTAATAGGCTGATCCGTGCATACGAAAATTTCAAGATCAGAAGAGCCCAGTGCTCGCGTGTGCAAAAAAGGCAGGGTTTAGGAGTTTTGCATAATCCATCCGGCGGGGGCTTGCAAGTAGTGACGAAACCAGGGCCTTCTCGCAGCTCTAAAGCTTTTGCTGTATTTAATGACGCAGAGTCGAAACCTTCATCAGCCACTGAAGGGATATGGCAGCACCTTGATACGATAGACAATTCGAAGAAGGAGAATGTGATACGTCCAACATCGTGGTCAGGGGAAAAGCTGATACAACAAAGGGCCCCTAGAGCGAAAGAGCCTACTTTTGAGGTTTTTAAGGACAACGAATTGCACTTTCCTGTCTGCAAAATTATACACAACCCAGGAAAACGCATTGAGAAGTTTGATTTCAATTTTGACCTCTTATATCCTGATGGTGAGGATGAGAGAAGTCTTATGGAGGTGTTACTTCTCAGCCGTGGAGTATACTATTTAGCAAAAAAGCGAAAATCCGAACACAGCTCAGGAACTCCGTCTAAGAAGCTCACACTTTCAACGGATGCTGAAAATGAGACCAAATTGCTTAACTCGCCAACGCTAACATTTTATTCACGCCAGTCCATGAAAGAGGTTCTCCAGATGCTCAACCAGCCGTTGAAAGAAACTACAGTCCACGATGAAGAACCTCCCTTGGACGAAGGGTTAAGCGATTTTATCACGGAAACCATCACCAACCATACACCTGCCACGCCAATAAAAACGACAAACGAGGATACTGGTGTAATGAGCTCTCCGTTCTTGGAAGAGCCGCTTCACTCCGATCCTGGGAAAGGGGACGTTCTGATTAACCCGTTCGATCACAATCTGCAAAAAAATCTATTATACAAGCAATCGTCGCATCTCTCAAGTTATGATAACTACCACCATTCGACTGCCAAGCGTGAAAAATACAATAGTTTAAGAAGTTTGCTTAAGCCACGTGCTGCTCCAATAATGGGTAGTCGTCAGTTAATGATTGAATTTGAGAGCGAAACGTTTTGTTTCACCAAACAGCTAGGGAATCCAGATAAAGCAGCTACGTATTTGAGCGAGAAATCAGATGGAACCGCTTCAGCAATAAAGGTTTATTCACCTCCAGTGGAATGGGAGTACTATATACTCAAACAACTGGAAGTTAGAACGCCAGGAAACTTCATTAAAGTTATTGATTTCTATAAGTTCGAGGACGAGTCGTACCTCATATTGCCATACTTGAAACACGGGACCCTCTGGGATCTCATCCAGCTGACATCACAGTCAAAATCAATCAAATTGGAAGAATCGATGGTTATCTACCTTACGGCACAATTGTTAAAGCAAACCTCTCTTCTGCATTCAATAAGAATAGTTCACGCCAACCTCAAGGCAGAAAATTGTATTTTAGATCTGTCTCCAAGCACGAAGCCTAGCTACCATGACTTGAAACTTATTGATTTTCAAAACTCAGTCGACCTATCCCTGTTTCCAGACAATGTTCGTTTCTCTGCTCAGTTGCCAAGTGGTACCTGTCCTTCAGATGAAGTATGGAATTCCTGGAGGCACGAACCTGATTACTATGGATTGGCGAACATCGTCCATATGCTATTATTTGGCAGAGAGTTGGGAGGCCTGAGAACTAGTTCAAATATGAAAATCCGTGAAAACATGCCCAGCTACTGGCAGAAAGAATTATGGAGTGAGCTTTTCAAAGTTTTGCTAAACGCGCCAAATCTCGATTGCGAGCAAGGCGTTCCTCTTAGATTGCTTGCAAGCAAATTCGAGAATTGGGTGAACCTCAACTGGTCATCCTGTGGTCTCTCCAAACAACTGGCAAAGATCACAGATTTTATGGACGACCAGAGGAAAAGGAATAAAATATAATGCATTATGAACGTCTAAGTAAACTTTTGATGCGCTGAACGCGTTGTTTAATTGTGAATCTTAATCTGGTGACCCTGCTTTCCTTCGCCCTCGACTCGGCTTCTTCCTCTGTCACTGTTTGCTTTGTCAAGAGATTGAAAATGGAACCAAAAGCCAACGACATCACTGTAGAGGTTAGAATAATGACATTGTATGGCATCGAAAAGTCGGGCGTCGGAAGAGTTAGTAGTGCTGTTGTAGTTCTCATTTCGTAGACTACTTTATGCGAGTCGCGATCGAGGACAGAAATCACAGCCGGTTCAATCTCGAAACCGTGATTTGCGTCCGGTGGGTATTCGGCATACAATAGCATGGCCTTATCAAACTCGAGGGAAAGTTTGATCTTTGTGTGCGCAGGGATGCTGACGAGCAATTCCAAGTGAGACGGCTTTTGTCTGTCAATTGCTGGATTATATATTATGCCTTTGACGTATTGGTCAAACTGTGGATCCGATACAATGTGTGTAATCGTTGAATTAATGGTTAAAGTCAGGGTGTGGAGATAAATGCGGACAAACCATGGTATCGATTCGAAAATAACGATGTCCGAGTCTTGATCGGTAGGATTTTTCACATCTATTCTGAACCCGCCAGAATCCTGCGAGTAGCCAGAGAGAGATCTGGAAGCAAAGATTGGAGGACTTTTCAAAGGCTTGATCCTTTTTGTGTCTTTTACTTTGAACAGCACATTGTACTCATTTGTATCTTCGATCACAAAGCAGGTCTTTTCTCCCTCCAAAGTTGGTGTTGTCTGGATGTCAGTCTGAACTTCCATGCTCCAAGAATCCAAATTGAGATCCGCACAAACTTTAGTTGGCCGTGACGCAAGCAATGCACCACCTTGGATTTTCTTGCCGAAGAGGTCGGTCAACGAGAACTCCAGCTGTGAGATATCATCCAGAGGAAAACAATGGAATGCGTCGAACGGTTTTGTCGGGTCGCATTTCAATTCCGAGCCAGGGGTAGGTTTGGGGATAGGCATTCTGTTACGCTCCAACGTCATCGGTACATCCAATATCAAGTTGATGAATTGTTCCATTTCGTAATGACATTTTGTTCCTGAGCAGTGGGTAGTGACATCAATCGACATAGAGGACCACTGCGAGTTAAAAACTTTGTGACCGGTGAGCAATGATGAGATTCCTGCTTTGCCTTTCGTTGGCAGGAGTTTTAAAAAGGGCGTCAGATTTTCAGTGCAAACAGGTTCTCTGGGTAAAGCGCTTCTCAGGAGAAAAAGATCATTTTTCAAGGACAGACCTTGGTCCAACACAGGAGCTGCTGGCTGGAATACCGTCGCTGGATAGGTTGTCGATGAAGAGTCGATGAAATTCAGGGAGGCGCAAAAAAGACCCGACAGCGAGTTAACCAGTTTGATCCAGTCTTTGAAGACAGACTCTTCGTTCTGGCCTTCAAGAAGCGCCCACAATTCAACACCTGTCCCCCCACTGTGTTTTCCTTTCAACGGGAGTTCCCCATAAACTTCAGGATCGTACCATCCCTGACTAAACCGAAGATGTAGTTCCCTTGTATTTGTTTCCCGGAGAATAGGCCCCAAAAGCTTGGAAAATGTAGAATAATGGAACGTTTTGTCATCCGGCTCGTACAACTCAAACTCTGTTGAATTGATCCTGAAATTAAACGACGCAAGCAGGTTGTTGCGTTCAAGAGGCTTGAATTCTAGTGATTCTTCAAAAGGGTACTGCACAGATGCTCTACAAAGTGCGCAGAGCAACAGAACAGGTAGAAGGAACTCTTTCATCCTATAATTTGAAGAAAAAAAACGGGCCCTTTGTTTTTTATTGTTTGTTAATTTTTAAGTAAGATCCAAAACAAACGCGTATGTTTGATACAACAACCGTTCAACGCCGAGGGCTGTTTGGCAAAGTGTACAATAGCATTTTTGGACCGTCGCCCAGTCCACTGAACACCCAAACTCCAATTGAGGATCATGACCCTGTGACCGAGTACAACACCTCTTTGAATAGTGAGGGACGATATTTAAGCCGAGACGACGACCTAGCCATTGATGACGAATTGGATGATACCAGAAGCCGCCGAAGCTCTGAGATTGCGCCTCCTATGACACCGTCACGTTTGGATGACGACTGGAAGATCAACGACACTTTAGAAAGAATAAGGATGAGCCGCGAACGATGGCAGCGGAACGACCATGTTCCTGGCGAGTTTCCTGAGCCTGCTCCAGAACACGTTCAAGGTGGACTTGCGGAGCACATAGAACGGAACAATCAAATCATCAGCAAATTGATGAGCGACTTTGATTTGGTCGCGGAAAATGTTGAGTTGCAGCAGCTCCGGACAGAAAATGCAGAGCTAGCTCAAAAATACAAGGCTTTACGCGAGGAGTTCAAACGCGAGCTCGACGCCAACAAGGAAATATTCGACGGGTACTACGATCTTTACACTAAATACAACAAAATAAAGACTGAGCTCTCCAAGCTGAAGAAAGATGCTAGTGATCGGATCGGCGATCTGGAGCTCGAAAACCAGAGACTCAAGGTGGAAGCGCGTTCCAGACGGGTCACATCAGACGATCAGAACCTTTACTACAAAAGCCAGTACGAAGAGATTAAAAAGGAGCTGCAAAAAAAGATCCAAGACGAGAAGGCCAGTCAGCAGCGAATACGAGATCTGGAACTGCAACTACATGAGCGATCTCTGGCTAAGGCTAGGGGTGTGTCTTCGAACACGCTGGACCAAGACTCCATCCAGCTGCTACACAAATTATATGCCGATAAGGAGGTTCCCAATACCAGCATCGACTCTTGGATTAGCAAACCGCGTATCAAGCACGCAATCTAGCTGACTTCATAGGTTGCGATAATATTTTGCACTTGTATTATCAAAGGCCTAACTTAAATGTCGGAGACCAGCGAAATATCGAAGTATCGAAGCATTGAGCCTTTGGAATACAGTCCGCTCAATGATACGGGGCACTTAGATACAGATGCAAATATATGCTTCACGGAAACGCTCCCCGTGAGCATTAATGTCCACAATCTCCGAATATCAGCTCCCAAGGGTCCTAGCAAGATATGTGGTCGAAACGCGAAAAAAGACGTCGCTGAGTCGATAAGGGAAAAATATACTACATCCCATGTCATTTCAAATTCCAGAGAATACCCTCGCTTCCATAATTGGAAGGTCTGGTTCGGGTAAAACGACTCTTCTGAACAGGCTTGCGGGTAAACAAATTACGAGATCATCACTAATTTAGGACGGGTGAGTGACTTATAATAGCGCCCCAGACCTCGAAAATTAGACACACCTATGCGATTCAGCAGGATATTCTCATTCCTAATCTGACCTGTTTTGAGACCCTCATGTTCGCAGCTGAGCTCAAACTGCCTAAGCTTACCTCAAAAACCGCTCGTAGAAGATTGTGAACGAAATTATCATGACACTCTGGGCTAAGGAATGCTGTGACATCCTTGTAGGAGATCGCGTAAACAAGGGGCTTAGTGGGGGGTGAAAAAGGACGACTCAGCGTTGCTATCCAGCTGGTTTCCAATCCATAGTTATTACTTTTAGACGAATCCACTACGGGTCTCGACAGCTACAATGCGTGCCTGCTCTGTGAGTCACTGAAACGGCTCACCAAAAGACTGCGATCTGCCATCGTTTAATTCCTTTGGCTCTCTTAAGAGTCAAGATTGTGAAGTTCTCAGTGATGCGTAGTGGTCAAAGCTCGTCGTAACTCTTTCGCATGGCTTTCGGGTTGCCAAACACCTCGTGTCGAAGAAATCGGAACTCTTCTAGCTTCGGGTCTTTGGCCGCTTTCAGCGCCTCCATCTGCAGGTTCAGCCACTCCAAAAATTCGGATCTGGCTTTGAAAAGCTTCCTGTTGTTTAGCTTCAATTTTTTCAGTTCATCCAAAAGTGTCAATGTTCCGTCGTCGAGGGCCTTTTCACCGATCAGTGTAAGCTGTGCAATATTGGCAAACTGACGATCATTATCTTCGTCCGCAACGTCTCCTGTGATGTCACTTATGATGTGCATGAGTCGCTGCTTGGTGGCTTGATTTTCGAGCTGGGGATACAAAATCAACAGTTTTTTCTTGATAGATTCGAATCTGTCCATAAACCATCCGCTATTCAATAAGGACCCGAGTATCCCGAGTCTTCGCCTCAAAAGCACGTCATTTTCAATTTTTGCAGTAAGATGGTCGACAAAATCCATGGGATCAGAGAAATACTGTAGGAACTTTCGCTGTGCTTCTGCGTTATTTCTTAAGGAGGAAGCCAATATTATAGTAGCTCGCTCCCTGATTTCATCGCGATCGTCATCGTTGAGATCTTTCGGTCCTTCTTCGTCATACAGGCCTGATAATCGGATCAATGGCTGTATATATTGCATGGTGTCAACGCCGTAGTCGGAATCGGAGCTCATCTCAGAAATAAATTCCAATTTTCTGAGTAGGGTAGCTGGATCGCCAACTCCGTGATCCACAAACTTGGACACGTGACGTAGAGCTTCAGACAAGTCTTGTTCTTCATCGAATTCCATGATGTCTTCTGAAACAATCACAGCGCCGTTCTCGTGTGGCTTGTTATTATCGGAAAGTTTAGCCTCTCGTTCAAGTGTGTCTATATTCAAGCGAATATCTAGCCCGCCCGGAATAATCTGTCCCTCTTTGACGGTCTTCCAATCGGTAGAAGGTTCAAAAAGCTCAGGATAGCAATTCAAAGGGTTCGGGTCGGGGCAAATCAGCTTAGCAAACGAGATTCCACCGAACAGAAGCAAACAAAGCATATACCTGCCAAAAAATAAATACCAAAAATAAAACTCTAGGAATGCGATTTTTGTGCACATAAACCATATACAAGAGAAAATACTGTGCTTTAGAGCTGGAAAGTATTCCAGATGGAACTATCAATATTCCTGAAGAGATCATCAATGTTCAGATCAGAGCCCAGAAATTCGAGACCAGTTCCCGGAGGGGTGTCTGTATTAGTCATGTCTTGATCCGGTCTCAGCACCTGTCGAAACTCTGTAATGAGAGGGTTCTCCTCAATATAAGGATGTAATCTGTTAGTGATTATCCTTCCAATCCAGCCAGAGTCAATTTCGCCAATAGCATCTGTTGCCTTATCTGCATGATTTGCAAAGGAAGAGCCCAGACAGGCGTCCTCACACTCGTATCTCTTGGCGAGTAGTTCTGCCAGATGCTCGAAATCGCTCTTCTTCCACCTAAGCATGATGTTGACATTTAGGTTCTCGTGCTCCTCCGTTGGCTCCTTCGCTGTGTTGAAAAGCGAGTCCACCATTGCAGGGTAGACCCTTGCGTAAACGAAAGAATGGATCTTGCAGGCAAACCAGGCACTGAAATGGGTTGCTGCCAGTTTTCCCTGGATCTGCAGTGCCTCGCCCACCAAGTTTTCGACCGTTTCTAGTATTTTATTGCAAGCAGCCACCAGTTCTGTCTCGGTGTTTCCCTGGATCAACTTTGTATAAATGACATGCTTCATGCGCAACAAAAGCATGAAATACAGACACCGCGTTCTGCCCACAGATTGCATCATAGTATGGGCCACTAAATGCTCATTTCCATGACCAAAATAATCACCAAGGCGGAACATTGAACTGCGTCCAAAGATCAAGATAGACATCAGGGAACGTATGCTTTTTATCAAAAAATGCTTTGATTTCGAAATATCGTTTTTCAGCTCGTACTGCAGAAACAGATGGTAGTAAAGAAACACCAACATGTGCTTTATCTCAAGATATTGGATGCATCCGCTGATTCGCTGAATTTGAGTAATTTTTCCCTCTGCGCCCAGGGTGTTCGGATCCAGAAACATAACTATATCACCGGTCATATTTTCCTGGTATGTTTCCAAATCTCTTATCCGTTCAAGCAGACAGGATGTCTTAACTGAACCGCTGAGGTCTGTGACCGTCTCCATGAGTGCGGCAACTAGCCTATTAAGTTTTGCGCGACTTTGAAGCACAGCAATAGAGCCGCGCTCCACGCTCTCGTTTCTGCAATTCGCGTTCGTTTCTCCAAGGAAGACTGGCATTTTGGTGTTATATTTGTGGATCCTTGGTGCAAAACTCTCTTTCTGGAAAGACCATCCAGAGTCAACTGTCCAAACACCAAGCCATAATTTTCTCCTGAGGTTGACTTGCTTTGGTGTAAGAGAACTGGTTACAGTTGTTGGGTCCCTGTTCAGTCCCAAAATGTCAGACATTCGAACGACCAATCCAGCAAATGACTCCATATCTGAGTGTTCTCCCTCCATTGGCGAGTGCTTAAATGCAATTCTGGAATACAGTAGGTTTTGTAAAGTTGCCAAGGCAGGCATATGGGCTCTTCCACTCCATTTGCTGCAACAAGAGGCTGCAGTAAGAAGACGGCTGTTCAGTGGATGCTCCACAAGGTATTTTAGGTTCTCGTCGGTCTCAGTTTCGCTAATGGGTTCCATGTTGATAGTGTATAACGTAAGCTGGCCGAGATGGATCAGATAGAAAAGCGTAGAGAGCAGGACCAACTTGGTTCGAAAAATGCCAATAATATTGATCTGCTCGTCCTCCATGCTGCGCTCGCCAATGACCTCATATATAGAGGAGGTGAACTGTTCTTCGTCAAGAAATGGATAATGGGGGTACCAGTACTCGAAAAAGCGATCAAGCAGTAGCCATGTAGACTTTTTAGTGGGCATGACACTTTGCAAATAGCCTCCCAGACCATCTCTGCGCCCATCCGTGTCAATGACAGCGTCCTCAGTTGGCACCTCTGTCTCCTTATGCAATGTCCATGGCATCTGGTGCAACAGTTTTTGCTTAAAGACCTCACTCACCTTCGAGTCTTTTTCATTGGCGTACCACGGATTTTTCTGATTGAGAAACTCCGTGCGCGCCTTCTCGGTCTTCTTCATGTCGCCCATGTATTTCTTGGAGAGGCGTGTAAGTGGATCTCTCGACAACAGCATTCGCGGAGAAAATATATCGTTGTCGAACATAAGTCTGCCCTCCGCGCCAAGATCGCTATGTGTATTTTTGAAAGATATCACATCTTCCTCTGTCTCAGATTCTGCTGGAGTCTCCAGTGAAGTCGACGAGCTCAGTTTCCGTTCCAACTCTGACAAATGTCGCTTCATTTGTTCAAGCTCGCTAAGTAGATCCTTTGGCTCAGGAGCCGGATGTGGGACGCAATTGCTGACAAACATGTCAGGAATCTGCTCGGGAACCAGAACCGGACCATAAGTCCAGTCTGGCTCGATGTACTGGCACTCATTAGCCAAGCCCCGTTTTATACACACCTGTGATGGTTAATGACATGCAATGGTCTAAAACTTACCATACAAGCGGGTTTCCCACGATCGCATTTGACTTTACGTTTGCGACAGCTCACACAGGCAGATCTGATTCGAGTCCGCTTGCGCACCGGCTCGTTTACACCATTCATGATAAAGTACTAGTATCGCAAAATATAATGAAGTGGCCTGCACAGCCTGAATTCTATGCATTACAAATCGATGAGATTGACAGGTTCCTGGACTTTAGGTTTCTCGGGCTCCTGTTTCGGGACCTCCGCATACGAGCCCATGGGAGATATTTGATCGGGCACAGCAGGCGATGCTGGGTAAAACTGGGAAGGAGATGACGGAACAGGCTGCTGGGAAACAGCGTTCAAGCGCGGCAGCGGAGCATACTGGACGTTGTAGGGCCCCGAGTGTTGCTGAGAGACAGCATCAGAAACCTGAGGAACAGCATCTTGCGACACTGCTGGCGGAGGCGGAGGTGCATAGTATGTCTGCTGAGGGTACTGCCGGTACATTTGCTGTGATTGGGCAAGTCTGAGCTGCAGTATTTCATCGTAGATTTTGGTGACCGCAAAGGTTTTCGAGTACAAGTCCTGATATTTTTCCATATTTGCGACTTCCTTCTTTAGCTGGAACTCAATCTTGGGTTTGATTTGGTTTATGCTAACAAACAAATGCTTTAAGGCCTGATCGTTGGCGATGTTTAGTTTCTTCTCCACAGGAGCGGTTTTCAGGTTCTGCACAAGCTGGGCGAATAGGACAATGTTCTGATCTTCAGTGCCAGTGATGCTATTGTAGTCAATCTGCGATGCCGGCTGAGGAGAGAAGGTTTGCGGCGGTGGTTGCGAAGCCGTGGGCGCAGGGCTGTAGCTTGGCGTGTACAAAGAGTTTCCGGTCTGGCTCTCAGGAAGCAAGTTGGAGTACAGTCCACTGGGTTGAGGTGCTAATTCTGGCTGTGACACGGATGGAGATTTTGCTGCCTCCTGTTTCTGAAAATCGGCAAGACTGGCCGCAATGGCAGCCTTCATTTCCTCGTCTTCTTCCTCTGCCGGAGCAGCTTGAGGCGCTGGTTTAGGCAAAACAGAGGCGTCCATCGGAACACCAGACTCTTTCAAGGAGAGCTCAATTGCGCGCTTCAGGTCTTCGTCTTCGTCCCCGGCAGGCGTATCTTTCTTGGTTCTCTTTTTAGATTGTTTTGATTTGCCCTTGTGCTCCTGGTAGCATGTATCACAGACTCGAACTGGTATAGTTATTCCGAGTTCTGGAAGTTCACAAGTGTTTGAAGAATGTGTTCCGCAGAAGACTCCGCCGCACGAACGACAGTGATGCTTTCGGTTCAAAAAGGTAAAAAGCGTGGAACACAACATACAAGCATCAGAATCTTCCCACTCCGGAGCAACCTTGGACTCTATCAGTGTACTCTCTATAGCGTCTGTGATCATCGGAAACTGATATCCCTCTTTCTGGAGTTTATTGTATACTTGATTGACGTAGCCCAGTTTCGGGTTGGTGCTGAACATGATCGACCACGACTGTATCAACTGTAACAAATATTCCTTCACCGTATGATTCAGATTCTTATCATTAAGCGTGGAAACTATTGGGTCTATGAACTCCTTTGATGAAATATCAGACAGAAAGTGTTCTCCACCGTTTTTGATGCAGAAATCAATAAGCTTCAGCGCGGATTTTTGAAGATTCGGGTTCTTGGTGCTCATAAAGCGCCTCTTGAGAGCACGCATTGCATCTTTGGATGTCACTTGCTTTGAACGGATCAAGTCACTGATTTCAAGCGCACCGGCAAGATCTATCTCGCCGTTGGGAATGGACTCCGAAGCCGCTTCGCTAATTTTGTCCTCGATCGACACATTACTATTAGTTCGCCCAAACCAGGCCATTCTTGCTTTGTGCTTGGTGAGTGCTCAGAATTGCTTGCGATCCTTAGAGATAAATACCAAGTGCGGTGCAAATTCACTTTATCAGTTGTGGCAAAATTAAATTTACCTTTTCTATCTATTCACGAAAGAATCCGGCGCGCCGATCGACGTGCACATCAAATCGAATCTCTTCACCCACTTGTCACCGAAATGGCAGGACTCAGCATGTTATAGTCCACAAAGCTACTGGTGCTCTTTGCTGGTTTCAACGAGTTTCCTGATTCCTGAGCCATTCCGTCCTCAATGGACATTTTGATTATAGACTCCCAGTCGCTTGTAATCACGAAGTAGCTCTGACACACGGAAACGAAAAATAACGCAATCACCATGCCGATCCAAAGACCAAACAGCTCGAGCCTGAACTTAAAGGCCAGCAGAAATGCCACAGGAAGGGCAACACAGTAGTAGCTGAATAAATTCAGCCAACCCCCGATGTACTGTCTCCCTTGACCTCTGAGTATACCAGCAGTCACGCAAGAAACGACGTCATTTACCTGATATATGGCACCAACCATGAGCACCCGTCCTGCTAACTGTATGACTTTTGGATCCTCAGAAAATAACGAGGCGATGCTATAGCGGAAGGTGGCCAATATAGACGCATTAAAGACCCCAAAAATAGCAGCAACAAAGAACGCCGCTCTCGTGACCTTCTTGGCAGCATCCTTCGATGCAGATCCAATAAACCATGCAACTCTTGTTGATGCTGCAACAGAGATCGCAAAGGGAATTTGGTATATTGTCACGCAAGTAGTCGAAACCACAGACTGGGCCGCTAGAGAAGCGGTACCAAACCGTGACGAGGCCACAGACAGAATCTCAAATGCGAGCCACTCAGCTTCAATCATTAAAACGCTCGGCGCAGCCAGAGTAATTGCTCTTTTCCAATTGGTGAATACTTTGGTCGACAGACGGCAGAAGCATTGTCTTCCTTGAATGAAGTAGGCATAGTACAGTAGCATAAGCGCCATCAGCCAGTTTGTGATCACGACTGCAGTAGGTGCTCCAATAAAGCCTATTCCGATGTGGCTATCATGAACTAGCACAAAATTTAATAGCAGATTCAAGGGAGCACAAATCACCAGCACTAGGGTGGACGCTTGAAATGCACCCTGGGCCTGCAGGAACTGCTTCAGCACCTCAAAGGTCATGAATCCAGGGACTCCGTATATGAGTATTCTCAAGTAATGGGTTGCCAGCTTACATAGCTCGTCGTCAGGGACTATAGCCCGCAGTAAAGGGTAAGAACCCCAGTACCAGAAGATAAAGATGGGAACAAACATCACCCATAGCATCATATAGCAGCGCAAGGCATTCAAGCCAACAGCCTCGTAGTCTTTCCTGCCGAAAGCTTGAGGACACAGGGTGGATAAAGATGAGGCAATTCCTTGGATAATACCGTAAGATGAGATGTTGGCCAACAGGTTTGAAAGCGAAACGGCCGCCAGCTCCTGAGAACCAAGACTTCCGGCACTAAAAACAGATGCCACCGTCAATGAGTACTGTAGCAAAAACGTTGCGATCAATGGAATGGAGCTTTTGATTAAAAGCTCGATTTCGGTTTTCATTGTAGTTTCCACCTCTCGAAGCGAGCCATCATCGTCAGCTTTTATTGGAGTAGAACCGTTGGCATTAAGGTGTAACGAAAGCAAAGACACTCTTCGGTTTTGGATGTACGAATCTTGAGTGACTGACCCATAATCGCGAGTCGTATCTGAATTCAAAAATGACGTAGACTCGTGTTCGCTAGAAGAAGATAGCGACTCACTACGTTTCCTCCACAGAACCCGACTACCCATTTGAGTGATTGATCCTCTGCGTGTCCCCCCATTTGGTAGGTTTGAGGATGAGACGCTGTCGAGCACCTCGTGGAAACTCATCAAATCGGCTATTTCGTTGTCAATTTTATTTTTTGATGGCTTATCAACGTGCATCAACCTCTGGATGAAAAATAGGATGATGTGATGGACTGCGATTTAGCTACTTTTTGCATAATTATGAAATTGACTCCGATATGCTATTTATTGATGGCCCTTCGTAATGACCTGACTCTAGAGCATCATGATCTATGGCTTTGCATAGCGACGGTTCCAGCTGCTCGACTCAAGAAAACATTGATCTCTTCCTCCGATTCACTGCGACTTTTTCTGCTTTCTGGGGCAACATGCAATGGCGTAAGTTGTAGGCTCTCCAAAAGTGATTCTATTGGCTCAGAGGCCCTAGTCTTGGTGGGGGTTCGTTGTCTCTTCTTGAAAAATTCTCGAATACTCAGCCTTCTGGAGCTGTTGGGGGTATCCAAATCAGATGAACATATCGTACCGTTGGAGTATTCTCCTGTTCTGCTTTGTGTTCCATCACGATTTTCCTCCGACTCCATGAAAGCCTGCGCAATAGCAGAGTGTGTATCGGTGTGCGCACTGGGCATTGAGGGAGGATCGTCCTTATTCTTCGATCTGATAAATCCTAGCAGTCCTCCATGGAACCAGGACGCTTGGCGCTGTCTCTTGATAATCTCTCTTTTTTTCTGCTTCAAGCTTCTTATTTGCTGATCGAGTTCGTCAACATCCTTTTCCTGCACGTCGCTTGTAATGCAGTTCTTATTTGTCTCTGTTGCTTCTTTCGTGCCGGAGAGCGTCTTCAGGTGGTTGAAAATATCTGAGACATCATTTACGGAGTTCTGATCTGAAGCCCCGCCAAGATCAGTTATCAGTTCCTTTGACATTTCTTGCTCTTTTCGACTTTCTTGGCTCAATTCTTTATTGGAATCACACACGCTATCTAAAGTGCGATCGGCATCTTCTGGCGTTGAATGCTCAGGTTCGAAACATAGAATTTCCAAGTCTGAAGGCTCTGTTCGAAATTGCTCTAGCTCTTTGCTCGTTGGTCTCTGGAATAAATCGTTGTTTAGCAATTTTGATCGGACTGGAGAATCCCTGTAACTGCGATTTGTGTGTGCAGCGAGAACATGAGTAGAAGCAGATTTCTGAATGCTCCCTAACGAATTACTTCTTACCGATACCTCGTCCTTAAAAGAAACCGTTTTTTGACCCAGTTGCTCCTCGCTCACCAGTCTGCTTGGTTTCATGATCGACTTCAGCATTGAACTATGTAAATTACTCTCGGGACCACCCGAGTTGTGCGGCTCAAGTTGCTCTTTGTCATCGTGCACAAAAGATAGAGGGATGTTTGTGACTTTCGGAATCTGGAGAACAGGATTGGTATTAAGTTGTAACGTTCCCCAAACATTTAGGAGTTTAGGCTTGGGAGCATGGTTCTTGCTGAGCCTCAAGCTACCGTTTCTCCGCCTTCGTCTTTTTGAAACTGCCGATACACTGTTGGAAATCGAATGATCGTCCGTGTCATCCAATCCCAAGGATGACGTTGCCATCATTAGGGATAAAAATCTATTTAGGCTCCTTATTTTTCACTTGGCGCGAAAGAAAATGGGCAGAGGTCGATCGACTAAGGCAGATCGTCTCTACGGTCCAGCTACATGAGAGTCATAAAATGGTACTACTAGGTGATCTAGGACGGTGAGATTTACGTGCCTTGTTTTGAAACCAATATAAGTCGCAAATTCAGCTGAATGTCAATCCAGGGACTCGAACCTCGAACAAAAAGGTAGGCACCCTTACCCTCTTAATTACCTAGATGAATTTTTTTTTCTTTCAAATTCTTTCTAGAAGGCCGGGTAACATATTGGACACCACGCTTCAGCTGTCTGATAGAAGCTGCCTCGACAGCTTCAACTTGTCGTAGGTGTCTCTAATGTAGTCATAAGCCTCTGTGCTGAGTTTTGCCGCCGAAATCTTCGTTCCAAAGCTGGATAGCCCGCTAAGGTATTCTTCATGTGCGTAATTTTTGGCACGCAGACGACTCGAAGTTTGGCAATAAAAAATTTTTTTTCACTATATAAAGAGGAGACATTTCCGCATGAGAATTTTTCTGATCTTTTAATTAATACATTCGTAATGGGAAAAGAAAAGACTCACGTTAACGTCGTTGTTATTGGTCACGTCGACTCTGGTAAATCTACCACTACCGGCCACTTGATCTACAAGTGTGGTGGTATTGACAAGAGAACCATCGAGAAGTTTGAAAAGGAAGCTGCCGAGCTTGGTAAGGGTTCCTTCAAGTACGCTTGGGTTTT